TAAAGCAAGTATATTAACATTGAATTAACATTGAATGCGCAAAATGGATTCACATACACACACAAAAGTAAAAAGGGAGAGAGAAAAAAAAACAACCAAAAAAAACAAACCTTGTTGGCCATGAGGCAGCGTAGAATCCGTAGTAAACACACTGCTGGCTAGAGACTCCGTGGTGCTGCCTCTCCGGTTAAACTGACTGGAGGGTTGCGCACGAGTGCTTTCCTTGTCGGACGAGCGAGCAACGTCGGGGTCTGGAAAGGCGTAAGCCTGGCCGGCCGTGGGCGATTCCGCATTGTAAATCTCGGCGTGTGGATTCTTGGAAATGGCGGGCGCGGTCCTGCGCACGGGAAAGGAACGGTGTTGACCCTGGCCGCTCGTCCTGGGGCCGAGAGGGGAGAGCGGGTGGCGTTGGTCGCCGCTGTAGCGAGGGCCCCTTTGGCCAGCCAGGGTTGAATATTCACCGGAAATGCCGCGATCACGCTGCAGGCCGGAGACAATCGACGATTGAGAGGCATTGGTGCTGTGGTAGGGGGAGGCTTGGTTTATGGCTAAGGAACCAATGCCTTGGTTCATTCGACTATCAATGCTGCTGCGACGGGACTCTGAGAAATTAGCATTGGACCGCTGGGCCGAGCCGCCGTCGAAATTTTGGTTGATGGAGGGGAGTATTGCGTTTTGCTGGTGGATGGAGTAGCTTGGGGACTGTTGTTGGGAAGAGGGCGTAGCAGAGGAGGGAGTCTGCGGCTGTGGATCGTTTGAGGGCTGTTGTTGTTGTTGTTGTTGTTGTTGCTGCTGCTGCTGCTGCTGTTGTTGAGACTGGCGATGCTTTGGGGAGTGTTGGGAGGAGGTGATGTAAGGATACTGGGCGTAGCCATTGGTGCCATTGGTGCCATTGGTCGTGTTTGAGTATGTGGAGGAGCCTAAGAAGGTGAATGAATTAGTTATATATATATATATATATATATAGTGAGATAGATACATAGATACATAGACAGATGTAGATATAGAGATAGAGATAGACAGATATTTCATAGCTAAAAAGATCAATCAAAAAAATATAAAAATCATAAAAAACAAAACAACATACGGGCGCTCTGTGGCATGGACCAATTGCCGGAGTCACGCTCGACGGTGTTCAAGGACGCCTGTGCCGGGGATTTTTCTGCAGGGACAACAACAGCATTGGCAAAATTACCGAGAGACATACTGGCGGTAAGCGTCGAGATAGAAGGCAGTTTCTGAACCTGCTGATGAGCAGCGCCAGCGCCAGCAGTATGCGGCTGGGGAGTCTGCTGGCCGGTCCTCGGTTCCTCCCATGGACGACGCGCAACCGAGACGTCCATCTCCGGGAGAGACAGACGAAGGACAGCCTAGCTAGCGAAGGGTTTTATGGCGACAGGTAAGGGTTGAAGGGGGGAGGTAGATAAGGGAGCGGGTTGCGGGTTGCGGGTTGCGAGTTGGGAGTTGTGGATCTTCTGGCCTTTCCCAGGGGCAGGATGTGGTGAATGAAGCTGAAGCGAATTGTGTAATTTAATTAATTGATTGATTATTTTTCTCTTAATTCTTCGTTTCTTGCTAGGGGAGTGGAGGAGGTGAGCGTGGGGTTTTGGGCGAAGGGGAAGAAGGGATCGATTTAGTAAAGAAAGGAATTGGAGGAGGAAGAAGAGAGTTTGCTTGAGCCGAGCTGAGCTGAGGGAGCTGGAGGGAGTGAGGACGCTAGCTAGGCCAACGTGGGAGGAGGAAACGGGAAAGCCTCGTGGAAGAAGGCAAAGGAGGACCTTGAAACAACCCCAGCCAGCATGCCAAGATGTGTGTGTGTGTGTGAGAGAGAGAGAGAGGACAGAGAAAGGGCCAACAACCAGCGGGCAGAGGGGAATGGAGATGGGCAAGATGGATAGAATTGGATCCCCAGCCAGGAGACGAAGGATATCTGGCAAGATGGGAGAGGGAGAAGAGGGAGAGGAGAGTGAGAGAGGAGAGGGAGAGAGGAGATGCAGGGAACACAGACTATGACAGACAGCAACGGGGTGCGACGGGGTGCGACGGGGCGACAGACACACAAAACTGGGATGGGGAATATAGTTAGTGGATACGACACACCCAGGAAACTGGCAGAGAGGCACAGACAGGCCAGAAGAAGAACAGATCAAGAACACACAAAAGAAAAGAAGAGGAACTGGCCGACCACAGATCCGCAACCCACAAGAAGCAGATCCTGCGACCACCGATCAGATCAAGCCCAGAGAGCCGAACAATGGATGCGACGATGGTGCCATGCTTAATTCTTTGATTATTCTTAGTTATAGCTATCTATGTTTTTATATTTCTGGCTCTTTTGATTCTCGCTCCAACACTCAACTCACTCACCCATCCACCCATACCCACACCCATCCTCACACCCATCTCTCTCTCTCTCTTCTCCCTCTCTCCACTCTCTCCACTCTCTCCACTCTCTCTCACACAACCGGCCGTGTTGGCACGTGGCGGCCAACCGGGGCTAGCAGACAAGCCATGCCTACCAAGCACCCCAGCATCAGCCTAGCAGCAGCCTAGCAGCAGCCTAGCAGGGACCCTAATTGTTCTGCCGCCCGCGGGGCTCTCTGGGCTGCAGCGCCACGATGATGATGATGGCGATGATGGTGGTTGATGGTAATGCAAGCTATTGTATATTACTAGTTTTCATCTATTGATGCTCAGTTGGTAATTCCGCACCAAGGAAGGACATGTAGCTCCGCAGTATCTCCTCGTACTAGCCTTCGTTACTAGTTTACTAGTAACAGCGAGTTTGTTTGTTTGTTTACAGGAACCGCCGTCTGAACCGTTCGTTCCCTCGCCATGAAACCTTGTCCCGAGATATGCTTGGGTGCGCAACCATAGCTCGGCCTGAGCGTGTCCCAAGGGTCGGAGCAATATCTGATCTGATGAAATCTCTCCTCCTCCACCTCCTCCACCTCCTCCTACAACCACCACCACTACTACTACTTACTACTACACCAACCACCACATAGGCTGACGACAACAATAATAGATGCGGACAACCGAGCCCTGTTAACCCCCATCCTGTGTCGCATCGCCGTTGAAATAATCATCATCATCTGCCCAGGCCAGGCCAGGCCCAGCTGCGTCCATTATTACAGACTATCCATCCTGACTTGAGTTAGTATGGTATGTGTGGTATCATATCCACCCTGGTTCGTCAGAGACTAGCGTGCTGGGGCCGATTTTGCTGTTCCTTTCCTTTCCTTTCCTTTCTTTTCCTTCCCTTCCCCAGGTGAGGAGGATGTCGAGCAGATGACAGATGATAGAGGATAGATATACAATCCATAGTCATATATATCTCATCCTTATCCTCGCCATCATCTTCATCTTCATCGAAGATGCCAGATTTCCCAACGGGAGCCTCTGGGGAAAACCAACCACCTCCTGCTTCTCTTCTCCAGGGTCCAACAGCCTCGATCCACGCTTTTTGATCCACTCTTGCCACGCGGCCGGGAGGGGTGGGTGTGTGGTTGCAAAATGCCTTTTTTTTGTTTTCTTTTTTTTTTCTTTTTTGCTTTTTTTCTTTCGTTCTCCTTTTTTTCATTATTTTGGTCAAATCTTGGCGTTGATGAAGAAAAAAGCAGGAAAAAAAAAGAAAAAAGGTCCCCCAAAAAATAAATAAAAAAATAAAAAAGAAAAGGCAGAGGCCAGACTGGATGTGTGATGGAATCTCGGTGGCTTTTCTATGGAATCATCCCTCTGCAGCAGCGCTGCAGGGATAACAACCTGCGCACATTCTATTGAGAAGAGCGCTGTGGGCCAGGAAAAGCTTTCGGAGGGATTCAGTGATTCAAGTGATCTCTGCCTGCTTTGGCTGCAGGGAGGTGCTCTGTACGCTGTACTGCACGGACTAATGTATGTAGGAAGAAAAGCGCGGCTGGTCTTTCGATTCCCCCTTGGACCTCATTATTGTGCATTCCTTCTTTTACGCCTGGTTCCTCCTCGTCTCCTCGTGGTTTATTATGGGATCCATTCCCCCTGTTGACCGGCTAATGATGTGACTATCAAAGTCCGCGCGTGCGGGAAAAGCAAAAAGCGAAAGAAAAAGAAAAAGAGAAGAGAAGAGGGTAAGAAGAATAGTAAACTATCATTACTTACTTGCACAGCTTCCCCTAGTTACTGCGTATATCTAGAATTGTGTTATTATTCCTGTTCTTGGACTGGACATATTTTACTTTCCCCAACCCGTAATTCTTCGCCCGAGCAGGCCAGCGCTTCATGAAGTTAACCTTATCGATCATCATTCATCGCCTACAATTGCGTGATGGATCTGACAACCAAGCTTCGTGCCAAAGCTCCAGAAAAAAGTTTATCCTTCTTAGTTATACCAGCTCCATGTTCCCATCAGCTCGTTAGTTAGTGAGTTAGTTAAAAATTACTTAAGAATCGTCCGGTCACCCACCCACGACCGCGGAAACTCGCGAGCTTGCACTTGGCTATATGCCGAACTGGGCAGCTGGACTCGATCAAAACGCTCTCTTTTTCTCTCACCGGGCCCCTGAACGGGCGTGCCCCCTTTTTTTTTTTTTTAATTGCTTTCTAATTTTTTTTTCTCTCTCTTCCTTCTCTCCTTTTTTCTTCTTTTCTTTTCTTTCTCTTTGTTTGTTTTTGTTTGTTTGTCTGTTTGTTCTTTTGTTGTGGTTTATTTCTTTATAGTTAACTATATTTTGTGATCCTTATTTGGTCCTGGTGCGGCTCCTCCTAACTACTGTGGACCTATTATATACCCGCGGGCTATATCACCCCGCAAAGAAAAAAACCTTGAACGCTTCAACGGAGGACTCGGTGCACTTCCCTTGGCGGTTTCTTTTTTGGAGGTTTCTTTTTCTTTTTCTTTTTCTTTTTCTTTTTCTTTTTGTCAGATCGCCAGCAAGCCAGACCCCATTGGGACGAATATGCATCATCTTTTCAGTGAGTAATCCGTGCGCACATGCGCCGTTCCATTCTTGCTGCGGCTGCCTTCTGAAGTTCTGCTCGGGGTCTCCGAGTTATCTCAATTTTCAATTTTTCTTTCTTTACTTGCTTTTTGTATTTTTGATTTATTCATTCATTCATTCATTCATTTATTTAAATACATCCATACATACAATATTATGAATTTGTGATAACATGTTTGGAAAATAGGATGGTCACCATCCCCCGACGCAGGGTTCCGTCCGTGGGTTGCACAACCTTGCCTGCCATACGTAGGGAAAAATTGAAGAAGAGAAAAAAAAAAAAAAATAGCAATAAAAATTAACAAAGGGAAAGCAAACGAATTTTATTATTTTAATTATATATTTTTAATAACGGCTGGGCGAGGGGGAAGAAGAAGAGCGAGACACCCCCCCTCCCCCTGGCTTTGTTTTGTAAAAGGATAAGAGCCACCCCACATATTACCATGGACTATACACCCCGAATCAATCTATCTGTTGTCCTCTACTCCGTACATGTATGTACTCTACATGTACTCCGTCAGTCGAACGAATGCGGAATATAAGCCGAGTTCCTGTGGACCTGGCGGATGCACATACAACGAACGCATGATTCATGGTTGCGAAATACATCCCCAGTACATTACTCACATTCTTGCTTTGATTCGGAGAGTAGGCCACAGATACTTCTTGGATCTTCAACAAGGAAATTTGACCACCAACCGAGACGAGCAATTGATTGATCTACCGAGATCTGCTAATATCGGTTAGTCGACGACGGAGAAGCATGTCATCTTTGGTTGGCCACCGTGTATATATATTAACGCAAATATATGAAGACGGCTGTCCTCACCGGCAGGATTACCGGCTTCGGTGTATAGAAGATTGAGTACTGCCAGCATATGTGAGCTAAACGTTCTATGGCAATAATAATCAGTCAATGATGACTTGCAAAATCCCCAACCCATTCATTACTTTGATCTCGTTCCTTCCCTTCCGATGCTTCATGATGCTCCTCTCAATAGCACTGGCCTGGGGCTTCCTAGCCCTGGGGGAAAAAGATTCGCCAGCTGAGAAGCCAATTGATGCAAGCCCTGTATGTACCAAAGCTTTATTGTTGAGTTTCTCACGCTGTTGAGTCTTTTCTTGGAGTCCAGCGCTTATCCGCCAAAACAAGGGTTCGATATCGCAGTAGGACATTCCAATCCCTGCAGAATCCGCACCGGGTCCCTTGAAGCTGAGAGAAATTTCAATTTCTCTCATTGTATACATTGCGCAACTCCACAAATGCATCATTATCTTCCAAAATAAGGAAAATTAGTTTGTCTCTTGTTTACAAATCAAAGGTTTAGAATAGAAAATAGAAGGGTCAGTTTGTCTCAGAGGGAAAGTAGGGAATAAAGCTGCCATCTCAGCAAATAGCCAATAGACTGACCATTGACCAGCCAGTGTCGTCCGTGACTGAGGCGCAGGGAAGGAGGGATGGTGCTAAGAATTAAGTCAACTTTAAGAAAACCAGATTGAAACACATAACGTACAACAATAACAACGTTCCTGTTGGTTTAGCAGAATGGAGACCACGAGGGAGATGACAAACCGTTTCTGCAGATGATCTTTATATTCAACAGTCTCAGCCAACGTTTCCTGGATCTCGCCCACAACACATATACTCTAGAATGGGCTGAGCGTATGCTCGGCCACGTGTACATTGCTAGGTGGAAGCCTGCTGTGTGGAAGAACAAACGGGCTACTCCAATATCCTCGAGACACAAACTGAGGAAGAAGTCAACATATCACTGTTGACGCGGCCAGTTGCTGTTCTCCGTCGTTTGTAGTATGGATTGCATTTGGTTGAAAGTCGATTATTTCATCATGTCCCCGCAAAATATCCAAAATGTATGGTTGGTAAGGATGGGAATCCTTTCATTTCCCAAAGTTTGAAGTCGTAGCGTAGCGTCAGAATGAGGTTTGTAAAGCGGTTGAAATCATTGTCATACCGTCTCAAGGATCCATTGTGTCAGAGGAATGCGGTTGATGGAAACTATTGCTCATTCGAGGCAATTCCATGGAAGGAAATATTCCTCTGCTCCTTATCAGCAAGGTCCAATAGCATCCAGCCATAATTAAAGAGCGAGCGAGCGAGAGACAACATCTGGGAAGCCCCAATGAGGGATATGTCATTCGCGTTGCGTGCCAACAGATCCGAACGAGGACTTGTTCATCTGACGGTGAATCGGTGTCTACGGGAATACGCACGTTGTAGCTCCCATATAGCCACTAAGCTTCGTCGGCAACTTGGCAATGGTCGAGCGGACGGAGATGGAAGAAGACAATTGCCCCGATGTCAGACTTGCGCGAAACACAATACGACCTTAACTCCTCGTGCGATGATAAATGAAGCACATTGTTTGTCCATCATGAACTACAGCATCCTCTCAAGAGATGTTGCTTCCTCCGAGAAGTGGGGCCAGTGTTTGCCATGGAAGAAATCGGCATTTCCCTTCCAATCCAATGGCCAGTTTGTTGTTTGAAAGAAGCTGGCCTTTGAGTCCGTATTCTTCCCCATTGCCCCAAGGAGATGCGCTTCCGCTCCGACAAAAGCTTATCGTAGATTTAAACTATGGCCAATCTTGGAAAGCTCCCGCTAGTATCATCATGTGATCTAAGATCTGGATCGCGGATAAGCCTTAGAGTGTGTGTGTGGCAATACCAGAGCATGGGTTTGCCCCTCTACTAGAACAAAAAAGACAAGGAAATAGAGACAATTTGAGAGAGTATGTGGTAAAAGCGGATACGAGCGTTCATGATATTTCATTCCACCCATCTACCCATCTACAGACTTACCTCCCCTGCTTGATACCGTAGGCCAATATTTAAATCGATTCACATGTCCAAACCCCAACTCAACACACTTCAAAACCTTTTATCCTTTTCCATAAATAATCCCAATGACGTCTCAGTTTTAATTTTCATCCTCATCGACTTCCATCTCATCAAATTTCAACCCAATCTCTCCAGTAACATCCCACCGATCGCCCGCCGCCGAGCGGCTGACATATTTCACAAACTTCAGCGTCCCTGAATCGCGCAGGACAATGCTCATGCGATTCCAGCCCGCTGCCATGCTGAAGAGGACTCCATCATCGCCATCCGCACCCGAGTTCGCCTTGTAGATTGCAGGGTCAGATTTTACGCGCTTTTTTGTTTTCTTCGTGCTGGCGTCATTTTCATCTTCATTGTTTTCACCCGCTTCCGCTTCCTCCTCTTCGTCGTCATCATCATCATCGTCGTCGTCGTCACCGGCCATGTAGATCTCATATCCACCGACGGAGTGGTCATCGATTTCTGTCGAATTCTCCGTTGAAAGTTTTCGTTCTTTCCCATTCGTGTTTGACGTTGCTTTTCCCTTCGTTTTGCCATTGGCTTCACCGTCTTCACTCTCGTGTCCTTCCTTCCTTTCTTCTCTCTCCTCGTCCCCCCCCTCCTGTTCCTGTTCATTTCCCTCCTTCTCCCACCCAGATGTCGGCGTTAGCCCAATCGTAAACTCTAGTCGCGGTGTCTCGGCCTCATACCCACTCGCCAACGTATAATCTTCACCTCGTCTGAAGCGGCGCGCAAGGATATTGTAGTCGAGGAGGTCGCTGCATCCAGTCGCCACAGAGAGCCATTTCCTAAATGCTTGAGAGGGCAGGAGATCCTCCAGCAGTTCCTGAATAGGAGTCTTGGATTCAGTCTTTTGTCCGGCAATTCGAGGCTGCTGGTACAGATATCGTTGTTTGTGAGGTGGCCTGCTGACCTTCCACTCTGTTTTCTGCTCGATCTCATGCGAAGAGGTGGGCAGGGCATGGGATTCGTTTTCCTGCTGCTCGATATATTCCCGGAGGCGTGTGGCGAACTTATCATGGAGGAACCGTTCAAGGATCAGCGAGCAGTGTGTAGTGAAGTTCTCAACAAGCTCCTCTGTGATATCCGGCGTAAGGTAGGAGGGAGTGATATACTTGAGCAGGAAGTCCAGGTCTGCCTCTGTAAAACCCTGATCTCCTTCACCAGCTGTTTGGACATTTTCCTCTAAATCTTCGTAAGGCGTAACCTGTGGCTGCGGCCGGTCAAACGCATCTCCGGAACTCTGCAATTGCTGCAAACTGCTCCGTTCCGCCAACTTCTCCTCCAACCCTTCCTCATACCCATCCTCCCCTTCCTGCGGTATATGATACCACCCACTAATCGCCATGCGCACTCTTTCCTTGCCGCCCTTTTCCCCATCAGGACCCGCATAGTACACCTCTTCCACATCATGGAAGCTCTCCCCAGGCTGCACCGTGAAAAAGCTCAATTGATTAAACGCGGGGGGGATGGAAAGGCTAAAATCCGGACTTGGAACCTTTACCTCGTTCCCAGTGTCGTCCTTTTCGATTGTGGTCGGGTATAGGCGGAGCGCCCCACCCCAGCTCGGCTGCCACGCCACATCCGGATCCGTCAGGTAGAGAATGTAGCTCACACGTCGGCTGCCGATCACGTCGTCGTGGCAGAGCAAATGGCACCCGCCAGTGTAGACATTGATGGCCATGTCAGTCTTGCGGCCACTCAGGTCACCCGCACCTGTGACCTCCGACAGGAACTTGCGGAATGGCGCAGAGTAGAGGGCGTCGCGCAGCTCAAGGAGCGAGGGTAGTTTGGACAGCGAGGCATTGTCTAGCCCATCGAGGTTTGCGAGGTCACCGGATTGGAAAATTTTGTAGATGTCTGTCTCTTTCTCGGTGAAGGAGAGGTGTTCTTGGATCTCGGTGCGGACAGAGCGGAGGAGCGTCGAGTTGATGAGTGGGGAGATCACACCGTGTTTGTACCTGAGTTGTAATGGTGTTAGCCTATATAGCAATTATATATATATATATATATATATACATTGTTGACGGGAAGGATCTGGAAAATTGCTTCTACAGGGCTTACGGTGCGGAGACTGCATAGCTCTGTTTATATTGATCCAAGGTAGCCCGATCAAGCAGCCCGTCGCGGAATCGGGATTTGATAGTCTCGTCCAGCAGTCGCTTCTTGGGGTCCGACTGGCCATTGCCATCAAGGCTATTCCGCGTAGACGTTGTTTTGCGCTTCATTGTCTCCTACCTGTATTTTTTGAGGGGCAGGTTGTTGTGGTAGGTGGTTGGATGGCGGATGGCGGAGAAGGTTGACAAAGGGCTCTCAGCCAGGCCATGACAAAGAAAACATCCCACCATCATTTTTGAAAACAACAGAGTTTTCGCATCTCATGTGAGTATTACAGTATGGGTCTAGGATGTAGTTCCATTTAATTAATCTTCATTGGTACAACTATATAATAAAATGTTATTTTTGCATGCTTTGTATGTCTTCAAGTTCTCTGTTTGCATTTTCTAGGAGCACTATTGATATTGCCAACACAATCCAGTCCAGGGTCTGTCTACCTTCACTACAACTACGGTCTGGTATTAAAGTAGTGAATATGAATACTAACTATATAGCTTATATAGTAAGAAAGGACAAAAGAGAGAGAGAGAGAGGTAATAAATGATCATAGCTATTTATTGTGTATGTTTTTTTGATCAAGCAGTTAACCTTGCTTGCTCGTGCCTGGTTAGTCACTCACTACATTATCACTTAAGGCTTCCCTGTGAGATTCAGGGTCTGGAGAAAACATTACATCCTTGATCAGCAGATGATTCGGGAGATTTCTACTCGAACGAAGCCAGTCTATCTCGGATCACACTCGCAACGCTTGAGTAAGGTGTAACATTATTCTGATTGAGAGAGTTGAAACTGCTTATGTCAACCAACTTCATAACCTTCTAACGCCTCAGCTGAGTGTTGAACTTGTTCAGTAGAGCATTCAATACTTGAATTCTGATCTAGCTTCGAAGGCTATCACGGACATCTCTATACAGCGTCTAAGAGAAAACGGGGACAGAGCAATGTTTCTAAAGTTTTTGACAGGTCGAACGAGCAACATTGCGGCGTTAAACCTAAAATGGACAACGCCAAACTGTTTTAAGCCCATCCCAGGCCATGTGACGCGAACCCACACTGCTTTTATTTCAACATCACTTGACAACAATCATGTTCCACGTGCCTCAGAGACAGCAATAGTCGCGATGTCATATCTACAAACTACCAATGCTCAGCCTTGTTGTAGAGCAGTGATGCTCTACTCTTCGCAATGTATAAATTCAATGTCTTCCACTTATTTGAAGCATTTTCTTCATCCACTCTCAGTGATACTATCTCTGCTGCCTTTACATACACTTATTTATAATCTGTGCAGACAAAGTTTCATGCGCGGCCATCAAGCGCATTTTCTGTAGCTCGTCAATGGCGGTACAAGCAGCAAAAATGAGCTCAATTCCAGGCAGTCCCGTCCACAGTACTCCAATATAATAGCTGAGGAGTGCCAGGAAAGGCCTGACAAGGCAGAGACACAGAACGATCAAGAAGACTATGAATAGAGGAAGCTCTAGTGCCTGACAGGATGTCATTTCTTGCAAGAATAGCTATATTTCCAAGAGAAGGGCGGGAACACCTGCATTTATAGTTGTACGCTGTATAACTGCCTGAAAGTTGGAACCCCGAACTGGCATGGAAGTGTGTTATATGTCTTTCTGCTGTTTCCACTACCAACAAGCTTTCCATGCTGCAGCTAGAAAATGCTTTCGCCAAGAGAATGCTACACCTAGAAAATGCTTGATGCGCCTTTCCATTTACCCATGCACCTGGCAATCCTACATTTGAATAGTGGCCACCGCAGAGAGCCACATGACACAATTCTTGTAAATATAGAACTAAACGTGTTAAGAAATTGGCAATTGCAGACTCTGATTCAGAGGCATAGGCTTTGAAGTCACAATCCTCTGACATGGCCGCAGCGGCGCGTCCAGTCAGACGTCAGTTGGAATGGAGTTTTGTTCATTCTTCAAAGCCGCCGGAATATGCCTACATTTCATTCACGCGCGTACCTGGATGGAAATTTCCCAGCAATGTCGGCCATGACTTGAATTGCAGTAAGTCTCGACTATGATCAACGTGTTAGCTGTGGATAAGTTTAGGTGATAGGAGCTGACTCACAACCCAGCGGTTATTTATAATTGCGTATCCACCAAAGTAGAGGTGCGGATCTGGAGAGTTCTTAGTATGAAGTGCTTCCAAAGCAGAGACTCATGCTGGTGTTACTCACGCCCCGAGTGTGTGAAATAGCCTGGCATCTCCCCTTCTACATCCACACCTGCTTCGCTAACGTTCTCGATCATGGCAGCCGATCTACTGTCAAGGAAGCCCGTCTGTGCATACCGGTCTGGAAGATCTACATCGCGGTATCCAGTGGCAAGGACAACACCGTCGGCTTTTAAAACAACTTCTTTCCCTTGATCCTTGTCGAACGCGACGATGCCGTCTGGAACAAATTTGCGAGCATCACCCCGCGCTATCTTGATCTTGTCCTCAAACACAAGATCAAACGTCCTCAGCTGATCCATGTAAGTTGCGTGGCCGCGATGCTCGTATACAAGGGTGACCATGCAAGCGTCCTTTTTGAGCATGTATCCCTTGCTTTCAAGACGAGCTAGAAGGTCAGGTTGCGATTTCATCACCATGGATATCATCCCCCGGGACACATCTCGAGCAATTCCAGTAGGCAGCGATTGTTGCAAGAAGTCCGCTGTCGCAACGGGCATATTGCCCTGGTATCGTGCCTCGATGATAGGTTTTATGGCTTCATGGCTACTGAGAATCGTCGGACTGCGTTGTAGCATGGTTACGCTCTTAGCATGCCCATGGACAAGGCTGCGTGCTATGTCGTGAGCCGAATTCCCTGAGCCAACGACCACGACATCCTTGCCAACATATTGCTCGGCTGTGCCATATTCCGCCGCGTGTTGGACGACACCCTGGAACAGATTGCGGTCCGATATGTTGGGGAAGCCTGGGTTCTCTGGGGATATTAGGAAGCCGGTTGATATGACAATGTTCTTGGCTTCTACTGTTTCTTCTTCCTTTGTTTCTACATCTTGGATCACCACCTTCCACAGACCAGCGGTCTCATCCCAATTGTTTCTCACTACCTTGACTCCACAGAATAATGGCAGTTTGAGCGCCTCGACAGCGCTCGATGCGTATCTTGTGAAGTCTCGGCCCGGTAGATATTCTGGATAATCTTCAGGGACAGGGAATCCTGGCAAAGCTACCATGAGCTTGTTATGATGAATGGTTACATAGTCTTTTCCGTTACCCGACCAGTTACCACAAGCGACAGGGTAGGTTTCAAAAGCGGCAACATTCACCCCAATAGAGTCGAGCATGATAGTATTCGCTAACCCACTGCAACTGGCCCCAATTACGACGACATCCAAGACGCCTTGCAGGTGTGGCAGACCCTGCGCTTGAGCTTTACCTCTTTGAGAGGCTGGAACTGATGACGGGGTTTTCCGTGGAAGGGTTTCAAACGGGTGTTCTGTGAGAGAAACAACGTCGGTAGACAGTACCCAGATCTTCCATTGGCCACCTTCGGGGATCAGCTTGACAAGGCCAATATTGTTGGATTTGGGATTGTCAGTGGTGAAGCAGAAGGGCACATCTAGGGATGCCAATGTCGGAGAAAGGCGCTCGAATTTCGGTTCAATCCCGAGTCCATACTCTTGCTTAGAGGTAAAGACTGTGGGCTTCCGGGTCTCGGAGAGTGTCTTCCACGCTGCAACAATCTTGTCTCTCCCGGACAAAGTCCGCTTGTCGAAAGTCAGGGTCAAGCTGTCTTTCCAGAAACAGCCATCGCAGAAGAGACTGCCAAAGGCTTCCCAGTCTTGTTTGCCTACAGCCCTAGAGAAAGACTGCAGAAAGGCCTGGGCTTCTCCAGCAGCATTCAGGCTTTGTTCATTCTCCAAGACAGGCACTGTGGGAATATACGATGGCAGCTCGGCGACGGGGGCGCGGACACGTTTCTCGTATTTTGTTGCCATTTTGGGCGATTCGGGGCTTGCAGTTTAATCTGAGCTGGGCGTTAAGTTGTGTTCTTGGTGACTTGGGAAAGATTCTGTCGCGAATAACTACCTCTAGTCCTGGTCTCGGCTGGAGATATATATAACTCACAGGGACAGATAGCAAAAGCGGCTCGGAAAGAGGCACCTGTTGAGATTGATAAGCTGACTGACAAATACTCACTGAGAGAACGCTAATAACAAAAGAGGTAACTGGAGCGGGCTATTTGCTGGTGTTAGTATAGAATTGCTGATAGTCTTGCGTATTTCCCCCTCTCTTGACCCGCCAGACAACTGGCTAATATATTTACAAATCATTAGTTCAAAAATGGATGAAAGCTGGGCTCTTTTCCTATGTAATCCCGCTTCCGCAATGCCGGAGTAAATATGGTAGTCGATGGCCAAAGTAATCTTTATGCGTCTGGTTCCCCGCGTGTCAGCATCAAGTATGGCTAGAGGTGTATTGATCCCCAACATTGCAGCGCCGGATGCTAAACAACTGACACGGAGTAATACTATTTATCCGAACTCCGTTAAGTGCTTACTTAGAAAGTAAAACTGAGTTTATTTTTACTAATGGCGCATACTTCTGTCCAAGGCTGAAGTCGAAGGCCCGGTACTTTCAGCCCTCTTGGGGGCTGAAAAGCAGAGAAAGTGCCCTGTTCACGGCAGCCTATAGTGACAAATGTGTCAAATGGGTTTTTTTGATGTTTTCCACTGTAATTACTTAATTCCACTTACAGACACTCATTGATAGAAATTTTATACTAGAAAGCAATGCACCTTGAATTCTCTACATACATTTTAAAACAGTGAATTTATGTCATTGTAGATATTATCACTAGATATTATCGCTAGATACCATTGCTAGATATTATCACTAGATATTATCGCTAGATATTATCGCAAGATATCATTACTAGATATTATCACTAGATATTATCGCTAGATACCATTGCTAGATATTATCACTAGATATTATCACTAGATATTATCACTAAATATCATTGCTAGATATTATTGCTAGATATCATCGCTAGATATCATTACTAGATATTATTGCTAGATACCATTGCTAGATATTATCACTAGATATTATCACTAGATATTATCGCAAGATATCATTACTAGATATTATCGCAAGATACCATTGCTAGATACCATTGCTAGATATTATCGCTAGATATTATTGCTAGATATCATTGCGAGATATCATCATCAATGTTTCCACACTATGGGCTGGTGGTTGCAGTGTATAGATAATGGATTCAGTGACCACACCCACTGTGGGCTGGGCCACAGCAGATTCATGAATATATATATATATATATATCACTCTGAGCACCATGATTCAACAAATGGTTATGTTGACTTTTTGCTATGAATAATCTAGTTATCATAGTACTAGCTTATTATATTTAGTGATGATATTCATAACAATATCTAGCAATGATATCTAGCGATAATATCTAGTAATGATATCTTGCGATAATATCTAGCAATAATATCTAGTGATAATATCTAGCGATGATATCTAGCAATAATATCTAGCAATGATATCTTGCGATAATATCTAGCGATAATATCTAGTGGTTATATGAAGGTGGATTTGCCTGTGTTTGAACACATGTTTCTATGGTGTTCAGCCAAGGCCTCTGAATAACCCATACATGTTCTGTACAGTGAGCTATCTTCTTTGATCATATAAAAGTAGTAACTTTTCTGTAATATTACATACAATGACTGTATCAGTCTCTCTCTGAATGTGTATTTAATAATTATCATTTCACTACTATATTCTTCTTCCTCTGCTCTTGTATTGATTTCTATTCTTAACTATTCTTATTCTTATTCATTTACTTTGAAATTCTTGTATTTCTATATGAGTGAGAAAGACTAATAATAATCTCTGCTGCTGATACTGCTGTTGAAACAGCTGCTGCACAGAAGCAGCTATAGTATAATCTTATTATAAAAATAACAATATAAAAAGAGAATACACTGAGAATCAGCAGACAAAGCAGATCAAAGAATATATAGATAGTATATACAGAGAAGCAGAATGAATGAATAATAATATATAAATTTATTTTGTTTCTATTTCTTCTTTATTTCTGTGTATGAAGAGAGATGAAATTTGATAGATTAATTTCTCACTGCTACTCAATCTTCACTATTTATATAATAGAAATAATATAATAAAAAGAAGTTTTCAGATGATCAGATTGTCTCTGAGTAGAAAATAATCTGATTTTTTAGTAAGAGAGTTCTCAATTATTTACTCAGAAAAAGTCATCTCAAAAGAAAGTATATAAATACTGAGAAAGAAGAGATTATATAGATAATAGAAGAGAGTCTGATTAAACAGTATTGAGCAGTTTTTATTGATCTGTATTGTACACAGCAGAGCAGATAGAAGAACTTTTATTCTCACTTAGTTGATCAGATTTTAAATAGTATATTAAAGACTTACAGATCTATAAAGTATATATAAAAATATATAGAGTTTATAGACAGAGATGTAGATACTCTGATGAACAGCTATACTGAGCTGAATATAATAAACTTTATATATCAGTACTGAAAGAGATGACAGAGAGATAAAAGATATACAGTTGAGCCTCTTCTTTATACAGCAGCTGATTTTTTTATAAATTATTATATACTGCTGAGAGAGCAGTTCAGATAAGAGATGCAGTTGACTGATTTATTTATAATTGAGCTGTTAAATAAGAGATTAATACTCTGCTGATCTCTTATTCAGATTATAAATAATAATAAAATAAATCAGAATAACAGACTTAAATATTCAACTGTTGTATAGTATAAGAATTATATTTTTTATTCAATATTACAGATTGTATTCTATCTGTTCTATAGATGAAATATTATACAGAAGCCTCTGTCTCAGTTCCACTACTATCAACTCTGATACAATATTTATTTACTTAAGAGTAAGAATTTATACAAGCAGATCTTCTACAGAACTCATTTTAAATGAATAAACAAGCTTTTTATATATACAGATATATTAGAGATGATAAAAAAGATTTATATCAGATAATTCACAGATATATAGAAGGCAGAGTTTAATAAAATAAATAAGAGTAGCATCTGCAGAGCTGAGTGATGAAATAATAATTTTTTAATCAGCTGCTATCTCAGTCAGATCAATCAGAAGTTCATACAGAGAATTACAGAGTTTAATTCTAGTTTACTAAATAATTACTATTTTTCACAAGCTACAGTTACTTCATCAGAGCTGTTGAAGAAATCTCTCTGACTATAAATAAATAAATAATTTATCTAATTTTATTCTGAAAATAGATTCTCTTATATTATTTCTTCTGAGATCTCTGATATGAGTCTGAAGCTACTTGATAGTGAAAGTTTATTTAACTCAGATAATCTTACAGCTCAGAGGTTTTTACAGCTGTTAGATTATTTTTATACAGTGATACTACAGAACTCTGCTCTTCTTCAGAGAGAATTTTTAATTTATCTACTATAAATCAACTCAGTATTTCAGTATATAAAATATAAGCAGTTTACAGATGCTGTATAGACTGCAGAGTCAGTTTTTATTTTTTTATAGAAGATAATACTTCAACAGTCAGTATTACAGATTTCTGAAAGTCTGAGTATTATATAGAGACAGATTAATATAATAATGAATCAGATAAAAATCAGAAATATATAAATAAAGAAGAAGATTGATAGAATTCAATATGAAATTGATACAATAATAACTGAATTCTGAATCTTTCAATCTATCTCTGTTTCTGTCTGTGTACAGAAAAATACTGTTAAGATTCTCTTTATTTCTGTATCTATATTTTTATTCTTCTCTTTATCAACTGTTACTGCTGCTGTTACCATTTCTACTACAGTATTATCAACTAAGAATAATATTTGAATATATCAGCTCTCTCATACAATTCAATCAGTCAATAATTTCTGAAAGAAATGAGAACAGAGATTGAATAAATAGTTCTCTATATAGCATCTGAAGTTATTATATAGATCTAACTGAAGAAAAAAGAATAATAAATATATATTCTTTTTTCAGTAGAAGATGATTATCAATGAGATACTCAGCTGTCACTGTATAATGAAATTAAAATCTATTCTAGAAATTGTGAAGAAGTTTGAGTTGATGTATATATAATTAAGAATGAGTCTGAATAAACTCTCTGTCTTTCTCAGAAGAGCAAGAAGATAATCTGTATATATTAACTATATTATATATTTTTTAATCTTAAGTATTTATTTATTTATATACACAGACTGTTTCAGTAGAATTCATAAGAGTGAGTATTCTCTCTTTCTCTTTTTTCTTTTTCATATACAAGATATTTCTGTTTTTCTCTTTTATTTATAATAATAATAACAATAAATTGATTATAAAATCTCTTTTTTCTCTATCTTCTCTCTCAATTTCTTTTCTCTTTCTCTCTTCAGCTTCTCTATTATTATTTATCAGTATATATAATCTCTTTTGCATCAGAATTTATCATTCTCTTATTGAAATTCATCAAAATTATTTATTCACTGTTTATTCTGTTTTTTTTCCACTTCATACACTGTATGAGATGTTTATTTCATTATATCAAAGAAGAAGAACACTGACAGAGACTTGTATATATAGTCAGAGAAGATTTTCAATTTTTTTTTTTTATAAAAAAGAAGATCAGCTTTTTTCTGCTCTTCAATAGTATTCTTCTTTTTTCTTCTCTCTATAAATAATATAAGTATTTCTCTACTTCTTTATCATACAGTATAGAAAGTTGATTATAATATAAGAGCTCTCATTTCATACAATTCTATCACTGCTCAGTGAAATCTGATTCAGACTGAATTGATTGATTTATATCATTCAGCTGCTGAATATTAAGATGAATGATAGAAATAATCAGAGTATAATACAATATATATCAGTAATTCTCAGCTGAGTATATTTTATTATAGTTCTCAATTTCATGTTCTGCTTACTGTCTCTGACTTTGATATATTATATATTTATATATATATCAGAGCTGATCAAGTGTTGTTTCATCATTTATTATATATCAATATCATTCTGATTCAATTTTATAATAAAACTCTTATTATAGACTGTATACAGTGTCATATATTTTCTGAGCTTAAATCATTTTCATTGTGCTATCATATGTATAGTCACTTTGAAGAAGTATATATCAACTGCAAATGATATAATTATATAGTACACTGCTTCCTCCACAGCTCTGCAGATCAGTCTGATATATATAATGATTTTTATAATAGACAGTTATCACAGCTATAAGTATCAGCAGCAGATGATATGAATCATGATGTTCAGTCTGATATATAGAATAATTTTATTCTTATTAAATAGAGTATATACAAAACTTTTATTTTTCTGTTCTGTTCTGTTCTATTCTCTCTTTTTGATCTTTATTTCTTCATTATTATTATAGATATATATATATTATTATTATAGAGTTAGATCTAGTTGTACAGACTGTGTACAATACTCAGATAGTTGATTTACACTTCTACACAGTATCTGAGATCAGTAGTTCTTTAGTAGAGATGAAGTTAAGCAGATTATTTAGCTAGTGATTATATAACTTTCTGTGTACAAAGTCACATGTATCTGAATTTAATAGTATTTCTCTTACTAAATACAAGTATTCTGTATATATGAACATGAAATTGAACATATATCAGCAATAACCAGGTTATATACAGTGGCATTGATGACTGAGTGACTGTGTCTCTGCATATAACCTGGTTATTGTGAGGGTCAGGTTTGAACACACTGTAACCCAACCCACCTATAACTAGCGATAATATCTAGCAATAATATCTAGCAATGATATCCAGTGATGCAGCTGGCAGTCGCAGTGTCTCAGTGGTTGGTTCAGTGGCCACACCCACTGTGGGCCGGGCCACACCACCACACCCATGGGTATATATATCACTATGAGCACAACCATTTAACAAATGGTTATGTTGGCTTTTCACTTTGGATAATCTAGTGATTATAGTGTTATCTTATCACAGTGATGATATATATTGAAGATGATATCTAGCAATGCATTGCTTTCTAACAATCAATAAGCCCTATTCAATTACAAATAGAATGAATATGATAGGTGTGTGTACATTGTAACACTAGTATAAAAAACCCATTTGACACATTTGTCACTATAGGCTGCCGTACTGTTTGCTGTCGTCAGAGTCAAAGCAATCGCCGTCTGTGACCATGCCATCGCAGATCTAGGAGACTACACGACGTGTAACCACTAGATAAGCCTCCGTATAACAAGATTCACATACAACTGCTGAGACGACCCACGAGGAGGAGGTTGCTGACTACGCTCTTAGCTAATCATATACTCTCTCCCCCAAGAAGAACACCGAATCCAGTCATTTGAATCATCAAGATAGGTCACTCTAGTAAGAGATCCAACAATAAAGTGACAGCAATGGATGCTCAAGACAGTCCTCCGCGGCCGGGAGAACCTCCCCGCACTCCTCCCCACCCCCCATACTCTCCCATTACCCCCGTCCTCTCCCACGCCCCCATGCTTCCCCCGCCATCACCAATGCAACAGGCTATCCCACCTCCCTCCACCTTTGCCGCCACCGCCTTCTCTCTTGCCACTGCTAACCCCGCGAATACCAATGCACATAGCATCTCTACTGCGCTGCCCGTATCTACCCCTGCAACCTCATTTATGCTTGAGCCTGCACCGATACCCATATCTGAGAGTGACAACCCAGATGTCATCGCCTTGCGCTCCGCCATCTCCATCCTCCAGATGCAAAAACAACAAGCACTACGTGACGTGAAAACGCTAGACCAAATGAAACAAGCTGCGGTGGAACATCCCGAAGAGTTTGCGAGGGAACTCGCCAAAGGGAACCTGACCTCCAAGGCAGGCGACATCTTCAATCCCACCGCCCTCGATGATGGAGATGAAGGTGAACATGCAGGTGGAACAACCGCCCAGGTGGATACAAATACGACTAGCGTTGGGGATGAAGATGCTATGGACGTCGACCAGCAGTCACTTCCGTCCTTTGGAAAAATTCCCACGCCGCAAAAAGTTGTGCGCATGCCGCCTATCAACTGGGCTAAATATCACATCGTTGGCGAATCGCTGGATAAGCTGCATGAAGAGCAAAGACGGCGCCCAACGCCCGGGGAACCGCGGAGGGATGATGTCCCGCCTCGGCAAAGAGCACCGGAGCATTTCATCGCGGCACCGTACCGGCCATTTACGGATAATCTGGAGCAACCTATGAAAACGCGGAGTAACAGTAGAGCAAAGAAGTGAGAGACGGTATTAATATATATGCACACCGGGAAAGGTTATCTATGTACAGTGTACTTATGGTACATACGACATACGTTTTTATACCATCATCGGGGGTTTTCATTTCGGCGCTGGTCCACATGAATCGACCAAGTAATGTCATTCAGAACCTCTCTGCAATGTTGCCGGAAGCATTGAAAATGGCAAAACCCACCCATATCTTTAAATATGGAGCCATATGGCACGACGGCAATGAAACAGAACCACAGTCTACCATCCACCTTCTTGCCAAAGCAAACGAAATGCACTTCACTCTAACCCTATACCCCACGCACTGCACGCACTGCACGCCTGTAAATGCTCCGTCCGCTCTCCTTTTCAACATCAGTTCCATCTAGCGAACAGCCATTTGCATTCCAATATGCGCCATCGCAATATTTCCCCATGATATCGCCGCTGCGCACTCCGGACACGTCTCCCCCTGGAACTCAAAATCCACATCCACGCGTCCATACACCATGCTACGCGTCCTACACCGCCCTTGACGCTTCCGCTCCTTCCAGAACAGCGGGTCGAGTGGGAAATATTTTCCACAGGCCATGCACAACCGGCGCACCTCTGTCATCCACGATTCCAACCGGAAGAGGATCTGCAGTCTCATGGAACTGTCATATAGTACGCCGTAACCACCGTTCAGGTGGCGGGTGATGTTTGCCAAGGCTTTGCTTGTCAGGCCTAGACACACTTGGTCGGGAACGTCGAGCTCATTGAAGATCATCATTACTATTTCGATGGGTAATTTGATGAGAGCGGCAGGTGATGATGGTGATGATTTCTCCTTCACACGCCATACATAATGTATCAGACTGCCTCCTGAAAACCCGTCCCAGAGACTCTTTATGATCTGTTATTGAGGGAATGTTAAGACATTAGTTTTCTTTTCTCTTTTCGCTTTTTCATTTCATTTTTTTGTTTCCATTGACATTCTTCCTATTTATGATTGCTTGTCTTTTTGACATAGCATTCCCACGCCCTCCCATACTATACCGAGTATGAAGAGATTGAAAATCCACAGGAAGTCTGTCATCTAGAAGAGGCTTTTTCTTTCTTTCTTTTTTTGCTTTTCTTTTTTAAACTCACCTGATAATCCACATAGAACTTGTAGATCTCGTTTCTGTTGTCCGTCACGTACCACTGAATGTTCGTGTCTGGGACCATGATTTTAAGCCAGCACATCCATTCTGCAGCCATAGCCTCGGCGGATTTTTCACCGAGATGATCTTGCTCCGTCTGCTGGTCGTATTGGTCTTGCTGGTTCTGCAGGCGCTGCACGTCCTGTTGCTCGTGGCTTGTTGTCCTCAATTGTGGCAATGATTCCTCGTAGTTATCCGGAAGGATAATTGCTAAATTGTTGGGAAAGCGACTGTGAAATACATCATAGTCAGCATCATGCTCTCCTTTCTTTCTAGTTCTTATATCAGTGGGCTATGTTCTCTGTCTCGTGGCCATAATCTCGTACTAGGGGCCGGCAGTTTCGCATCACTACTGCTGTTCGCCTTCTTTGGTCCCGCCTCTCTTGAGGCCCCTGATTCTGGGAGAAGTCTGGCTCTCTTGCCCGAAACTAGACTCGGAAGGCAAGGAGGGATGAGGATAGCATCAGCCAGAAATCAACTAGACTCACCGACGCTGGCGAATTGTCAGTCGCATCCGCATGTCCTTCACCGGTGTCAACGGAGGCATCCTAGCAAACGCGCCCATACTATTTGTCAAGATGAAACAATTAGTGATTTTTGTCTCTTCTCTTTGATGTAAAGAATAAACAATGTGACAAAGGAGCCACAATCCAAAGCAAACTGCATGCAGCCGCTAGAAGGAGCGAGATGGGAAAAAGACCAGGCAAGGAGACAAGGGATACAAAAAACAGAGGATTGTTTGCCTTAAAAATAATACTGTGCTCCTCTTCCTGGCTTCTCTCTCTCAAATAACCAGTGCCTAGTTCAACAAAGGGGCAGCGGAGAATTGGTGTGATCACTTACTCATTTCTCTGCTCCGGGACTGTCAGGAAGCCAGAGGTGAAGCTTTTGGGCATCCGATGAGCTGCAGCCATAGCCATGGCTATGGATTGTCCTTTTCTTTGTTTCTTTCTTCTCCGTGGGCGGTATTACCTGAGGTTTGTGGTGCTTCGTTTATTGTGAGCAGATGACAATGATCTCCAATTCAGAGAACAGAAGATTCGCTGTTAATGAGATACATAGAGACAAAGTGGTTGTCATCAAGAATGAAAAACTCCAGATGACCAAGTTGGCTGTGTGGTAGTTATTTGAGTGCTGTCAGGGCAGACAAACCCTGTGAATCAAAAAAGGGGGGCTGGACAATGTGAGAGCTTAAGATTCAATTCCCCAAGCCCCCTTACAACAGTCAAGACTCAACACTTTTAAGTGAATACATTAGGATCAACACCTAGACATTGGTGTACAGTAGGGAACATGATGGGAGGATTTTATCAAAGATTCAAACCAATCCTACCTGAATTCTATGTGAAATTTTCTGTTGTCTCATGCTTTCTTCTGGCCATATAAGATAACCCATGGCAAGTCTGCTGTTTTGGTCAAGCTGCTATGCAGTGTAGCACACAGAGAGCCCAAGGGGTTTGTATATCAACAAAAAAAATTAAAAAAAATCCCACTTGCTTCCCAGCTCCTAGGCAAAATCAGTTTACCTTTACTGTCACTATAGCACAAAGAGGGACTGGAGATGGAGGATATATTGTATGGAGATAAGACGATTGCTAAGATAGGCTTCTCACAAGCATGTACAGTACATATCCCGCCTCGCATTTCAAGAATATGCCATTCTCACCCAGTAGTCAGTGACACCAGCATGGAAAGTCAAATTGTTCCTCGATCCTTTAGCGAGGCAATAACCCATAACCATGCAACTCCGTCTCTCCCAATAAACGTAAAGACAAGAGCAGGGGTAACATCTAGCAAGAACTCGAATAAAGTCCATCCCCGTAAACAAAAACTCACATACCCTCATTATCGGAATAATTAGTATAAAATTCAAAGGAACCAGTGAACAAGTTAGCGTAGCGTCCGTTGCCCGATGATATTTGGCATCTACCCATCCTCGTCGCCCTCCCCGAATGAAACCTTCTTCAATTCCAACGCCTGCTTAAGACTCTGCACTCGCTTGCCAAGCTTTGATTTCAATATTGGATTCGCCATACTCTCCCACTTGAGCGTCTCAGTCTGCACCAGCACCTCCAGCTCGGCAATCTCCTCCCGCTGCTGCTCTAGTTGTCGTTGCTGCTCTAGAGCGTCTTCGTCTAGGTCAGCTTCGTTAGCCTCGTCACCTGAAGAGCCATCCTCGCTTTCGTCATCTTCGTCCTCGTCCCCAGATGTTTCAGCTGGCGTTTGGGGCTTGGAGTTGGGTGTGCTGGCGTCGACGTAAACATCGACTTCGCCCTCCGTATGGCTTTCGGGTCCCATTTTTGTTATTGGCACTGTGGCTTGAGTGGGGGTAGACATATTGTTTTGGGTATCTCCCGCAGCTGCAGAGGTGGAGGCTGGGCCGGGAGCAGAATCGCCATCGGCATGAGCCGCAAGTGCTGCTTCCATCTCAGCAGCAAGCTCATCTTCGAAGTAGTCGGCAGTTTCTTCCTGTGCCGAGGGCTGAGTATAGCTATCCATGCCATACTCGTCTACTTCCCCTTCTGCATCTTGCTCATCATCATACTCCTGGCCTGTCAAACCATACCTCGCGCCATCGTCACTCATAGCACTAGTTTCCCTCATATACTGCGTGTAATCCATTATCTCGAACTCAGGAGGGCTCTCAGCTGCCATGTCCTCCTTGAGTAAGCGCGCCACCTCCAGCTCGACCGCCTCAATGGTTCTGTTGCTAATGCGCTTCCGGAACCGCCTCTTGCGCACCCAACGGAGAGGCGGGGTAATGCCATGGGCGTATTGGAAAGTGGACTCGTCGACGTCCCTGGGCAGGGGATAGGTACGTGCTTCATCATCCGAGTTCACACGACCAAGGACTAGAAGCATCTGGCAGATGTCTGCGGATTTATACCAGCCCCGCTTGTCCCAGCTCTTCATTCCCTCGATGATACAAGGTAGGTCGACGAGGGATGCTGCATATATGTGTCCGCGAATGTTGAGAACAGCGCGCCGCCCGTCCCTTGTCAGTGACTTGAAGCTAATATCGGCGCCACCCTGGCTACGAGGTCCAAAGCGTTTCTCCATCACGGCCTGGCGGAGGTAATCACAATCCTCTCCAGGTAGCATACGGAGGATGAACTGCTCTTCCAAAGCGGGGTCCCTTTCCGTGTCTGAAGCTTCAGAATCATATCCCACACCTTTTGGTCTCACAGGCGGTTCTCCCTTGCTTCGTAAACGAATGGATGGCGGTGGCCTGGTACTGAGCTTTATGCGCTTTACAGCTGGTTGCTTTGAAGCTTTAGTCGTCGACCCTTTAGCCGTCGTGCCGATGTCCGCATCATTACTGGAAGCTTCTCTTCCTCGTTTCTTTGATGCACCTGCTCGTGGAGTATCCTGAGAGGTCCTGGGGCGGGAGGCCTTGGGTTTTTTGGATGATTTGGAAGCAGAAGCCGGGGGGGCGGCGGATTCTTCAGCGCTTGGTTTTGGGCCAATTTTGAACTTGAGCTTAGGAAGTGACGAGCCTCCAGGTGTAGTTGGGTTAGAGGGAGGAGGAGAAGAAGAAGAATTAGCAACTTGATCGACCTTTGGCTTGCTGAAGGTCAGCTTGAGCATTGGTCGGGAAGACATAGTGATGGGTTTACGGTGCCTTGGGCATGTCAAAGATATCGTGAATATTGCCGTAGAAAAGCCAGTGAGTATACAGTATTGAGTGAAAAGGTATCCCCTTCAAGTAACAGAGCCGTGAGAGTTGGGTATGTTATCCCCTATCTTGCGTGCGGTACACGGATGTTGAAGCTTTCTTGTTGCTGTTGTTCTATGTTGCCTAATTGGGCTTAGCGCTCAACTTCAACTGAGTTTCCTCCAAACCGAAGCATTAAAGTGAGTGAACAGTCGCTCATGAAATTGTGGATGCTACCATGTTGTCACTCTTGGGGTGGGTTGTATATTAAGAGCTGGTGGTGAACATGAATGTGAATGCGAATGCCCATATACTAATTGAAAGCACCCTTCTTGCCTCCTTACTGAGCAATCACTCCCCATAATCAACCACCTCGACATCCGAACCCACGAGCCACGGCGTAATTCCTATGGCAGAAAGATGTCAGCGCCCAACCTCTACCACACCTTACTACGTCCTCCAGTTATTCAGATACTTCGCGCTGCAGGCTTCCATTCCGCGAGTCCTGCCGTCATTGACACCGTCACTGATCTGGCCGCTCGCTATCTGATTCTCCTCGTCTCGCTCACCAGCGACCATGCCAACAACAGCCACGATGAAATCCCCATTCCAAACCTCCACGACGTTATCATGGCTTTGCAGGATGTTGGTGCCCTGAGACCCCAGATGTCTTTTTCGGAGGAGACTCTTAGGGGCAAAGAGGATATGCGTGGACTCGAGTCGTTTATGGCCTGGTTTTCAGGACCAGCCAATAAGGAAATCAGACGGGTAGCTGGATTCCTCCCCAGCGAAGGGGATGTGGTGGATGAAGACTCACTCGAGAAAGAGGATTACTTGACTGGTATGTCTGGTCAAATTGTTTGCGTTTTGGAACAAGAGCATGGCCACTTTTTCGTTTGGGAGTTTCCAGCTGATAGATGCGACCATTATAGCCTTAAAGAAGAAGCACAGCAAAACCGGCGAGGAATCACGGTACCAAGGTACTGTCCTCGGAAAAAGCGGAGAGTTGCATCCCATTGTCATAGAGGGCGGAGCTCAGAGTATAAAAGCTTGGGGTATGCAGGTTCGATCGGGAGAAGCGAGCACCGAGGCCGCCTCATCCGTCATGAGCAGTGTCCCGAGCAGTCTGTCAGATGTGGCGGCAATGGAAATATGAGCACCCCGCATACATCGATAAGGTCCATCTGAACACATCTTGCCCGTGTCGACTTGCGCAGCCTTTTTAAGAAACTCGTACGTACGAACTTCCTGGAAAAACATCATTAGAACTACCAACGGACCTGATTCGAGCAATAACTGCGACCCACAAAATGGCAATTCTGGTCAGCATGAGGGAAGGAAACCTCCTAATAATCCGCCAGCAGCATTTATCTGCCATCAAAGGAATTTCCATCTATTTTCGGGCTTGCTTGGTCGGAATAGTGTAGCGGAGGAACAGCAAGGGGGTTAATCGTCACCAAAATTCTTCTCGCAAAAACCAGTGAGATAGGAGACAAAACATGTGTTCGGGTACCGCAGTGGTATTCCATCTCCTACCCGGCCGCAAGCGCAGAGAGTGATACTGGGGATAGGCTGTTCTAATGGGGGCAACGAAGGTCAGGGATGCTATATATATTAGCATATCCCCCCACACCCCGGGCGTATGCAACCATTTACTGGATGGATACCAGAAATCTCCAAAATGTCTTATTGGGAGCACCCCTCGACATACCAGCAGCACACTGGCAGACAAGCGGCTAGTTATATTTTATATAAACATGCTGAATCTTGTTCCTATATTTTTCAGTGAATCAATTCATAATATTGACATACAGCCATTTCTGGCACATTTTTGCTGCTCTTATTCTATGATAATATTCGCAACCACAGTAAAGTTGTAGATAAACATTAAACATTTCTGACATCAGCATCGAACTAATCCCTTTAATCCACTTCAATAAACTGCATTCCACTCCCATGAGCAGAGCGACGGTGCAGTTGACGCTTTTAATTCCAAAGGATCAATATCCCATTTGACACCAACAGACATGGTCTTCTCTTTCGCCCTCCCCACAACTTCCCACTTATCCTTCCAGTCCTATCTCTCCTCCCCCTCCCACCCCTCCCTCCCTCAGTCTGCTTCCACAGCTCGACACGCCCTCCGGCTAGCCCTCAAGGAACACAAGCGCCTATCCCCTGCTAAGCAATCATGCCACTTACAGCTCGTCCTCACTGCTCTAAATGAGTACATCCCGCTCCTGTTCACCCTCTCGCGCAGCCTCAGCTCTGATCCTGGCCCGCACGACACAGAGCAGATCGGTATCCATCTCCGCTCTGAAATTGAGGTCGAATGGCGCACCACGCTCTCGTCAGGTTCTCTGCTGCTCCGTCTGCGACGGGGTGAGGTCGGCCTGGGCCGCTCTTCCCGCGTCCGTGGCCGCGGATTGGACTTTGAAATAGCCTTCGTGCTCTCGACGCTGGGCTATACGCTGGCCAACCTTGGGCGCGCTAGATATCTACAAACTCTCTACGCGAATAAAACACCCACGCCAGAAATGAAGACGGCGGCCGTGCAAGCAGCGACCAAATATCTACTCCAGGCTAGCAGTGTCCATGCATTTCTAGCTTCGTCGTCTTCACTCTCGGGCCTGTGTTCGGCAGCTGCCGTTACTTATACCCCGCACACCCCTAGATTTCACAAACATGCAGCTACAGCTACAACTACCGCTACACCGGATTCGCCGCCGGTTGAACCTGACCCTTCTCCAATTCCCATTCCAGACTTGGACCCGTCAACACAATCGGCCCTCGCAACCCTAGCCCTCGCGGAAGCGACGCTTCTCGCCGTGGTCAAGGATGACGCGTACCTCTCGGCCTGCATCCAGGCCCGGAACGCTCTTGACACGGACTGGATGGTCAAATCGCCTGATATCCCGAAGGTGCGTACGGTGCTTTTTGCGCGGCTATGCGTGCGCGCGGCGGAGTATGCGGAGCAGGCTCTCTCTAGCGCAGGTGCTGTCGGCGGTCAGCGAAACGATGCCAAGGTCGACGAAGATTTGCTCAATTATATGCATAGTCTTGCAAGAGTTTGTCGTGCCAAGGCTTGTAGGTTCTTTGGTATTGATGCGGAGATGGGGGGGAAGACGGGGGAGGGGATTGCGTGGCTGCGGGCCGGGAGGGGGGTCTTGGGGTTTCGTGGCACATTGGAAGGGGATGCGAAAGAGAAGGGGAGAGGGGGATTTGGTACCGGATTCTCGAAATTGAAAAGGGAGTGGTCGGAGCGGAGGGAGGAGAGGAGAATCGAGAAAGAAGCAGCGGCGTCGTCGAGGGGCCAGGGGCTGGAACGCGAGGCGGAGATGGATTGGGGGGACGATGCGGGGAGGGAGGAGGAGGGGAAAGTGCTGGATATGCTTGAGGCGAAGTGGGTGAAGATGAATGATACTGTATGTCTATATGGAACCCTTGGAGATAAATATTTGTTGCTAAACCGCTAACTAACTTGCGGGACGCATAGGTAAATACCCAACTCATACCCTCGTCATCTTCGTACATAGCGAATCTGCCCTCAGGCAGAGACATCCACTCCACGCCTGCAGCATATACCCCGCCGCAGCTTGACGCGGAACAGATAGTGCGCATGCGTGCGCCGCCAGACACTTACGAGTCCCTAGATGTGGCGGAAAGTAGCGATGAGGATGCCGTTGAGGGAGAAGCAGTTGGGAGGGGATATTTCTAGTGTGTGTGTTATGGCAGAGTTAGTTGGAGCCATTGATTGATGGGTGAGCGTGTATGTATATATAATTTCTACCCCATTTCTATATTTCAGGGAGAAAGGGGTCTTTATGGACTTGAACTGAAACAACAATGGCTTCTAAAAATTTTTAACCTTTTTTATTGTCCCTTAAATCTATCCATTATATACAGTAAGTGCACCGCCGGTCTATTCATTTTCCCACACTGTAACTGGCATCATCGACACGGAAAACATAATCCTGGTCTGCGGGAGGAAAAGCAAGACCACGAAGGTAGTTAACTACCTGACTGTGAATAGTGTCTTTTGTATCACAGCCAGAACTGGAAGAAAAACACAAGAAGCCGCAATTGAGAACGACGATACCAGTCGAGATGGGTTTTCGAAATGCCGGCGGGAAACGAAGTGACGTCTCCGTCATCACGAACAAGAAGATGCCCTTCCGACCTAACACAACACTAGGACAGCGCCCCGTAGCGCACGTAGTCCGATTCCATCACCGCGCTTCATCCCAAAGGCCTGCAAACTCAGGTATCCAATTCGATTGTATGGTCGAGTACAATCTCGTAGCGTCCACCTCGAACACGTATCGCTGTCTCCCGCACCTCGATAGGGCTAATCCGCAAGGACCTCCGCCCCCCGCCACTCCGCACACCCTCTCACGACGACGCCGATTTCGAGACGTAATTCTTCTCCTGGAACATATACCCCTTAATCTTCGCCTCCTTCAGAAGCTCGAAATATCGGTCTGCCCCAACCCCCCACCAGCATTAGCACGAGCGTAGAACCATATAAATGAATTGAAAAACAAGGACTATTGTAGAGAGAGAGAGAGAGAGAGAGAGAGAGAGAGAGAAAGAAAGAAGCCAAACCCACCCCTCAACATCCCGCACTTCTCCAGATGATTCACGCCCTCGCGCCGGTAGCACTTGCCCAGCTCCTCCCCGACCAGCCGCGCCATCATGCTGCGCACCCATTGCTCGCGGATGATGGCGTCGCGCGCGTTGTGGAGCGCGGCGGTGTCTTCGAAGTCGACGCCGTCGTAGCTGGGGGCTACGGTGGGCTTTTTGGCGAGGAAGGCGGCGGATTCCGGGGTGGGCATGGTTGTTGGTCGGCGTGGATCGATCGGTCGGTCGGTCGGTCGGTCGGTCGGTTGGTCGGTTGGTTGATTTGTTTCCTGGCTTTCAAGGGGTTGGTTCTTTCTAGTTTTATCTTTATTGTCTGATCATTTATTATTATTGATATTATTTTGGTCCCCCGTGTGGTTTTGGCTGATGGTGGGATAGGCAATGGTGAGTGAGCAGTTTGGCTCGGTATAGCTTGCTGTTTGGTTGGAATTCTTGATCTTCATGATAGCAGGTATAATCACGTGACTAATAGCTTCCGGCTTTTGGCAGACAAATCAGAATAAGCTAATTAAAAATTTACACTTCATTTTTTTTTTTAATGAATTCAAGAAATAAATGAAAGAGGCAAAGGTACACTTCCAAAATGCACAGTCCTGCATTGCTATGTTTGCTTGTCTGTATAGCTAAGGTATAATAAATTTGCAAGAGCACACACACACAGTTAGCAATATCAGGAATGTCAGTCAGCAAATAGCTGAAAAGAAAGAATGAAGAAAAAACAAACCAAACCCAACACCAAACCCAAACCCAGCAAAACAACAACACGAAGCATAGAGCATAGGAATGTAATGTCCAAGGGCGCTAGAATACATGCATGTCTAGAGCAGGGATGCGAATGTAAAACGGGTAGAAGGAAGCATGGACAGAATCAATAAAATACAAGAAGGGTACAACAAGAAGGCTTCTCGATGCAGAGGTGGAAAGGGAAGGCAGGGAATTACGAAAATCGCAAACAAATGCCTCTCATGCAGGGTAAGGGGTTTGGGGGAGAAACAAAGGAACATCAAAGGTCATGAAGTTCGAAGCAAAAAAAAAACACCAAAAGGGAAAGGGAAAAAATATGTATATATAGTTAAAATGAAAAATAGAGGAAGAAAGAATGGTAACAAGAAAGGTCAGAAGGAATAAACACCATACCGCCAGCAAAGGGAATTTTTGTTAACAAAAAAAAAAAAAAGAAAAGCTGAAAAAAAAGATTAAAAAAATAAAAAAGACCTAAACAGGACAAAAAAAGAATCCAGATATATATATATCAAAACTGCCTCTTTAGCGGCCTACCAATCATTTTGAAAAATATATCCGCCAGCCCCTCCTTGAAGCGCTCCCACCAGGACCGGTTGAGGAAGTAACCCAGCTGGCGATAATACCACATCTCCCCCCAGCAGTCCCTTCCCCACTCGCAGCCAGCCATGTTGACGATGAAATCTCGGTCATTGCGCTGGTAGTGGATACGCCGGTCCGTGCCGTTGCCGCACGCGCCCGGCGGGAACGAGTTCATGCGCCGCTGCGGCATGAAGGCGACGTGCGGACGCACCCACGGATGGTTGATGTAGACATGTTGCAGGCTGTCCTGCTCCTTATGAGTCCAGGCCAGGTGCTTCTGTTCGTAGAGGGCGGGATCCCACCATATGTCGAGCAGGCGCTCGGTCCAGGGGCTGCGCCGGACGACGAAGGAGCCCAGGCTGAAGCCAGAGCAGTCCTGCGTGAGGATCATATTTATGGAGGAGGTTTTGTTGTCGCCGGTTATGGAGCGGGAGAATGGATCCAGGTATGACGCGTTCAGGGGGTGGGAGATATTGAGCGGGTTGAAGAAATTGATGTCGCGGTAGGCGTTGGTGTCGAGGTGGTTGAGGACGTGCGACTGGAGGGAGTAGGTGGGTTCCATGATGTAGGTGTGAAGGTCAAGCCACCAGAACCTGCATGCAGAGACAAAAAAAAAGATGTATTAGTTGCTTTCCTGTTTTTCCATAATTTTTTTTTTCCAATTTTTTTTAACGTTTGGTATAGACGAACCATTCTGCATTAGGATATCGTCGAAAAGCCTGGCGGAGGGCGTCGACTTTCTCCCATCCTTCCCTCCATTCATGTGCATATCGCTTCTGCGTAACCATGTTGACGATTTCGAGCTCGTAGCCCCAGCGCTGAACGTATTTTCTCTTGTTTTTCAAACTATCCCGCTCAATCGCCCATTCGCGAGCGCCTTTCCATTCCATCACTCCTCCGCCAATATTCGCACCCACAACCAACACAATCTTCTTACCCCCACCCATCGACGATGCGCGGTAGGACTGTATGATCCCTGTTAAATATGTCATCAGTGGGGAATTTCCGTTTGTACGTACATATATATAAGATCTTTAAAAAAGAAAAAGAAAAAAGAAAAAAGAAAAAAGAAAAAAGAAATAGAAAACAAAGAATAAGAGGCTACTCACGAGTTGAAAAGAACAGCCAGAAGAAGAACAAGAACAGCAACAGGAGCATGAATCTGAACCTCTTCCGGCGAATCAAGCTGCCCAGGAGAGTTTTGAGGCGGACGCGCAACGGCAGGTCGCCGGGGCCGCGCGCCAACCATCGCCCGCGGCCCAACTTTTCCTTCTCGCCGTAATCAAGCATGGAATTGACACGGAACCGCGGTAGGCTCGCGGAGATTTTTCGCCGCTGTCTGGAGAAGAAGCCATTGTTCCGGGTGGAAAAGGAAGGGTAGGCGGCTATGCGGTCACTCTTTGCCTTTGCGGAAGCCCAGGTGACGGCACCATTGCCGGGGCCAGCACCGGCGATTGGTGAACTGTTTGGGTGGAAAGCTCCGCTCCCACTGCTTGTACTGCTGTTTGCGGTGTCATGGTAACCCCTCGGCGGGCTGGAGCCTCTAGAGCTGCCTGTGGCAATGGTCAGCCCGGGACTGGACCATCCTCCTCCACGGCGGGGGGAGGGCGATCTCGAGAGGGACATGGGCAGCTGGCCCGTCTCCGAAGGTGTATCTGAAGGTGGGGAGGCGATGGAGGGGAGAGGGGTAGACCTGGGAGAGAGGGAGGAGGTGGTTGCTAACGGTGTAGCCTGAAGAACCCGTTTGGAGGACGAGGATTGGAGACGCTGTATTGAGGAAGTGATGCGGGCGGAGGAGCGTCTGCGGTGGTGCGAACCGGGAGAGCGGCTATCCCTCGAGGATTTCGAAGCCAGGATGAAGGTTGGTATCGAGGAGCAGGAAGAATAGGGAGAGATGGAAATTCTCTCCCTTTTTCAACCCACGAAGGAGCGGAGGGTTGGTGTGTTTGTTGGGTGAGTTTATATCAGCCTCTCGATGGGCAGTGGTAGTGGTGCCACTCAATGCCAAATTGCGTCTTTGTATGTATGTATGTATGCGTATATATTAATAGACACGAACGGTTTTGACGTTTTGTGGCAAGGGTAGCTATACTTTTTAAGTATAGCTGGGGGGAAGTTGTTTCTTTTTTTCTAGGTGGCGGGATCCGAGATAGACTGAATAGGACCAGGTAGAGGAGAATCTAAAAGTCTAAAGGTCTGGCATCGAAAAAAAAAGAAAGAAAAGAAAAGAAAGAGAAAAAAAAAAGAAGACAGCAACAAGAACAAACTCCACCCCCCAAAAAAAAGACACGGGACAGTAAAAAGTCCCGAGGAATGTTGACGGCCCAAGGAAGCAGATGAAAGGTGCTCCGGAGTATATACGATATTTAGTCGATATATATCGAAGCCACGGCAAAAGGGGAGGACGGGACAAGAGGCAGAGGTAGAAGCAGAGCGGTGGAGGACGAGGGTGGTCAAGGGAGGCCGTCTGGCGAATCGTGAATGCTTGCTGAATCGTGGGAAACGGGCACAAACCAAAAAACCTGTAACGACTGAGGGACGACGGTCGACAACGTAAGTTGATTCAATCGTCTTGCGGTTGAAATCGAGTGGCGGGATTGGGATTGGGCGACCAGGGCAGAAGCTTAGCGGCGAGACAAGCGGCCGGGATGAGCTAGACGACGGGCCACAGGAGAACGAGTGAGACACATCGCAGCACTCGCAGGACCGGAGGACAACGGAGGGAAGAGATGGTAGAGATGGGGGAGACTTGGGAGAGAGAGGTTAGGAGACGGGAGATTGGATGAGAAAAGGAGACGAAGAAGATTTCCCTGAGATTTCCTGAGCAAGCATGAACCGTTGAACGGGCCGTACAGCGGTTTGGCTGTTGGCTGGCTGTTGACTGGGTCTGTTTGACTGTGTTTGAACTGTGTTTGTGTGTCTTGGGTGGAGAACCGGCCGACGATTTGCTGCAAAAATCTTAAATGACGGTCCCATTTCCCATTTCCCATTTCCCATTTCCCAAACCCCAAACCCAAAAAAACCCACACACCACACCAACCCCTGGCCTTCCCTCCTCTTCTGGCCGGCAATTTAGGGCGAAGAATCTGGCAGACTTCATCTCTGCAGGTGTCATTGGCCAATCAGGGCGCCTGTTTTCGATGTTTCTTCGGCCTTCAACCATGGAGTGACAAGGGAGTGGGAGATCTGGTGAAGCTGGTGTGGTACGCATCCGTTGACAACTTACGGAGCGCTGGACAGACATCCTGAGTCTGAACCTGAAGTCTGAACCTTGTACAAATCTCTTGCTCCATGTGCCGCCATGTGTGCCATGTTCCACCTGCGCCTCGATCTGCCCGCGCGGTCTGCGTGTGCACTCAGTTATTTTGCAATAATTAGTTACCCAAGGCTCCACGCGGCCCTTGGCTGATCCCGGCCAAGGGATGTCACACTACGGAGTACTCGCTTACCTGGTTATCATCCTTTTTGACGAGCTAACGAACTACACGGCGTAGTTGACTACTGTTTCACTGCCAGTTTGTTCGAGTTGTGCTCTTTTCCAGCGACAACATCAACAACAACAACAGGAAACTAGAGAATGGCATTCGAGATTCACCCATGCTCTCGAAATATTCCGGCATCTCCATCGTAGATCTATTCCCCCTGTCCCGTTCGGCGGATTATTTTCTCATCTGAAGTGACCGAAAGCAATCAAACAACGGCCCGTTTTCGCCGTTGGCTTCTGCGTCCACCCAAATACCATATAATCAGCTCAGTCTATGCAGCAGTCAAAAAGTAAATGATCAATTATGATTTATAAATATATACATACATACATATACAGATCTGTGTATGTATGTGTATAATAAAGAAATAGACGGGGGAGCTCACACAAGTGATAGAACCTGCAATCCCCCCTTCACCGCCGCCACGAACTCCCTCCCGCCCGCCTGGCTTCGACCTTCGTCAACAACCGCATCGCCCACCCTTCCACTCCAAACATCCTATGTATGTACGGAGTGTGTATGTATGTATTACCTGTGTATTCTTTGCTTATGGGCGCATTCCAGTGCCGTCCATACCATACCCCAATTGATTTGCGCCGTCACGAACCTTCTTTCCTGCGTTTCAAACTCGGCATCTGTTGGCGGGAAGGGGTTTGCTCAATTTTTGAAAAAAATACCAGCACTATTTACTTACTTGGGGACTCTAACTCGCTTTATCAGTCAATTTATTAGGGAGTACTAGCACATGTATATCCTACATAGTAACGCGTCGGTAGTTTGTTCATCGGAGCTTGCTTGCTTGCGCAGTAGCCGACTAAGCTGCACCTGATATATTCCTAAATTGCCGTTCCTCTATTATCACGCCTAACTAACTACATCACTATCTATCAAGGGAGTATCTAGCTCCAAAAAAATTCGACCAGGGGGATGCTATGCTATGACCAATAACCGCTATCACCCCCGCGCGATCCATCGCGTGCTCTTCTTGTTCGCGCGCCCTCGTACCCGCTGCGGAGTGAGGTTCAAAAGCGAGGCAAAATTCCGCGAATGGGGAAAATTTTTTGATCCTTCATTGGCCGGCCCAACGCCCTTATCCTGTCCCTACTCCCAGCCGGCCAGCTGCACACACTCCAGCAGCTCAAGGCGGGCGTATAGCTTTGTGCGGATTGCGTTGAGCTCATCAATGGCATGCCGGATATCTTCTGCTGTGTTCGGGGACAAACCTGCCGGGATTTTGAAGTACTTTTGCCCTGCTGGCTTTGTTTTCTTTCCGATTCCCTTGCCGATTCCCTTGCCCGTGCTCTTCGACGGAGACGGAATAACAACGGCAACACTGCTGTGTCCTTTGGCTCTCGAGGCCGTCCGTGGCTCCGCTTGCTGGGGACGGTTTTTGCTTTTGATGCGGCTGTTTGACTTCGACAACGGCCTAGGTGGCTTTTTAGAGGCGGCCTTGGTTATTCGGTGGATTGTCCTGGTCTTGGAATCTGGCGAGGGTGGGGGACTCTGTAAATATGATTCTTGTTCTTCATTTTCTTCGTGGTCATCTTCGTCATCTTCGTCATCTTCGTCCTCATCTTCGTCTTCGCTTTCATGTTGCCACTCCTCTTCGCTCCCCCCGGACAGGATTAGCAAGCACATCAACGCATGTTCAACCAAACGGGAAAGAAAAGTGTACCATGCTAGAGAGCGCAAAACTACAACAAAAAAATTTTTCTTATGTATATAGATATAATTAAAATAAAATAAACATAAAAAGAACACCCACCTTCACTGTCTCCGTTGAAAGCATCGCGGAAGGAGCATTTACAGGCCAGGCCACGCCATATACAGTTCCCACAGGCTCCAGAGCTGGGATATTCACCATTGCTCGTCCTGGCAACCACACATGTCGAGAACGGCCCTAACCCCGACTGGCACCTAGTGCACATGTCGATGTCGGAGTACACTTGCTGACCCCGTGTCTGGATGAGAACCGCATCTCGCTGGAATGGGTTCGCAATGGCGCGCACGTTGTACTCGTGGGTCCGGCTCCTCCGCCGCCAGATAACCCGCCGGAGACAGGGCAGCTGCGAGATAGAACGTACAACTAAGCTCTCCGGTAGGACGGTGAATTTGCGGATATAGCTTCGATTCCCGTTGGATTTGTCATGCACAACTTCTTCCAATGCCGCGCCCCCCGGGAAATGGTCGCCTGTGAACACGTCAGACGAGGCAGCGGTGAACTAGAGTTGTGGACTTACGTGGGGGTGGTGTTAATGCCACATATGACTTCCTACGAGATGTACTGGAACTCCTCGTCACCATCGCCATACTGGTGATGAGAAGGGACTGTTGAGATGGGTGTCAACTTTGAATTTCGACACACGGAGGACAGGAAAACGATGCTGAGAATGTGCAGCGATGGAGAAATTTGAGATCTGTAAATGGGAACCAGGAGGAGAACAAAGGAGATCGATTGTCGGATCTGGCATCATCTGTTTTTTCATGGTGGCCCAGGCCCAAACGCCTGGTGGCCGAATGGGTGACGCGGGGTAACTATTCAGGCGGACCTTAGACCTCCTTTAGCTTATTGTTCCTGGGCTGGGAACCTGCATTGCATGCACTAAATCCCGTCTTTCTTTAATTTTCCTATGTTCCTGTTCTATGTTGGTGTTGTTCAACACTAAGCATTCCCCCTGTATCTTGCCTGTATTTAACATCACACAAGGACTTGTCATAAGCACTGCTTGCATATGAGTATAATGGAAGAAGAAGAAGAAGAAGAAGAAGAAGAAGAAGAAGAAGAAGAAGAAGAATAACAATAGCAGCACACGCACATAATTGGCACACGGGGTGCGGAGTTATGGTTTAAGCAACGACCAGAATTCTGGTAATGTGCAGAAGAAGAGAGTAAATCCACTTAGCCAAAACCCCTCCTGTAAGGTAACAACAACTTAGAATACTTCTTTACAATAGGGAATAGATATACAATGCTCACGATCTATATCAGAGGGCTTCTGAATATCAACGCTATCAAAGCAAAAACACCGCCCTGAAAAAAAGTAGGCCGCAATCCCGCCGCCGCATTCCCCGTCGGCATATTCGAGAAGGCGAGAGTTGTTTTCGATCCACTGTGACCCCCATTATGCCATGTATGATTCACATTCCCTTTCCTCATTCCTGGGTGCACGGTGAATGGTATTGTCGCAAAGTAATTCTCCGTATCATTCCCTAGCACCGTCACAAACCGCGTATACGCCGTCTCGCAATCCCGCCCTGGTGTTGGAGAGCACGGTATCTTCTCCTCGCTGACGCTGTACAGCTCCCACCAACAAATGGTCCCTGTAGTCTCGTTCCCGACCATATACCACACAGGAGTGATCCATGGGTGCTTGCCTGCTGGATACTCGTTCTCCCAGGGGCCATTATCATAAGAATCCATGGATTGCCAGGTGCCATCAGCGGCGAGATGACCCTCGGACGAATTGAAGGTGTCTGTTGAAGGATATATTGGCTCTGTTCGTCCCTTTTTGGCGCATCGGGAGAGCCCGAAGCTGGGTTTGGGCGTTCGGAAGCCGCCCACTACGATATCATACTCGTAATAGTCGGTGATGATCGGGGCTGCACCTGATGTGTAATCCGAAAGGGTCTTGCCTGCTGGAAGGTTTGGGGGATACGACCACTGGGCAGAGGTGGACGGCAGAAGAGATATCAGAAAAAGCAGAAGCGTCGGGTATGGACGTATTGTTCGGAGAACAGACGCCAGAGGAAGCAGTCTCATTCTAACGGGGAAAATTCACTTTGTTATTGAACGGTTGGATCCGCGAAGCTCATCTCATCGATCCAGTGGTGATAAATGTACTGTGAAAGCTCTTTGGCACCTAAAATTAAAGGATCTCTCCAATGAGCCTAGCTCGAATCTAGCACGTCCCTTGAGAGATCCAGATCACGCTAATCTTCAGGGGTGCCATCCTGCCGATTCAAGGGGGGAAAAAATAAATAACGTTGAAGCGGAGAAGACATGATCTGAGGGAACAATAGCCAGGAGTAACTATTTTTTTGGTAATAGTGGCAATATTTATTAAGTCTATGACAATTTGCGTTTACATTGCTATACTATCTGTTTCACCCACTTTACTGCTTAGCTCTCCTTCGCAAATCAGAAATATCGTCTTCGCCAGATAAGAGAACAAATCCCACTAATTTAAGAGCATAAACAAAAGAAAATATCATCAAAGACGGTAAGAGTGACCAACCAGACCGTTTAAACAATATGCAAATGGAGGAGATAAAGACAAAGAGTATGGCAATCTAAGTCAAGGAAGTCTCAGCTAATATAAACGAGGCCTAGAGCCCTTTCCAACGGGAGACAAGTTAAACAAAATCTCATCGCTTGAACACTAACCAAACCAAAACAAAAAAAGGGGGATACCAATCAACTATGAGTTCCTGCTCTCTCCTTTGCCTTTCCAATCCACACTATTTATTCCGTCCCCCTCTGGAGCTATGGTGGCCGCTGTCGTGCTAGCGTCGCCTGTAGTACCCTGTAAAGTCTTCAAATTCTCCTCTTCCCTGCTTCTACTTTTCGAATATTTCGCCGTTTGAATAATGAACCCTTTCTCCTCCAGCGGTCGCTGCTTTATGCTTTCCCCATGATAAAACTCGCATCGAAAGCGCAGATAGCGTTCACGGTCTCTAAATACCGTGATTATATCGCCGGTGTAAAGTTTTCCGAAGAGGCGTGCATCCTTCGCCGGTGTTTCCTTACGCAGCTCCACGTCATTAACCCAGATGCAATTGCTCGCCTTCGTGGAGAGTATGGCCATCACACCGGGAATCTTTGTCCAGTCTTCTCCCGCAGCGATGCGAGATTCGATCGACGGTGCCCAGAATGTGAGTTCGAGTGCATACGCCGGTATTCGGCTGTCCATGGGATCGGAGTAACGCACATTTACCCTTGGCCCTCGGCCCCATGATGTCATGCGTGATTCGAGGTGGAGGGCAATATCGGCGATAGAACCAGGTAGTGATACGAGCGTTCCAAAGGGTGGAGTGAGATTCATTACATTTACGGGAACCTTGGCCTTTGGAGTGGGTTGCGTGTTCACCTCGCCAGCCTCGTGAGGACCAATCGAGCCATCAGATTCTGTAACTTCCTCTCCAGTACGCTCGTCGATAGTGGTCGCGAGTTCGAGTAGATGTTTCGGGTCGAACGATTTCGAAGTTTGTTGACTAGCAAGACGACATTGATTCGCGGGAATTCTGGGGGTAGCTTTCGGGGTAGGGAAGGATACCTTGCCGCCCGATCTTTGGTGCGCTTGATTAGTAGAGTCGAGGCCGTTAGGTTTTTGGCGCGAGCTTTTTCTCTTAGTGTCGCTGTAGCCACCGGATCTTGGTTTCTGGATTTGGGACGCGGGTGCATTGCCATCTGGAGGCTCCGGGGTAGTTGGATCGTTGCTATTAGGGGCTGTGGAGACTGGTGACCTGGCATCAGGAGATTCCATATGCAATTGGCCGACGAGTGATTCCGCACCCATTAGACTTGGTGCAGATGCGCCCCGCTCCAGTTCGATAGGCAACTGTTGATGGTGCATCAGTGCTGGGTTGTCCAGGCTGCTGGAGCTTTCATAAGATTCTATATCTGAAGAAGGGTCGTCGTAGCCATCATCATTTTGGAAACGAGGTTGAAAGTCAAACATCGTTTCTGGTCGGTTTATTTCTCTTTCGAGTAAGGCAGAACTTCGCAGAGCAGACCCGGTTATTTCTCCAAAAAGCCGTGCCTCTGGCGGCTGAGCTCCTTGGACATTGAAACTCGAGTCTAGATCGTAGCTACCAAGGTCCGGTAACGAAGGATATGTGATTATAGCGGGAACTTGGGCCATCACGACCTGGTGGCTAGTATCCTCAGGGTAATGGGACAGTCGCTGTCTTTTGACGTCATTGTGGCCGGTGGATGATTTGTCTTCATCTGCGTCATCCTGATTTTCGATTTCTTCATCTAAATCTCTATTAAGATTATCATTAAGATGAAGGCCAGAGGCGTCGAGCCGTTCTGCTTCTTCATCTTCGTTGACCTCACCCACGACAGCTAAAGTCGTGTCAACGCCCTGAACTTCTGGGAAGTCGAATTTTGTGTAATCAAATTCGTCCTCAACGTTAGCGATCCACGGATGTTGAAAGCATTCGGGCTCCTTGGGTCTAGCTCTTGGATCGCGGTTAAGAAGCCTGGAAACAAAATTAATGCCATTTTCCGACACTCCGTGTTTTCGAAGCAAGTCATAATCAGCATCAGTTGTCATGATACTTCGCAGCATCGTCGCACCCCTATCATCCCCTCTGCCGATGTATGGAGCAGTTCCACAGAGAAGATGAAATAGAACCGCGCCAAAAGACCACATATCGACTGATTGGTCATACGGGGAAGTTTTAGGGATCCTGAAGCCGGTTAGTCAGTACACACAAGTGCTCGATTTTGTGCAAGGTAAAGAAGAGTACTCACGGATCAGCAGCACGTCGTCTTTTTCTTGCTTCGCCTCGTCTATAGTTGTCATATTCCGGATAAACTTCAGGGGCGCAATACAAGAGTGTTCCACAGAACGTTTTCATGAAGGATTCTTCTTGGGTGACCTTGGAGAGTCCAAAATCCGAAAGCTTAATATGTAAGGGTTCAAACGACTGGATCAATATATTATCGGGCTTGATGTCCCGATGTGTTATCTTCCGTCTGTGGAGATATTGAAGGGCATGTAGAAGTTGCCGAGAGATTGTTTTTACCTGCTCTTCCGCAAGGTGATGACATTGATTAAGATAAGCGGACAATTCGCCACCGGGAACATATTCCATTATGATGTAAATCCAGCGGTTATCGTGATCATGGTAATCTCTGAATTCAACAATATTCGGCTTATAGGAGTTAGTCATCGTGGTAAGGGGATATTTGTAGGGAAGGGACCTTACATGTCGTAATCCACTCATGATGATCATCTCATTGTTGACTTTGTGATCTGAGATATTGTTTTTCATAAGTCGCCGTTTGTCGAGCTCCTTGCAAGCGTAGACCATGCCGTCGTTTTTTGTCGCGAGTTTGTACACTGTAGCAAACGCGCCTTTCCCAACCTGTCCGGTAACGTTGTATTTGGAGCCACCATTCCAGTGCATTCCATGGCTATTTCCGCCTTGCTGGGAGACGATAAGATAACCATCACGAGGTTCGACTTTCATCGGCTTCCCTCCACCATCCCCCACCTTCTTGCACGCATTTTGCATTCGATTCATGTAGTGAATCACATTCTGCGTGTACTGACGCTCAAAACCATCCCTGGGGGGAATGCGGACTATAAACCTGATGCCAGCTATTGAATCATTCGCCACCTGAATGATAGAGCCGGGAACAAGCATTTGGGTGGAGGAGGTGCCATTTTTATTATCCCTCCGAACAACGATATCATCTACAAGGGTTCCATTGGTTGAAGTGTCTTGGAGCATCAAGATGTTGTCGCGTGTTAGATAGATCCGAAAGTGCACATTTGAGATCTTTTTTTCGCTGTCATCCCGAGCGAGGACTATATCGCAACGATTCGGATTGCGGCCGAAACAAAAACCCATATTCACATCTTTTACAGGAGATGAAAGCCTCAAGGCGATGTCTCCGGGAGAGCTGTTGGGAAGCCCGGCTTCGTATTCAAGATTGGTCCTCTGTAAGATATGCTGCTGGCCAAAGCGCGCAGTGGCAGTTACAGCATTGTGGGCCGCCATGGAGTTAGGATGCAAAACACAAATAATGTCGGGAACATCGTGTTCATCAAGCCCGGAGTTGTTGAGGCCCATCCGCCGCGGATCGGCATATGGCTGGGTTGAGTGCTGCGTTGCCTCATCCATTGCTTTGTCGCTTCAAGTTGTGGAAAATTCTAGTTGCAAAGATGAAAAATAATGGGTAGAGGTTCCCTCACTTAAATACACGAAAAGGGTCTAGTATATATGATTCTCAAAACGGAAGGTATGCTGTACCGTGTGCATTTGATCTCGTGCGTTAACTTCGGAAAAGTATCAGAACATATGAGATACCTCCCTGAAGGGGAACTGTGTGTTGTTGTGAGGGGTTGAGTCCACTTTGTCCCCTGGGGATGCTTTGTTTTAACGTCGGATGAATATCGATACAAAGTCTTCTAACCCCAGTCGTAAGGCGCAGCGGGGTTGCATTACAAGCTGCCAGTCGAGTGCCGAAGGGAGTGGAAATTGAAGGCAAAATACCGTGCGAAATATGGAATCGCAAACGAGCAAGATTTTGCCTGGTTGCTGGGCAACGGATGCAAAATCGGATATGTAGAATTTGGGATTCAACTTCAATACCATCCCACCAAGAAGACTCCGCAAGTCACCAAGGATAGCCTATCTGGGATTTGGTACTTAAGCCTAAAGTTGGCGGATCTTACCGTTGCTCTGCAAGCGGCAATGAACCTCCGAAGTTGACCAACGACGGGATATATTTGTGACAGGCAGCCACCAGGCAGCGAGAAGGGCGGTTAGAACAGTTTCCCTTCACGCTAAGCGTCGAGTCACACGCTCAGTGTCAAAAAAAAAACCAATGAGTATGAGCAGCCGCTCACCCGGCAACGTGTTGTCGATGTGGAGAGCCAAGCGACGTTGCGTGAAGGGGACAAAGTCACCCCCAAAGATATTCGTTTCTGCCTGGGCACCTCAGGCTCGCGACATGTCCAATAGGGGTGTCCACAAGAAAATAACCAACAACCAGTATCCCAGTAACCAGTAATCTCATGTGCCTTACAGAATGCACCTTAGGTACGCTATGTTGCTATCTGAAGGGGTGGGCAAGTGGTGCACAACGAGGTACACTTAGTGGCCCGAACAGAACAGCGTCGATTAACCTAACCAATAGGACATGATTTCCATCAGCTAACAACGTCCATAGCTCATGATGGAAAATAAACATGTTTCAGGAGCGCAATGGTTTAGGTACGACTTACAGATACCCATGGACTGGAGCTGTCGCCAGGACAGCAAAAAACCTGGGGGAGCTCGCACAAAATATCGCAGTTACGCGGCCGACAAGGCGTGCCAGCATGAAGGCCGCCGAGGCAGCTAAATGGATTGTAGGATAACTGTACCCGTGGACAATGCCTCTTGGGGCGAGAGGTTGACATTCAATGCTCCAGGTTACGGTCAACACAGCCGCGGCGAGGTCCTTCGGAACGCCGGCGTAAGGATAATCCTCGACAAGCCCCAGGCATCGACATCCATGGATGGTCCGTGCATGTGCTGGCCCCGGGTTCCACGGCCCGAGTCGTCCCTGGAGCTAAAACCAGGCGTTGTTGCCAAACTTGGGACCGAGAGGCGCTGCCGTTGCGCCCGTGGCCGCCTTGGGAAGTTGGGAAGTTGGGAGTTGGGAATTGCGCAGCACTTCTCGAACCCTTCATTTCAGTTCGTTGGTGTCCGTTCTTGTGTGACGTTGCCAACGTTTCGAAAATCCGGAAGGTTGGCACGTCATGGGCGTTGTTTCAAACATCCTGATGCAAAAGTTACGCCAGTGCATATTCTGTGCGGAAGACACTCCTTGGGAACGTCTTTGCAGGGCGGTTTCCACATATGGCGGTCATCGCCCAAATCATAATCCCGTTCTCCACTGGCCTAAATCAATTCCATCTCCATCACAGTATATGTGTATGTTCTATTATCATATGTTTTTTCGATCCTCAATTTTACTCCATTCCCTTGTCATACTATACAGGTTAAGGTGGCCATCTTCCTTATGTGCCAGAAACACATATATGCAAATTTTCTATGATAGTCTGCAGGAAAGATACCCAACTCCTGGCTGCTTTCATGTTATTACCTGAGCCCCTCACTCACCCAGAAGGCTTTTATGGAGAATTGATTTTGTTTATATTCAATGATGTGTTTGAATAAGCAACTATATTTCATATTACTTGCTAGTGATCCATTTTCGATTATCTATGGACCATTAGAACTGCCATTGTGGAATTATTCGTCCATGTATGCATATCACCTGCATCGTGGACCAAATCCGGGTGATTGCACTAAAGCTGAAATTCCAGCTAGACACTGATATATGGGCAAGAGTGTTGAGTACTAACCTAGTTGCTGTCCCAGCATAAAATGAATGATCTAATTTGGCCTCAGAGTCAGTTCAATACACTAATACTGGGAATGTACTCCGTATGTTTCCTGGACATGGCAGAATGAAACCAATTGGCCTCTTTTTATCACTACTGGGAATCTTTGTCAGAGCGCTATCCCAGGACCAGCTATATCTCATCTCACACATTGACAGGATACACAAAAATGTCTTGGCAAGCTTCCCAATTCATTCAACTATTTTATTAACTGCCAAGGTCAATGTTCAGACACGTTTTCATTGACACAAATTTTATAGCTTCAATTTGACTATTTGTATAGTTGCTGTGTCGTCTTAGAGCTTGAAAGGTTGAGACAATTTCCAATCTAGCCACAGTCATTTCAGTGCCGCAGATTTTGTCTTATGCTGCTAAATGCACATGTACTGTACCTAGGAGTATTCATCATATTCAACATAGCTCTCATCCATCCAATCATTCAAATTAGCATCTGTCAAAAAGATAAATTCAGATAAGCTAGTCAAACTTCTGTTACAGAGATGTACAGAAATTCTATAGAAGAAAATACAATGTTGTCTGTGACTTCAATGTATGCCTGCCTGCCTGGTCAACTTCTTGATGAATTTTGGTAAACCACTTACATTTGATTGAAGGCAATAAATCAGACGAGTCAACACAAGCACGATGCCGATTTTTGAACAAGAGATTCCATTTCCTATGTAAGTCAGCATATGGACGTGTTTATTTAATGTTTCCTTTTTTGTTCTCAATTGAATATAAAGTTTCGTTTCTTCGTTACATCTCCAAGTGTGCAAGGCGCGTGTTAGTCAGCAACCAGCGCGTTCTGAAATCAATTCCAACATCCGTGCAAAAACAAGGATGGACAAGTGGCCATACATTCTATTTATCACCAAAGGATAGAAAAAAATACCTACATTATTCCCCTGCTCGACTTCATGGCTGACAATCCCATCATCTCGTCAGCGGCCTCTCTCCTAGTTCCTTGGGAGACTTGCAAAACAGTAACGTGCCACTGCCGTAACTGTGACAGTCTGTTAGCTATCGCCCCGAACTCATGGGCTAGCTGCGACCCTTACCTATTCACGCCTGGTTCAATTTGCATGTTTGATGATAACATTTTCTCGAAACCCAATTGTGAACCGCACCCATCCGAGGAAGCACAGCTTCAGTCGATTATTTGCAATCATTGTCTGCAAACAGTTGGACAAGGCGTGCAGAAGGACGTGTTCAAAAATGGATTTCCGTGAGTCGACATCATCACAGAGCTTTATCCATCAGTATGCATATTAATAGTTTCAAGTCTGTTCAACGTCTTTTGGACCTCGCATGCAACTTGCCTGCGGGATATCACTACTCGGGGTCTAGTCCCTCCCCGCGTGGATGCCGTGATGCGAGAGTCGTCTCTGAAACCCCCTGGCCCCAATAAATATGAGTCAAGCTGTCATCAAAAACAAACAGACGGCCAATCCGACAGGAAAGACAATCAGGGACATAACTTTGATATGTCCTCTACCAAAACTACGTCGAATGGAATGCATGTCACTATCAATGAATTAAGGCATCAAATCAGCACTCTACAGGATGAGGTTCAGTATTTGAAAACTGTAACCCCATCCATAAACCAAATACAACAAGAACCCCATGATGGTTATGAACTAATCGCCACCGCTTTGAGGGAGGTCAGAGCGAAAGGGATTGAAATAGAACTTCTTAAACAAGAAAACCATTCTCTAGAGCTCAAATGCAAGCAGTTAAAAAGCATGGCATTAACCCGGGTTGAGCGATCGTCTACCATTAATGATCGCTCATTTGCCGTGGCTCCGAGCAGGCCCAGCCAGCCCCTAACCATGAACCCAAGCGGTCCCCCTTTGGGCTTGAACTGCAATGGGAAACGGTTAGGGTTAGAAGAATTCCCTTTAGCAAAAAAAGATAGGAATTCACAATCACTTGATGCTGAGAGCAACCAGCAGAATTCAGCAGCACGCAATTTGTCAGAGAATGCAGTCTCTCTGCCTCCTTATGGCTCACAATCGACCCCCGTCGTTTCCAAAGCATCACATCGCGAAGCCTCAAATTCTGACACCGACGAACTTGCTGAACCATGGCAAGGCCTAAAATATCGAAAATTATCGAGTAACGTGAATTGTGGGGAGAAGATGATCCCTTGCAGTGCAAAGCCTTTCCACTCAAGCCCAAACCAACGTCAAGCACATGAGCTAAACCAAACTTCCCAAAATGACCCTGCTAAACCAAGAAAGAAAAATGCTCTCGCGAAGGCATCCCGTGGACGGCCGAAAACTAAGTCCCTACCCGCAAAAGCATCTATGACCACTAAAATTCCCTTGAAAGAGTCGGCTCCTAACACCGTGAACCCAACAAACTCGCAGGGCACTGCCAATTCCATCAGTCCCCAGAATAGAAGTGAGCACCAACCCGGGGACAAACTACAAGCCATGCGCAGACCAAGAAGAGCCAGTGCGCGACTCTCAAGGAGATCCTCCCTTGTCTCTCCGGATCATGAAAATACTGAACACACCGCTAGCACCAAGCCGAATCGGTCGCATTCGGTGCAGGACTCGATACAACAGAAACAACACGAAGAAAATCCGCCCCTTCCAGCCCCAGACACCGGTAACTCAGAGCAAACTATTCCAAACTCTCAAAGCGATAGTGATAACGCACCACTTGACCAGGAGGATTCTCGCGCTACTGTTAATGAACAGGAAGAATCTGCACAAACCGCTGCAAAATCCAGAAGCCCTCGCGACTCTGCTCATGACAAACGTAAATCGCAAATCGCAGCTCGTGACGCTCTTGCAAAACTGACCATGCAACGAGAAGAAGCGCTGGAAATGGCCGCCCATTGAAGAAAGGAAGAACGGAAGATCAAGTATGTTTTCATTTACGGCACTAAGTTTTGTTTACCTGTTATTGAGCTATACGTTTGGCAACATGGGGATATGAGGTTTTTGCCAAAATGTTCCCCGAAATTCACGGCTCTCAGCCTTTTTACCCATCCGTCGAACTACTTTCTAGGATAGTAAAATTCCCTACACTCCGGGGACTTCTGTCCTTGTCTAGATATTATGCCCAATCTTTAATAGTGAGCGGAGGGAACTGCCCGCCCGCATTATTAGCTTTGGTACTAGTTATTTGGTCCCCTTCATCCCCTTCATCCATGTGTTTAAATCTATTTACGCTCATCAAGAGTTCATGTCGGCTTTAATTACGGAGTATATGCAACTAGTATTCAGCATGGTAAGCCGCATATATATACATGGAAGGGCTTTTGTAGATGTTTGTCAAGAAGGATAATAATAAAAGAATGTTTCATTCAGATCAAGCCAGGGAGCAAAATCACTCAGCTACTTTACAGTCATGAATCCACATCCCTCCCTCGCCACCTGGCAAGCCCTCTTCAGCGCTTGCTCTTCGGAATCTGTCCATTTCACACTGAGTTCATGCCACGGCTTCCGGCTTCGAAACTCCTGCATGTAGGTCTTATGGAGCTCCTGAAGACGGGAAACTTCCCGCGGGTCGCCTGTACCAGAGTACACCATGAACAAGGTGCATGGCGGTAATGAATCAAAAATTTGCTGGATACATGAGACCGTTTTCGCCACGGTTGAGGCGAGGCACTTGGATTTTGAATCGTCAGCTTCAGCCAAAGCTTCTCTATTCGATGGGTCGAATGGATCTGGGGCTGGGATTGCCGCAAACTCGTTTGCCTTTGTCGGATCAGGGATACGGTTGCACCAGCCGCGGAAGACTTCGAGTTCACGTAGGCGCGCCCAGGTAAAGTCTACACCACCGCCAGGTACTAAACGGCCGTCTTCATCACCATTTACGGCGCGTTTCACGGCCTGAACCACTTCATCATCGTTTTTGCAGCCCAAGGCAACTGTTGCTTGAGAGCCGAATCCCCGTTCTGGGTTGCCCCAGTCAGCAACAGCCCCTGTTCGACCCTCTTTTGTCGCACCGCTAGCGGTTTTCCCCGGGACAGTGGCGCGGGCAAGTCGGCGGAATATAGTTTCATTAGAAGCATCACATGTTCCCCATCGTTCGCCTTTTTCGCACTTTTGCTTGACAAGTTCAAGTACAGCTCGCGCGTCTTCAATGGAGTCATGTCCGTCTTGACCCTTTTGGATTTCTTTCCCGAGATATTTCTGTGATAGCCATTTTAAGCTTGATTTCAAGGGGGGTCCGCGAGGGTGGGGATAGATGATTGAGGTGTCAACGATAAACGGATGAGTCAATTTGAGGGCTGATAGATCGGAATTGAGAGAGTGGCCAATTAAAATAGTACGAGGGGTGAATAAAGTTAGCAACTTCTGCTGGACGTCTGGCAAACGGGTAGTCACAGGTTCCAACATTTCTTTCGTTATCCCGGAAAAGCGTGTCAGGTAATCGATGATAGGTTCATCCGGTTTGACCAAATCATCCAGCACCACTTCCCCATCCCAGGAGACGAGACTAACGCGCGTGAGTTGCGAAGACCCTCCTTCAGTGATACACATTTCACAGTCTAGGGAAAGGATTTCTCGCCCCGCTGTTATGCTACCTAATTGAATATCATTCTCGAGTACTGTTCCATCTGAGTACCTGTCAACTTTGGTGTCCACCCAGCCATCATTGGGGCCCTGCCTCAACGAGACTCGTAGATTCGCATTAGCAGAAGCGTCTTCTGGTTTATCGAATAACGCGGGATGTAACACGTATTCATTATCTCTCAAATCATTTATGGAACTAATGAAAGTAGTAATCGGCGTCCGTTTCGCTGGCCAGTTGTCTATGCCACGGGGAGGCTTCGGGCCCTTAAGTTCACTTGTCTCTTTTGATTTCGGCAGAGCAGACAATAAAATAGCTTGCAGTGGGGAGTGCACTTTATTATATTTTGAGTCTCCCGGTGTTTTGACAGGCCAGATATGTGGGAAAATATCAGCTAACGGTTTAAGAGCGTCGGGTAGCTGGTCCACCGAAAGTGGTCTTGGGTTGAATTGTGCTTCGCTCGGCACCTGGGGAAGACCTGCTTTCCACCGATCAAATTCACTTGTGCTTTTCTCGCTGGCCCGGACTTCGTTCCACGTATCTTCAGTGTTCTGCGCCACAGAATTGCTGCAATCCTTCTTATCCGATACAGAAGCATGAGGATTGTCAGCCATTAACGGAACAGTACCATCAAACATGCCAATCTCCAGACCAGGGACCATTAGCACTACCACTTTCCTGACATGGCCAGAGTGCTTCATTGAGATCCATTGCGGTGCAATGCCATCACCGAAGCAATAAAGTAGCAGCCCCTGTAAATCTGCTATTCTGATGGAGGATTGCAATCGACCTTCCACATAGGTCAGTGTTGGGTACTTGGTTTTCTCGTTTCCTGCCCTCTTTCGCTTCTTCATTGGTGCCACTTCAGGTTTCTGGGATGGATTGCTATGGTCGTTGCGGAGCATCGAAAGAGTCTCAGCTACGCCAAACCCATTGTTGTTTTGGGGAGGAAGTGATGCACTGTTGGGGCTGGCATTCGCGATCTTCACAGATGATTGTGAGCGTTTACGCTTTCTACCAGAAGTCATATATGCCGCTGGCTAGAGTGGAGGCCAAATAATAAGCTCCAAGGAGCAATTGTATAAATTGCGCAGGCTGACACGGAGCGGACAAATGGCTTTTTATGAGGATTCTGAGTATCAATACAATATGCGAAACGGGAGTAGCCACAAAATGGTCACTGGAACATGCTCGACCCCGAAAGATACGTGCACACATACAGCTGGGGACGTACTCCAAGTTGTGGGGGATTCTCAACACGCCAAATATTTTTTCTGGAAGCTTCGTGTTGATGTGTGATCCAAACAAAGCTGGGAAAATTTCCAAGGATGTTGTTTTACGTCACATGACATGGTTGGTGATGCTGAATTACATCAGGTTGAAATTCAAGATTAAGATTTCTTTATCCATTCACCGGCAATTGAAGAGATAAAATGGGAGATGAAATGGGCCGAAATGGGCTGAAGTGAAACCGCGAGGTCAGATTGAGATCAATGGTAAAATCAAATCAAATTTAAAAATCGCCATTTAAAGGTGATGTGGTGAAGTAACTCCTTATTAAATCCGTAGAATAAATAAACCTTTCTAGTTATACCATCATTCACCCTCCCAAATTCCGGTGGTCGATTCATTTCAGGACATATCCTCAAAAATTCGCTATGTGTTTCTGAGTCCTCTATATTTTTTCGTTCATTACCTTTTTCCATCCGAAAACACTCTTGTTTAGCCTGAAGAAAGAAAATAGAGAAAGAACAATCCAGCTCGAACCATTGAACAGAGAGTGGTTCGAACTCAGTTACAAGTTGCGAGCAGTCATCGAACAGGAGTTTCCAGTTAGCGACCTATGGCATAATTATAACTAGATGGCGACGACTAGCTGAACGAACCCATTTGGACTTCTATCAATTGCACACTAGGCGGCTGTTGATTCGACTGATTATCACTCACGACTTCAAGCTCTCTTAACGTCCCTCATTGTCGGAAACGGGAGACGTGAGTCCAAATACGTGGGGCCAAACACATTTATTCTCCAGAACAATGGGTTGGCTGGGACATTACAAAACGTGAACTGGAGAGAGTTCCAGCGGGTGATGGTTACGGGCTATATGAACGCCCGGGGTTAGCAAAGGAAACAAATAGGACATTAACGGTGGAGATGATTCAATCATCCGCGATGCGGGGTGCCTGTTGGTCTAGCTGGAGAAAGGGACTCTCCCATACTAATCAACAGGGTTGTGCGACTTGAATGACCCCAGATCAGAGAAAGTATTGGAAGAGAAACCACAGATATTGACTAGACCCTAACGTCGAAGTTCACGCATGTTTCCATTCAGCTCGACTCATTGGGTGGTGATTTCGTAGGTTGTGACTGCGAAGGACTTCCAGCAATTTTCAGTCTCAATGTTGGAACTGGAACTTTCTCTTCGGGTGGAGCGGATACAGAAGTTGCAAAACATGTATTTTTGGTGGGAGTTTTTATCATTACACCTAAAGGATCAACCCTGAAGGTGGGAAGCCATCTTAAGATACTATATTTGCATGTTCATCTGTTTCATAGAAGCACATAAAAGTAACTAATCGCTTGGCATTGTGACCGCCAAGAAATACAAGCCTTGGCCATACCAATCTGATAACGCAAGCCGACCATCTGATAAAAAAAATCTCATCCGTCAAGTTGAAATTCATCTCATTTTGAAGACATTGCACCTGCCAACATCACCAATCCGCGATATTCCAGTTTTATTTCAACTGTATTCCGTATATCTCCCTGTTCCTCATTTATCAAAGTGCTCACCTCCTGTCTTTCTGGGTGCCCAAAAGGACGTACCAAGTCATACACCAGTCATACCCCGCCTTCCGACGAGATAGCCAGCTTGGAGCTCAACTATGTCAACCCTGACCGAAATTGCTTCGGAAGAAGCCTTCAATAATCATGTCTCCTCCATCCCTCCATCCGCCCTCTTAGTTCTCTATTTCCACACTCCCTGGGCTGCGCCGTGCACCCAAATGCACACAGTGCTCTCCACCCTTGCGTCCACCTATCCCGCCACTACTCCTCCCGGCATCTCCTTTGTCAGCGTAAACGCTGAAGAGCTCCCAGAGATCTCTGAAGAATATGGCGTTACGGCGGTCCCTTTTGTTGTCCTTGTCCGCGACGGCAAAACCCTCCAAGCTCTTTCCGGCTCCGACGCAGTCAAAGCCCGCGTCGCCATCGAGCAGCATGCTGGCGTGGATGCAACAGGCAGCACTACCGGTGCGGAAAAGCAATCCATCCCTCCTCCTCTTCATGCAGAACCAAGAAAAGATATCTCCACTTCCACTCCCAGTACCTCTGATACCCCTCTCGCTACCACAAACGGTGCAGTCTCAGCCGCCGCCGACCCATCGCTGCCGCCCACGAAAGACGAGCTCTTCGCCCGTCTCGATGAGCTAGTAAAGGCCGCGCCAGTCATGTTATTTATGAAGGGAACACCAAGTGCCCCGCAGTGCGGATTTAGCAGGCAGCTCGTCGGCATTCTTCGCGAAAATGGTGTGAAATATGGCTTCTTCAATATTTTGGCTGACGAGGACGTGAGGCAGGGTTTGAAGGAGTATGCCGATTGGCCTACGTTCCCCCAGCTGTGGGTGAAGGGAGAATTGGTGGGCGGACTTGATATTGTGAGTTCTCCCTTGCCCCTTTGGTGTGCATTTTGACCCCACAATCTTCCAATAGGTGTATTTTCTATCAGTATCTAATCAGCCGCTATTCACGTCCGAACAGGTCAAGGAAGAAATCGCCACAAATCCAGACTTTTTCAAAGACTATTCGGTAGCACCCCGAGCATAAGTATAAAAATTATTGTCCTCTTGTCTTTCCATGATTAAATAACGCAATTACCGTCAAGGCAGTAATATGATTTCTTCCCACGAACTCTTCTGTAATCAAACTCGTATTTTGTCACGATCCCAACAGCCACACAATGTCCTCTCTCTCTCTCTCTCTCTCTCTCTATATCCTCTATCTTTCTTTTCGTTTCTTTTCTTTTTTGCTTTCTTCCCCCCCCTTTTTTGATGACCGGGCGAATTTTTCCTTTGTCCCAAATACTGTTTCCACGCAATCGGAATCAGGCCATTTTAGCGCCCTACAATCAAATCGGGCACTTCCAAAATAAATAAAAAAAATGAATAATAAGGAGGGCGATGCATGATAGATATAACGCATGAGGTCACAAAGCCCAAGATCATATAATAATACAAAATCAATGGAAGCATGGAGAGATTGACAATCATATGCAAATACCACTGGAAGGGAGAACAAAAAGATCGAGTAAAGTACAGTGCGCAATCGCAGGTATGAGAATTTCAAATATCACAATTCCTGGCTCCTTACTTATTGCGTATTCACTACTCCGCCGACGGGAATAGAAGATTCGGGTCTGAAACGAAAATCAAAAATCAAAAATGGCCCGATCGGAGTCTGGATGACACATGTCACAGTAATAACTAAATATATCCAGATTTTGACAATCAACTTCTCTTTCAAAAAATGATCTACGGAAGTAATGACGCGAGGCCCTGAATTCCTGCCCGCTGGTCGCCTTGATTTTGATCCTTAACTCCATTGGCATCCTCCGTCGCAGCCTGCACATTCCGTGAATGCATATCCTCCACAAGTTTGCGCGTGGGGTGGTTGATCCAACTGAAGTAGTCCCGTTCGCTTAACAGGCGGAACGTCGACCTCAACGCATCCTCATCCACATACGCACCACGCAGCCACCGTTCGCCGCCGTTGTCCCCATGACCTGTCCCAGAAAGGTCAAATGCGTTCCTCGCATGCACCACGCGGCGATTTTGGAATATTACGCATTGGCCTGGCTCCAGTTTAACTTGGAATATGTTTTCTGGCTTGCCAAGCTCAGCCGCAAAGGCTTTCATGGCTCTGACGTAGAGTTTTATATCTCGACCGTCAACTAGATGCTTTGTGAGGTAGGAGGGTGCTTGGAATGGCGGGGAGTAGTTAACGTAGTTGACGTAAGGGACGGGGTTTTTCTTGGGTGGGTTTTTGAGGAATTCCTCTCCACCCTCGATCTCGATTGTAGGGTGGGAATATTGGTAATGCTGGTTATTGTTCTTGTACTCAAAACGGGTGGGAGTTTTGCAGAGAATGTCGAATAGAATGGGGTCGTTTCGTAGCAAACGTACCGCGGCCTGGAAAGTGTCTGAAAAAAGCGATTCGCCGCCTGAAAAGGAGTTTCTTAGGCAGTGAAGCAACTGGTATCCAGGTGGCTCTTTCATATATAACAGGTCCATGTGAAAGTCAAGATGTTTGTTGGTATAGGCAACGTTTTTGGCATCTGGAACACTGCGCACATCCCATGTTGAGCCGTAGAAAGAGTTTCGCAGAGGGCCCATGCGAGTTGCAATCTTCTCAACCATCTCAGGCGACTCCGGGATATCCTTGACAAAAATTAAACCCAGGTGTTTCAAAGTACGCATGGCAAGGAAGAATTGTAAATCGTCCTCCATGTAATCTTTGAATGATACCCAATGCTGGCTCTGGTCCATGATAGATTTATTCCATGACGTACGACGACCCTCCTTGGCCCGGAAAAATTTCTCAACCGCGGTCAGAGTAGACAATTGCTCTGGGGAAAATGTTGAGACATGAGATTCGTCATAACCAGGAATGTCATTGCTCCATGTCACAACCAATTGGCCATCTTGAACCTCAACAGTACGTGCGGCGATGTCACTGGGTATATCGGACATGCGAAACTCACGTTGTCTTGACGATTGGTCGACGCATTTGGGGCAGGTACATGCATCCCGCAAGCGAATGCTATCGATGTGAACGAGTTGTTGATTTGGGGTTGTGACTACCACCTTTCCAAAATCGCCTACCGTGGCAGACTCGATGGAGGAGATGACAAATGACCGAATGGACGGAGCGTCAGGTGTTGTGAGCATCCGCACGAGCGGTTTTTCCGTGGTTGATGATTCCCTAACAGGCGGAGATGGGATCTTCCTCACAATCTGTCTCGATGCCCTAGGAGCCGCATAGGCTTCGGTCGAATCACTGTAACTAGCTCGTGGAATGGAAGCGTAAATTAGTCTGCCCGCGGTCCGCCGAAGCTGGCATGAAACAGCCAGCTTCGCTCCAGCCTGGCGCAGAGGGGCGAGAGCAAGCGACATGGAGCCAATCTCCCTAGAGATCTACGTTGTCAGGCGGGGCAAGATGGCGTCTAATTGAACTGCTTGCGTGTTTGTCTGTCGTCCTTGTTGAAGATGCGGAGAGATCCTTGAGTTCAAGTTCTCAAAGATTGGAGACTTTGGTGGACAAGTTCAAATCATGTGATCTAAAAAAAATATCCCAGATAATTCTCTCCTTGCGGCGAATTCAATCAATGTCCCTATTATTATTATAATTGGTGATGTTGTTAGGGTTTCTCAAACTCCATTCCTCAGCAGGTCAAATATTTTATGTACTGTTCAGAAGGGCAGATTGACTCATGCTCTCTTTGGAATACGGAGTTAACCTTTCAAATCCTTACTTTTATCATCACTGGCAAGTAGGGGGAGATCTCTTTTCTGGCCCTGTCACTACTTTGGCTGCTCTCCGTATGTATGTCGGCTGGGGGGTTACATCTCAATGAGGAAGTGAGTGGGGCTATTTTATTAAATATCAAATATTATTCTGCAATGGCTTCTCTATCTTAATTTGGGTACTAATACATCTGGAGTTTTACAGGGCAACAGAATACAGGTAGTGGCTGCCGGTGCAACCGCTGGGCTGGTCTCGAGGTATACACCTAACTAGACATACATATATTTTATCCATGGTTGAATCTCTAACTGGCCACAGATTCTGCGTCGCACCACTAGATGTCGTTAAAATCCGCCTGCAGCTCCAAATCCACTCGCTATCAGATCCCCTTTCCCACCGTGACATCAAAGGCCCGATATACAAAGGCACCATCTCAACCCTCAAATCCATATTCCGCGATGAGGGCATAACAGTGCGCTTATTCCCCATAGAACTAACCAACTAACCAACTAACTAAGCAAAACAACTCTAGGGCCTCTGGAAGGGCAACATTCCTGCCGAGCTCCTCTACATCTGCTACGGCGGCATCCAATTCTCCAGCTACCGTGCCATCTCCAGCGCGCTCCGCACCCTCCCTCACCCCCTCCCTCAACCCGCCGAATCCTTCATCTCCGGCGCCGTCGCCGGCGGCATCGCCACCACCTCCACATACCCCCTCGACCTCCTCCGCACTCGTTTCGCCGCCCAAGGCAATGACAGAATCTACGCCTCCCTCCGCGCATCGGTCTGCGATATCGCGCGCACGGAGGGCACACACGGGTTCTTCCGCGGCGCCACTGCTGCCATTGCCCAGATAGTACCGTACATGGGCCTTTTCTTCGCAGGGTATGAAGCCTTGCGGAGTCCCATTGCCAGCTTGGAGTTGCCGTTTGGCACGGGCGACGCGGGCGCGGGTGTCGTGGCCAGCGTGATTGCGAAGACGGGGGTGTTTCCGCTGGATCTGGTGAGGAAGCGACTACAGGTGCAGGGTCCAACGCGGCGGAGATATATTCATACCAACATCCCCGTTTACGAGGGCGTGTATAGGACTATCAGGGCTATTTTGGCTTCGCAGGGGCCTAAGGGTTTGTATAAGGGGTTGACGGTCAGTTTGATCAAGGCTGCACCGGCGAGTGCAGTAACAATGTGGACGTATGAGCATGTTTTGGGGTTGTTGAAGGAGATGAATTGTGGTGATGATGAGGATGGCGGTGGAGGGATATAGTGGCGAGGCCTTGTATGTACCATTTTCCTCTCTTGGTTTGGAACTTTTTGCACGGGTACGAATTGCTTTTTGTATAATATAAGAGCGGCAACGGTGGAGTTTTCTGTTTCTCTATGGTTTATGGTAATAGAATCGGCCAAAATTGCTCTGGCTCCCTATGGTATTCAACACATAGGTTTATGGTGCGCATGAACTCTGACATTAATTGTATTTTCCATGACATCTCCATTGTCTACTTATCAAGTATTCAATTCATCCTTGCAGTTCAGTCCCCAGTCCCTCATATGGATTTTTTTTTTTTTTTTTTTTTTTTTTTTTTTTTTTTTGTTTTCATGCACTTTCCTACGGACTGCAGAATCCTTTCCATTTTGCGCTGTTGCACAAGAAGCGGTATTCCTCCACATCATCACTCTTGTTAAACAGCCACGACCCCGACAGATAACTTAGATAATTATCTTTATGCGACTTTCATTTTCCGCTTGCACTTTAGTTTCCTATGCTCTATTACTCTTATTTCCTTCGCTCCTGTACGATGCAAAACATCCCACACACAAAACAAGTTACAAAAAATCAACATCTCAAAAAGAATAGGATCGAATTAGAAGCAAGAGGATATAGTTCGAAAGGACGGCACTCGCACAAACGCTGGCGCTGGCACGAGTAGATATTAACCACGCGAAAAGATTCAAAAACAGGGGTCGGTTGATTGGGTTGGGGAAAGGGGAGGTGGGTGTATCATAAACTATTATGTTCTGTTCTCTCCCTTTTTGTCTTGTAATTCAAGTAAAATCAAAAGAAAAGAATCGTTCAAGTAATAGTTACTCGTGTCATATTTAGTATTCAACACCCTCATCACCCTCGGTGTCCAGACTATCACTAGCAACCTCCTCGTAATCCTTCTCCAACGCAGCAAGATCTTCACGCGCCTCAGAGAATTCGCCTTCCTCCATTCCCTCACCAACGTACCAGTGAACGAATGCACGTTTCGAGTACATAAGATCGAACTTGTGGTCGAGGCGGCTCCAGGCCTCAGCGATGGCTGTGGTATTTGACAACATGCTGACGGAGCGGTCGACGGGGGCGAGCTCGCCGCCCGGTACACGCATGGGCTTCTGGTAGTTGATACCAATTTTGAAGCCAGTAGGGCACCATTCGACAAGGTTGAAGGAGGTCTTGGCTTTGAGTGAAGCGACGGCGGCATTACAGTCGCGGGGGACGACGTCACCGCGGTAGAGGAGGGCCACGGCCATGTATTTTCCATTGCGGGGGTCGCAGACAACCATCTGGTTGTTTGGTTCAAAGCCTGTATGCATGTTAGGATTTTACATTCATTTGATTGGTCGGGGTGTGTATATAAAGCAGGTGATTGAATTTACATTGGAATGTAAGGTCATTGACTTTGAAGCTTTCGTGGGAGCTTCTGTTGCTGGATACAACAGGCGCATAACTGATGAGGGGGTAGTGGATACGAGGGTAAGGGACCAGGTTGGTCTGGAACTCGTTGAGATCGACATTCAGAGCACCGTCGAAGCGCAAGCTAGATGTGATGGAGCTGACAACCTGAGCGATAAGGCGGTTGAGATGTTCATAACCGGGTCGAGGGATGTCCAGGTTGCGGTGGCAGATGTCGTAGACCGCTTCGTTGTCAACGAGGAAGGTGCAGTCGGAGTTTTCGATAGTGCTGTGGGTGGAGAGAACGGCGTTATACGGCTCGACAACAGCGGTGGAGACACGAGGAGCCGGGTAGACTGCGAATTCGAGCTTGGACTTTTTGCCGTAATCCGTGGACAAACGCTCCAGGAGGAGAGCACCGAAACCGGAACCGGTGCCGCCGCCAAAGGAGTGGAAGATCAAAAATCCCTGGAGGGACGTGCAGTTGTCTATTGCAAGAGCTTCTTAGTTCCTGGTTTATTCAAACAAGAATCTATATGTACAATATCTATGCATATCTAGAATCGACAGAAGTTGACATACCAGCAACGCGGCGAATGCGGTCAATGACACTGTCGACGAGTTCTTTTCCGATGGTGTAGTGACCACGAGCATCTAGTAACGGGGGAGTCAGCAGTCTAAGTTCCCTATCCTGGAAAATAATTCCATATCCATACAGTTGTTTGCGGCATCTTCCTTTCCGCTGATCAACATCTCAGGGTGGAAGAGCTGTCGATACGGGCCAGTTCGGATCTCATCGATTGGCTATATAGTCCGTAAGTAGCCAATCCTGCCATTATTTGACTCTCAATTGAAACACTGGATAGACATACGGAAGGGTCCAAATCGACGAAGATGGAGCGGGGAACATATTTGCCGCTGCCCGTCTCGGTGAAGAAGGTCTCGAAGGAGCCTGCTTCACCAACATCTGTGGCTTCAGGGTCCAGACGCCCATCAGCCTTCAAGCCGTGCTCGAGAAGATAGCTGGAATTTAACAAACACGCCGCATTGAGGGTTAGTTATGGAGGTTAAAGCGAGATGGGATCGTCGGGACAATGAGCAAGCGGAAAGGCGGTGAGGAAATATGTGATGGATGGTAACATACAGTTCCCAAGCGCTGTTTCCAAGCTGGGTACCAGCCTGGCCGATATGGAGATGGCAAACCTACAGGAAGAATGAATTGTCAGCAATATAAAATAAATAAATAAATAAATAAATAAATAAAATGATGTATGGTGGGCGGAAGGGATTGATAAAATGCACGCATGTGTGGTTTTTAAGGCGAGGGGGTTTGATGTGTGCCAGCAAACGCGGGTTGAAATCGGGCGTGCAGGAGGTAAACACAGGGGCTCTGATTCAACAACGTACCTCGCCTCTCATGATGACAGATGTGATGCAAGACTTGGGGGAGCGAAGAAGGAGGAACAATGGAATCTGCGAGGTGAAGGAGAGCAAGCAATCACTAGAGACGGCTTTGGAAAGGAGATGGAGTGAGAGAGAGGATCGAGGAGAGGAGGAGATGTTGATGAACGCCAGACGAACAACCCTCAAACGTCCAACACGGTTAGCGCGACCTGTCGCCAAGAAAGGGGGAGGGGAGATCATGTGATGAGATGAATCCGCACGTTGCCCAGGAACATCTCTGGATCTCTGGATCTTTTTCGCCAACAACCTCGTCAACTATTAGTATAACTAAACTAGAATATTAATATAGCTGAGGCAAGGTTGATATCACAAGCACCTCGAAATGGCGCTCGCCTAAACTTAAAAACGAATTCTCACATTTTGCTCGCCGTGTTTTTAATTTTCGATTGACCAAGCAGCAGCGGCTGTGCCTAACTATCAGAAGTAGCTATATGAAGATGCCGGGAACGAGGACATGTCACAGAAGTTGCCCATTACCATTCCGCCCCGAATTGCGGCCACGTCCGTCTCCTTCGCATGCGACACGCGAGAAGCGCGAAATCCAGTCCAAAGCACCTGATGCCAATGCCTCACTGGCGTGCCCAAGAATAGCTAATTGCATACCTCGTTTTAGCCTTGCGCTTTAGACAAATATTGAATCTAGGTTGTCGCACATTCCATAGAAAGAAGTTATGGAAGCAAGTGGAGGAATTAACTTAGTAACACACATTCTCCTTCGATCCATTGATCCTTCAATCAGAGCACTTGAAGGCCAGAGGATCTCTGTGTCAGTAAGAAATTAAGCTCCTTCGACAAGAACATTTAACTGATAATATCAGACTCAAACAGATTTTTGCCGAACACTCCGCCGTTAAAAAGAAGTTTGGCAAAGGCATAGTGGTTATCTTAGTTTATTTTTGATGGTCGCGGCGAAACCTATGTACGGTACAGTCTGTACTATGTCGGGCAATCCCAGGTCCCTAACACATGAAGGCAGTATTTGACTCAAAATCTGACATCCTACATTATTGCATTATCTGCAATGTCCAGGATCATCCTGCAGGCAAATTTTATGCGTTTGGGACGCTGATTCCTCCGGAAAAGCTGGAGAAAAGTATTCATGCTATATTCAACAATGCACTTGGAATAATCATGGCGTGCATATTCCAGTCACTTCCCCCAAAAGTATTGGAAAGGCGGTTTGGCGCTATAACTTCCTGGCCATTTTCAGGCGTATGCCTGAATGTTGTTCCTCCGATATACCAACGACTTGGCCTAGCACCGACCACCCGACAGGAGTTCAAATTACGCGTGAGTAGAAGTTCTGATCTGGAGATTCGAGCGCGGCCCCGAATATAGGCGGAAACAACTAAAAGGGAGTCCAAACTCCGCCGCAACAAACCACTTGCTACCTATGCTGAAAGAATTCAGATTATCCCAAGCATTTAGAGCGGCAATAGCCCCCTCTATTCTGATGATTTGAAACAAAGGCTGATCTCAGAGTAGTGCGGCATTAATCATTCCAAGCCGCGGCGTTTCTCTCCTATTCCAGAGGTATACAATCTTGCTAGAAATCGTTGCATCAAAGTCCCCGACGTTCCTTGCCTCCTTTGGTACCAGTCAAGCAACTATCGGGGTCATATTGGGGGAAAATACATTCGTCGTGGATTCAAACAAAAACCATCATCATCTAAGAATGCCATGCAGCTACATTAGGGATTTCTGCAGTGTGGTTTCACGGAATCCGATGTCCTTGTGTGGCCCTTTAATTCGGGAAACTTCAATTGACCTGAAAGCAAATCGGGTTAGGCCACTAAGCTCTATTAAGCTCTGGCTCCTAAGGAATGGCCATGGCGAAATTGTCCGAAACGGCTCAAAGGTTATTTTATGTAGTGCAACTGGCAGGAAGGTTTCTTTAACAGAACTTATAACAGACAACGCGATCGATTGAGAGATACGCGGATACGGCTGTAAAGGATATTGTCCTGAAACGCATGGGCTTATTGTATCACGCATGCACCATTATCGTGTCTCCGGGCGAACAAGTTGACACAATCACTATAGCTGAGCGAACTTTTCCAGTTTGTCGCGGCCATTACCAATGTCCTGGAATTTCCTCATGGCTTTACACGTCTGGCTGAATTTATGTTGCCGTTTTTCGCAGGAACAGCAGGGAGCTAACAAGGTTCTGTCCGAAAATGATATCACATTCTATTGATCCTCATTTTCAAGCTTGGCTGAATAGTAAAGGGTTTATTACATAAGACGACGTTGAGTCTTTGGAGTTACGAAATGGTTCTCCGATCCAGGGCATTGTGATGCTCTGTCATGTCCTACCGGTTTCCCCCGAACAGTATCGGCAGGCCTGTCTACCACCGCCACTAATTCGGAAGCCGGAAAAGAGAGCCTGGGACCCAGACCAGAGTCAAAAAAAAACCTTCTTGCTTTATGAAAGCATTTGGTAGTCGATCTTGTGGACTCGAGTCACAAGGACATTACAGCGGGTATTGAAACTAGCATTGACCCTCGCGGTTCCTTTCAAATAGTTCTACGCTCAAGGGGTGATGATATTCCTGGTGAGTCGAGAGATGGACATCGCCAGAAAAGAAAAGGTGTACCCTCCCATGTACGCCGTGGACACCTCTGACAATGAGCCAACAGGGAGGGGGGGGGGGGGGGGGTGTTGTGTCACTACCAAAGCCTCAAATTGGGAAGAAGCTGAACATTACCCAGTCTCAGCACCTTACGGAGCCGCGATGAGGGCCTATGGCTTAATTAACTGGATGTCCGGGCGCAACAGAGGAGGAGATCGCGTCAAGATCAAATAGAGATGGCTATTTTGCTCCAAACCAGGTCTATATAGTACCATACATTGCAACAATGGTAGTTATCCATGGTTCAGTAACACTTATTACACACAGCAAGCATATGTTATTTTTGTATGCAGTTGAGTGAAAATGTAATCTTGATTTATCATGTTCTCTGGGAATATGGAGTGAACGGATTGATCAAATCTCGGAACACGTTGTGTTTTTAGATGGTTTATAAACTTGCTAGGACTATCAGATGATGATAATAGATGATAATAACAAATTGAATAAATCGCGGTATGTAGCATGTTTTAGAAAGGATCTAGGCCTAGAATACACAGAGGGTTAATCTTGGGTGTTGGCCTTTGCCCTGCACGACCGCCCCCGCCCAATCGGCAAATAATTTAGGACGGCGATCTGCACGAGAAAGGATTCGAGGTGATTGGATGGGTCATTATACGACAGGAACCCAGAGACAAGATCGACAAGAGTTCGATTGATCCGGGGGGGAAGGTAATCAAGCAGCTTGCTGAGAAGCGGCGAGGTGGTGCCACTCTTATGGCAGCAGATCTGAAGCCAGCAGCCTGAAGGTGGCCCTGTACCGGGAGGCTGACTGGTTCTAATGAATGAAAAGAGGTTTGCAAGAGAGAGACACAAACACTACACTTCATGTCTTCAGCGCGAGAACCGACGGGATTCCCATAAGGTCCTCTCTGCCTTCGAGTGTGCAATGCGAACAGCAAAATCAGAGTACGCCTGTGAGGCATTCATAAGAGTCATCCCGCCCCTCTCTTTCACGAATTGTATCCAGTCCTACTGGCTGGGGGATGTCTTTCACCAGCCGAATCATCTCAAGCTTAGGGAGTCATCCCACAGCTTGTGGACTCACGTCTCAACGTCATTGAGGAAGCTGGTACGGTTTGCGGCACCAAACTTGCCAGCGACGACGAGGAGCGTGGAAGGAGCATGAGGAGGAGCAATCATGTTCATAACTAACTAACCCGACAATATAAGTAGGTGAGGTCGCTGGTTGGCTTGGCTCAATGTTAAATGTCAAACAAACAGTTTCGGAGAACGAGGTAAAACGGGGAAAAGTAAAAAAAGCAAAAGAGAGAAACAAAAGAGAAACAGAGGAGAAACAGAGGAGAAAGAAACCAGGGATCACGCTTCATAGTCATCGCGGTCGTTCTGCGGCACCACACCTCCCATTGCTCACCACTTCTCCTTTCAACCTTCAATGTTCTCGCCTTCAAGCAGCTTGGACATGGCTTATGTCCTTGATGTATGAGAGAGTAAGCTCTCTTATCTATCTTCTGTAAAGCCTTCCAGGCATGGCTCCGTTGGTCTCCATGAGCCCACACGTTAGCCCCACCATGAATGGCCATATGTTGGGCCAGAAGTGGATGCGCAGTCCTGGGGGACTGAGTCTTTTCAAGAGTTGCTATCTGGATTCTGTTCTCTCCCTTAGTGTGTACATAGAGATCTCTCCAGCGTAGCGCGTCCCCATGCCCGGGACGTTCAACAAATATATACATGCATACATACCTTCAAGCAGCAGCAGCGACAACAACAACTGGGTCAGAGAGTACGCACCACGCAGGCCGTGGACCATGGAGTCGCCAGAGGACAGATTCCGTTCATCTGCTGTATCCACCGACCTCCTCCACCATCCTCCACCAACAAACCCACTTCACCTGGCTTGGCGGGCTTGTCGTGGCTGCGAGTTCGTCAAGCCGTTGCCGCCGTTAGTTAGCTCGCTGGGCATCATCAGTCTCGACCCGTGAACGCGGGACGGCGATGCAGGGAATAAAACCCCTCAGCCTCCACCCGGACGGGACTGGGACAGGTTTCTTCTCTTCTCAAAAAGTTCTCCACGAACGTTTCACCTGCCATTAACTGGCTTTTTGTCTTCTCATCTCCTCCTTTCTTATTCCCTCGCTTGTCCAAGTTCTACCTTCGTTTTCGATCTCTCATTGTCCCCACCCCTCTTTTTTCTTTCCTTCTGTTCTTTTTTTTTTTTTTTTTTTTTTTCTCGCTCTTTCTTTTTCACTGTCTTTACTTTTGCATATTGCCATTGCCAATTCTCGACCCCCATCGAATCCGTCACAGCTATTAGTATCTATCCTATTCCAACTACAGCGTCGCCTCAATTGGCTTTATTCACGGCTATTCCAGCTCTCTATTTCTCGTGAATACAACAGACGTCAAAGTTTTTGTTGCATCTAGCGCTATAACTCACGCCCGTTTTGCGTCCTCGTAACTACCTTCGCATTTGGTCGGACTCTTCGCCTTCACAGCTTTATATAGCCCGATCAGTGAATGAAGGAATAAGAGGGTAAAAACTCAGTAACATAAAAGGGTTACAAAACGCCGATCTATTTCAATATGGCTTCACCTATTGACGAGAACCGTGAAACGAACCCGCTCAATGAGAAGGCACGCATTCGGAATAACAGTTCTTCAGAGGATGGAACAGTGGTGAATGATAGCTCACAGCCTCCAAATTCGACAACAGATCATCTGGCTGTCCATATCGACCCGGAGCGGGAATCCCACCCCCCGCTCGCCTCACCGTCCCAAAGGTCGCAAGAGAGGGAATTGGCCCACCGTCTAGATGACGAATTGGCCTTGATGGAGGCAGAGCGTGTTGTATCGAATGAGGAAAAGCTCTCTTGCCGTGAGAAGCCTGGCCGTCCCTTGTCCATCACTCCCACACGCTCCCGACGTTCGGAACCCGTCGACGAATTCGACGCTGCAACAAACCCTCTACATGAACACGCCGCCATCTACAACCCGCCCGAAAATCCCTCGACGAGTTTGGCAAAGTTTTTCAAAAAGGTCCATGAGTCTAGTTTCCTGGTCCGCTACTTCACCTACATCACTCCACTCGTCTTGATCCTTCTAATCCCGCTGTTAGTCGGCTTGCTCGCTTATCCGGATGCAAATGTTGGAGGTGTGCGATTGCTATGGTTCTCAGTCTGGCTGGAGATCGTCTGGCTCACTCTTTGGGCCGGTCGTATTGTTGCCAAATTTCTTCCTATCCCCATGGGCCTGGTCGCCAGCGTCCTCACCAACAACTCGAAAAAGTGGCGTGATCTGGGGAAGCAGCTTGAACTTCCCGCCACCCTTTTCTTCTGGTGGCTCGGAATCGAGATCTCCTTCTTACCGACCATGACCAATCACCATATCGACGGCAGCCGCGGGACGAAGTCTTGGGAGGTCGTCGTTAACAAAATTATCGTTTCGGTCTTCGTCGGCGCAACTCTCAATTTTATTGAGAAAATCATCATTCAATTGATCGCAATAAGCTTCCATCTACGCACGTATGCAGATCGAATCGAAATCAACAAATTCCAGATCGGGAGCATGGCCAAGCTATACGCTTACTCAAAGGAAAAGATTAAAATGGAAGATTGTGACTTCGAGGAATCCCCGCAACAGACTTCCGGAATGAGAACCCCAATGCAATACGCTGGTGTGGCCCAGCGGGTTGCCCGAACTGCATTGAGCAGGGTTGGGGACGTAGCTGGAGCTGTCGCAGGTGACTTCACTGGCAAAAAGGTGGCAAGAAGTAACCACCCTCACCAAGTCGTTTTAACGCTCTTAAGCACCACGTCTGGCAGCCAGGTTCTTGCCCGCCGTATGTATCGGACTTTTGTCCGCGACGGATTCGATACCATCTTCTCTGGGGACCTGAAAGCGGCCTTTGACAACAGTGACGAAGCGGAAGCTGCCTTCACCATGTTTGACAAGGATATGAACGGTGACATATCGATGGAAGAACTGGAGGCCGTCTGCGTGGAAATCGGCCGTGAGCGCAAGTCCATCACGGCATCTCTGAAGGATCTGGATTCTGTGGTTTCCAAGCTTGATAATGTTTTTGTCTTCATCGTTATTGTGATTACCATCCTTGTGTTTTTGTCCCTCATTTCTGCGTCCACGGCCGGTGTCTTGACGTCGGCGGGTTCCACGCTGCTGGCGCTCTCCTGGCTGTTTTCTGCTACAGCTCAGGAGTTTCTGCAGGTAAGGACCATATATTCCTCTTTGCTGCCATTGCACCTATTTTGCTGTGCTTAGCTAAGCTCCGTCCTCAGTCTATCGTATTCGTTTTCATCAAGCACCCGTTTGATGTGGGTGATCGTGTTTCTATATATGGAAATACTGGCGCAACTTTAACTGGTGATGACTATTTTGTGAAAGAAATTGCGCTGCTATATACAGAATTCAAGAAGATGGAAGGGCACGTGGTGCAGGCACCCAACAGCTACCTCAACACTCTTTTTATTCTGAACCAACGGCGAAGCGGTGCGCTTGCCGAAGCCGTTCCAATCGTCATCAAATTCGGAACCACCATTCAGCAAATTGATAGCCTCCGATTACGCCTTACAGAATTCGTACGGTCCGAGAACCGTGAATATCAAGGAAAAATCCTCACCGAGCTGCGGCAGGTGACTGAAAATTACTCCCTCACTCTCAATGTGGTGTTCTTTTACAAATCAAATTGGCAAAACGAACTGCTGCGTCTTCAGCGACGCAACAAGTTCATCTGTACTCTCATGCTCGTCCTCCAGGAGGTGGGCATCGAAGGACCGCGCATGAACACGATCGGCGCGAAGCATGATCTACCTTACCACATCAACCACCAGGGAGCTCCCCCCACCTATAACGACAGCACGAACGCACCCGGCCCCGGGCCCGGACGGTCCGGGCCCGAAACGGCTGATCCACACATGGCGTCGGAATCCCGTGACGCACTGGGAGGTCTGGGCCGTGCCCAATCGACGGGTATCGGTCATCATCCTTCCATCCTCCGAAACCGCGCCGGAACGACCTCCAGCGCACGTGGCCATGGTGAATCAGTGTCAAAACACGTCGACTTCTCCCTCGGATTGTCCGAACTCAGCGCCGCCGACTCGATGTCTGACGTCCACGACGACCGCCAAAGTAGCAACCGGGTCAACCAGATCATCCGCAATGCAAATCGCGAATCTGCAGAGCGCCGCCGTCGTGAACAAGACGAAGCAGAGGCTCAGCGCCGTCTCGACTCCCTTGAACAGTCCCGTTCCCACGCGACTACCCGCACCTCTAGTGATTCCCATCCCCCCTACCTCCCCAATCCCGCTACCCTAACCCCAACCCGTGGCAGCATGTCGTCCTCCATTCACCGCAACCACCTCTTCTCCCGATTGGGAACCCGCTCTGTGAGCTCCAGAGAAGGCAGAGATCGGTCCCGTAGCCGCTCTGGTGATCCGGAAACGGCCGAAACAGAGCTTATGGAACAGGGTCGCTACAATCCAACTCGTCACAATGATTTTACTGACACGGAACCGCGTTCAGACGGTGTTCCGTTGCGTAACCCGCAGGACGATATTACTTCGGACCAGGGTCGAAGACCGCCGGCGGATGATAGGGGTTAGGTGGAAATGGGTCTGCATGGCAGGTGTGGTGAAAATACCATTTTGAAAAAAAGTTTTAAGGCATAAAGCAAATAGAATTTGTCATTTTTCCTTTTGTTTTCTCTTTTCCTCTTTCCTTTTACTTTTGTCGTCCTCCCCCCCTCGCCACCCCCTATCCTCCTGCAACGTTGCCGGCAAGTTGCGGGCCCTCCATTTTCATTCTTGCTTTATTGTATATATTTATCATTTTCATTTATAGATATACCTAGGTTTTAACCTTCGACATTTGTAGCTGCCAATTACCCCAAAGCTGCTGGAGCCATTTGAACGGTCTCATCTAGCAGGGCTTGGGTGACAGGTGAATGAGCCAATGACATATTTTCGACGTGGAAACGTATAGCCATACCATTGCGTCCTCACACAATTTGGATGATTAATGTCCCTAATTAACTAGTAGTTTTTCTAATTTTTGAGGAGGTTTTCGTGCGAAGTTCTTGAAACAAAGTCTATAGACCAGTTCTGTTTAACATTTGGCCTCGCCATAACCACGGAATACTACAATTCATGTACCCTGCACACTAACTGCCGCGATAAGTTATGAGCAAAAGTCAAGAAATTAATTCCCCGAACCAGGAGATATTTTCGGATAATTTCCAGGCCGTTAAAGTTCCGGCTGAACGCTGCCAGCTGAACTTTGTCCACTGCCTCCATTTCCGCGTGCTTATGCTTCAATTCACCCATCTCAGTCATTCATTGATTCATTTATTCATTCAATATTGACGGTTCATCTACAACGCAGCTGTGTTTGATATTATTGATATCATTATTATTATACGAACTTCCTCCATTATTACCTCTACAATTAGTGTTAAACAAATTGCACCCCACCGACTGCCTGTTACCGCATGACGGGCGGTTGTCGGTCCCGGCGACTCCTGCAGTCCTCAAGTCGACCAATTTCGAGTTGGAATATCGGGGAACATGAGAAACAATAATTGCATTGGCAATACGTACCTAAGTGAGGTTGGGAAACGGTTATGGAGTTGGTCGAAGCTGATAGAGCGGCAGTAACACCCTTGAAGGGTACTGAGGATGACATATCTATAGTTCCATTGACAGCTACGTCAACAGTGACGGGAGCTGGAAACGCAAAAATATTTAGTGGGCCTGCATCGCCTCTCCCTAGAGGACCTGCTTCCGTCAAAAGCTTTACTGCTCTGCCACCAATTGTTGAGGATAATCAATACCACCAGCATTCTCATCCCCTCTTCCCTCCCCTGCCAGAATACATATCACCTTCCGTCTTTCACGAGGATTCAGTGGCACGCGTTGCGCGCCGTTTCATTCTGCCTGTCTTTGGCTTTCCTCACTGGCATCGAGCTGGCAGCATCTGTCAGATGTAGTTTGATTGCTACAAGAAGGCTATATTTCCCGTCTTCTCGGCGGGGATCCAGAAATGGATAGGCCCTTCTGGCAGGAGGAGCGCCTGCGGCAGGAAGCAAGGGAGAGAGAAGCGCGTGCGTGGGATGATGAGAAACGGAACCAAGTATCTGAAGCCTCAGCTCCGGTATCAGAGGAGATGCCGAGGAGCGCAATGTGGGCGTTGCCAAAGCTCCCTTCGAGCCGTTAGATGGTGGCCAAGACTCTCTTGTTCGTGACATTCCCTACTATGCCAGTCGGGTTGGGCTGGATGCAGAAACCTATAGAGTTCAGACAGAAGATGGCGCGGTAATTCCTCTGTGACATCTATATGACCCAAAGGAATACGCGCCATTAGCCTCCGGTGATAGGAACTGTATAGGCCCTCCAAGTGCCTTACAGACACCGAGATCTAACCCACAGAGCTCCTCTGCTGATGGTGGCAGGAGATATCCTATTCTTATGCTCCCAGGTCTGTTGCAGAGCGCCGGTGCGTTTTGTGTCAACGATGACGATAGCCTTGCCTTCTTCCTGGCCAACTCAGGTTACGATGTCTGGCTGGGCGGCAATCGTTACGGCTTCCATCCCGAGCATATCTCCCTGACTCCACCCGATCCACGCTTCTGGTCCTGGACCATCAGGGATATGGCAACCTTTGACCTGCCAGCCCTCATCACACGTGTCTTGTATGAGACTAACTTCCCGAAACTAGAAGTCATCGGTCACTCTCAGGGCGCAGCAGAGACATTCCTCTCACTGTCTAAACATATCCAGCCGTCACTCGGTTCCCAAATCAGTATCTTCTGCGCATTCTCCCCAGCCGCCTACTCTGGTCCTCTCCTCAAAAAACTCTACCTGAAATTCATGCGCCTGATCCCTTCGACTGCTTTTCGGCTTATCTTCGGCATTCACGCATTTATCCTTTTCACTCTTACCGTTCACACTTTCCGCCCAGCTCCTTTGTACGCTGCAATGGGTTACATGGTGTTTTCATACCTGTTCAAATGGTCGGATTCCCGCTGGGGATCATGGGCTTCGCTCCCGATTCTTCCAATTTAGCCCCATTTACGCGAGCGCGGAGTGCATGCATTGGTGGCTAGGTAGGGGCGACTTTGCGGACCACGGATGCATCCTGAGCACGAGGGAGCAATTGGCTCAAGAGGCCAAGGAAGATGCGCGCGACGAGGTAGGTGTCGTAGAGAAGAAGGTGGAGGATGGGTTGAGTGCTGTCGGACTCGCGCTTCCGACTGATGTAGATGCTGGTGTAGCGAATGCGGCTTCGTACGATGACCGTGTTCCGCCCATAGCTCTTTGGATTGCAGGATCGGATCTGTTAATTGATGGCATTCGGTAATTACGGCGGCGGCAAGGCAGGCGTGAACCATATGTCTGAGTTGTGCATTCGAGGGTACTTGAGGAATACGAGCATTTGGATGTGATATGGGCTATAGATTCTATTGGAAAGGTTGGAATGGAGGTGAAGAGCGTTATTTGGGAGTGTGTAAAGGACGACGTTAGAGGATTTTGCCGAACTCATGAGACGTAGTGTAAGGAAAGAATTGCAATGAGCTTTTATTGCCCATTGGTAGTGCCGTTGTAGATACATGTATAAATCCGTATCTGAGGAGTTCTATCTGATTGTGTATGCCATGTACATGTACTACGTTTGAATATAAAAGGGAAGGGATGATTACAGTGGTATATTTTTCCAGCGGGGTGGCATATATCTCTCTCTCTTTCTTTCTCCTTTTCTGTTCTTTCTTATATTTCAAATACACTACAATTACTCGAAATTCCACTGCTCTTGTCCTCCTCCCTCTTGACATATGAGCTAGCTGACTTGTGGTCAGCGCCCTTAACCGTGACAATGCGACAAATAACCCTCACAGGATTGCCAGCAACATCATGCAACGGGCGAATGTCCTGGAAACGCAAAAAGTGAGAGCTGTTCTCGCTGCAATTGTAGCAGAGATGAAAGCTTGTAAACGCATTCCATAGAACAAGGCATGTTTATCACGAGTTCAAAGTTGACAAGCTTTATTGAGATCTGAATCACATTGCCCTCCACAGTAGCTCATTTCAACCTGGCAGTTCGGGATCGCTATTTGCTGCCAAATGATCGGTTATTCCCAATGCAACCTCCGCGTGCACGAATTCTGTCCAGTTTTTGATTTCCACTTGAGGATACATTTGTCGTTAGGCTTAAAAATCGCGTTGTTGCCACGGTATTTTTGTGGGAGGGGACTCTGACTTTGGAGCCATAGTCAAGTTAGAAAGGACAACAGAAACTAAAGCTTTTGCTCCTGTTAGCTGACTACTCTGTTGGTAGTCGATTCGGGGGAGGACGACTCCAGCCCATTCTTCACGACGTTTGGCGTTGGCGTTTGCGCTGAGAATGAGGACGATGATGAGTAAAGCACCCAGTTCGTGGGCGATCAGTGGATTAATCACCGCTTGAGCCTCACAGGGGACAGACAGACTGGAGGGTCTCAACCACCATCGCGCCCAACCCAAGATCCCGTCCCAACTATGCGACTCCTCTGGCGAAGATGATTGGACGAGGATCTGCCGCTTATGGACTTCACTTTTAGTGGGTAATTATTTTTAATTTTTTAAACAATAGAGTCTTTAGCTCTGATTCCTCATGCTTGTTCAGGGGTTGGTTTTTGTTGTGTTGCTCTTGTTTTCACCGAACGAGAAAGGCATTTAATGGGAGCCATCATGAGGGCGGTTTAGTCATTCTGTATAGCATAGGTAACGAAATGTCTGCGTCCTTTTCTTTCGCTTAAAGAGATTGACTGTGGTATGTTGAAGCCTTGAATTTTCGTCACCAGAGCATCAATTCCAACAATTCTCTCAATGACATAATTGCGGGGATAAAAACGGAATAAAAAGGTGTTTCGGAGTCTCAGGCCCACACTGCCACACAGCGCTTTACCTGAGCGTGGGGGCTAGCTCGGCGAGGCTTTTTTCTCGCCAATAATGGTTGACTACCGGGCATTGCGACATCCGGGCTGCAACAGCTCCTCTCAGGGTTCGTTCCCTTCCCGGGCGGCCACGATGCAAGTCAGGTTCCTATAAACCTCTTTCAGTAAGGGCCCTTAGCGTGCCAGGAGAGGTCATACCCAAATAGGTTTGAGTGGAGGCGCCTAACTCAACATGGGAGGCAAGTTGAACACCAATCAGACACCTCGCTCCTTGGCTACTGTGCCGTCGTCAGTAAGGCAATCTGTCCCAAGAAGGAGATACAACCATCCTAGATGCCTCGTTTATACACACCGACCAAAGAATGGCCTGAGATTCAATGTTCTCTCAGGGTTTGATTGCTGAGACCTTGTTACGATGTTCTGTAGGCTGCTTGGCTGTCCTTTTGTAAACTGGCAATAACAGCCGGCAGCTGATAAATTGATCAGCAGCAATCCAGATCTCGAACAGGGAGGAGAGTAGGAAACCCTTGTTGTGTCTTGAGCACTAGTATGGGGATCTGTTACAAACTTCCGAATGTTGAAACTCTACATTTAAAGAAGCTGGCTAAGCTTTGAAGCCGAGAGAATATCAGGATTCGAGGCATTCTGTTTTTCAAGAGGAAAGACAGACTAACTTGTCGAAAACTTTTGTCCAGCCCCAGGGAATCACCCACTTCCAAACAGACAGGGTAGCTTTTAGTGTTATGTGGGTGCGGGATCAAAGAATTGGTGGGTGGTTTTTTCTGGTCTTGAAGAGAACCATGATTGGTAAATGCCCTCCGATCGCTACCTTTCAGGGCCAGTTTTGCCAAATGAGGTCCAGTGAATTATCATCCTTGACAATTACCAAGTGGCCACCAGTGGCACAGTTGATTCATCATCCAATATCAGCCGACATGGACTGATAGCGCCGTAGTGGCGCCTGGGCTGAGCGCATGAAAAGCGCCTGGTTATGCTGAGTGTAACACGGAGCAGGTGTTCCTTTGGCGGGCGAAGCTTCACTGTTAACCAACAAGAGCATTCTTTCGAAAGCCCCTAGTCAACTCTGACAACGAGTTTGTCTCAAGTGGAAAGGCACCAGTTTGCCTTGCATGAATTGGTGACATGCTAAAACCAGAGGCTAGAGCCAACAAAATGAATTTGGTACTCAATTTTTACGATGAAGCAAACATTTTTAACCTCGTTTCCTCCTGTCTCACTAGCCATTTTCGATTACGAGGGACCCAGAGCGATAATCCTGGAATTCATGGGACAGAATGCGAGCCATAGGTCCCAGGCCCACCATGGCGATCCAGTTCAACCTGCAGGGAGGCGGCCCGAATCCCCAGATGGCTGACTGGCCATCCATACCAGCACAGTATGGAGTTCCTGTCCAGCTGGCACGTTATTCTTCTTTTTGGGGCGGGGTTTCCAATCCTTGTTAATCTCCACCGCTAGCCCGCACCCTGAACGGGAGCGAGAGCAGCTGTGCCTTTTGCTCAGGGACATGTACAATAATGGCAACCTCCGTGTTCAATCTCAAAATGTAGTCTCTTGGAGGCTGAAACCTATTTCGCGAAGGTCCTGAGATTCTACTTCACATATATTTATCTCCCTGATACGTAAATCCGCTTTAATCGGGGTCACCATGCTGATTCTAAGAATAGCTCAACGCGAAGATCATGGGTAAATTAGCTCTCATGAACACGAGCAGAGCACACAAAAAGCTCCGAGTCTCCTTTGGGTTCCCGAGCAGATCTGGAAGCCTGACGACGATCTCCGCCCCGACGTTCCCTTCAGAGCACTCTTGCAGGCTGTTTCCTGAGCTTTTGGTGATTTCGTGCGCCACGGACATTCATACTTGTGTCTTAGGGGTTTGAATGCTCACTTGCTAGCGTCTGCCGATATCAGTTGACCTGGCGAACCACTTTTGGAAATCAGCCCCTAAAGACAGCGTCCTGCCCATGCAGGGGCTAGCCTCACTCGATTCGACCAGAGGCAATGACAGAAATTTGTTTTTATTTTCATTTTCATTTTTGCTTTTATTTTTGTTTTTATTTTTTCGACGAAGCGGTTATTATTACTCGTTTTGCGGCTCCGCGAGTAGTTTAGTGATTGGAATTAATCCTTGACGTCGCTCTCGATTCACTATAAGCCGCATGCGTCGATGTTAGTATCCAACAAGAAATTCCTTTATATTAAGAGATCTTCCCTCCAGAAGAGTCCTCCGAAGACCACGCCTTCCTTCGCCTTCTTGTTCAATTCATGTCCGATATGAATAATGACGAATACTTACACGACCGTTGTAGTTTAATGTTTGTTGTGTTTCTGCGTTAATGTCATCGTTTTGCTCAAGCTCCAAAAGTATTTCCTCGAATGTCACGATATTGAGGTTATCAGCTTGAATTTATAATAATCGCGGGCGTCGTCGAAATGGAAGCTGAGGTATTCTATCCCATTGACCTTCCTCATACTCGCTTTTCGGACCTCGAATATTCGAGTGACTCCTACTCCTTATTCACAAATCCAACGATTCTGGCCCCTGTTACAGCCCTAGCTAGCTATCCTGATGTTGTTGATACCCAGGATCTCCGACAGGACGCCCTATTGCCAAGAACAGCATACATGGAGAAGACTCAACTGCCATGCTGGGTAAAGTCTGTCAACGATTGCACTCCAATTTCCGTTGCAGATGAGAATCCACAAGCTACATGTGGCACGTTAAACACACCATCGGGAGAGAGCGATGGTAGTGCATCTGGTGTTTCTCCCGGTCTGAGATGGGTATGCGAATCCCCAGGTGGATCATACGGCGGTGATCTGACGGAAGCAGATTCAAGTTTAAGTGAACAATCGTGGGGCCATGTGTATACATCCCGAGACTCCCAATGCACTACAAGCTACAGCTCATTTTCCTCCCCTCTCAGTGATACTTTCCAATATCGAGATCCATCGAACTGTTTCCCCTCCACAAACGTGGAAGGCTCTTACTGCGGAAGTGAACACTCAGTCAGCCTTCGGGAAGTCCAACACTATCCTGACCCCGACCCAGAACTAGAGACAAAATTCAAAATTGGCATTGGGTTGGATGGACAGTCATTTTCCTTCTATCCAAATCTCCCTGCTAGCAACCCGTTCCCTGGAACTATCAAATCCTCTCTTGCAAACCAAGACGGGCAAGAAGATAGGGGGCTGCCGGGTGAGATCGATGGCGGGACGGACTCGCCAACAGCCCAAATTCAACCCGACCAGTTTTCCGCAGCAGAACGGAGAAGGCCCCCTCATAAACGGATGAAATATTCCACTCAATCTCCACGAAGAATTCCATCGCCACGGAAATTAAACGACAGCCGTGGTTCAGTGCGGAACAGTGCATGTCCTAAGCGGACGTCAAAGCAGGGCCGCAGCCTAAAATCAGCGCAGTCTATTCGGGGTCATTCATCCTCTCAGTCTCAACAGAAGACCGCCGATCGTCAATTCATCTGCGTATTTGCTCGATATGGTTGCAACAGCACTTTCTCCGCCAAAAACGAATGGAAACGCCATGTTTCATCTCAGCATCTCCAGCTTGGCTTTTATCGTTGCGACGTAGGATGTTGCAATGTTTCCACCTTACAGGCGTCCTCATCGCCTGATATCCCAACCTCATCTTCGCATCCACCGCGCTCCCCCAATGACTTCAACCGCAAGGACCTTTTCACACAGCACCAGCGACGTATGCATTCTCCGTGGGCGTCAGCTAACGGAGTGTCACCCAACAAGCTTGATCAAGATGCCTTTGACAAGAGCTTAGAGGATGTGCGCAAGAGGTGCTGGATTGAGCGGCGGAAAGCTCCACGACAGAGTATGTGTAACTTCTGCTGCCGGGAGTTTTCCGGCAGCTACTGTTGGGATGATCGCATGGAGCATGTTGGTAAACACTACGAAAATCGCGACGTAGAAACTGGCGAAGATGTTGCGTTGAGAGAGTGGGCTCTTCAGGAAGGCATTCTCAAGGTGGCTGGTAGAGATGGATGGGTGCTTGCCTCTCCGAAAGAGATAGCGGAACGGCGCGTGGAGGACTTTTAACCTGTCATGTCGTGAGTGAGTGATGAGCTTATATTTTCGTTGATCGATACCATGCAGAGTATCCCCTTTGGCTTTTCTTTTCTTTTCTTTTCTTTTCTTTTTTTTTTTTTTTTTCAAAGTCTATCGGCCTATTCTGTACGGAAATATACATGTATACTCTTTGATATGATAATGACTCACGAGAACTGGATATTCTGCTGTCGTATAATTTTAATATGTCTGGAGTGCAAATTTCGTTCATCTTCAATCAGATCTCATACCCTGTATAGTACACACATTACATCGTTCTGCACTAAACTTGAGGATTTTATTCATTTTATTTAAAAAATAAGATATAAGATATAAAATATAAAATAGGATAGGGTTCATGTCCGTCAATTTGCAATAATTTTGTGAAAACATACAGAATGTAACTATTCCTCCATTTCAATATAAAAGCGTTTAAATAAGCAACGAACGGCGGTGCTAATTTATGTCGGACAATTTCAACCCGGAAAATTATTCCAAGAAACCCCACCGCCGAGCATAGAAACCGCCAACCAACTGTATCATGGCCCATGCAATAAGACAAAAGGATTGTGGCTAATGTATATCAACAAAAAAGTTACCCCATCCCAGAATACCACAATACATATAATAATGACTGTGAAATAATGACTGTGGCAAGTATCCCTGTAAAAAAAGAAAAAATCCAAAATGGATCAAGCGATCTCTGGGGCAAACACAAAATACGGCGATGGAAGGTGCAATAGTACTATGGTAGTATTCGACGAACGGAAGAAAAAAAAAAGCATGAAGCACACACAGCTCCGCAACCAAGCAGGATTTAAAAACCTAGCAGCAACATGTAAGACAATCAACGCAGCATTCGCATCCTTCCTCGCAAAGGAAACAACAACACAATGTTGCAAGACTTGGAATTCGCCGAGAGATATTAGCGAGGCGGAGATAACAGGTTGTTTCGTGACACCATGACAACCGTGGCACGGGGTGAGGGATATTAGACGTACCAAGCCATCAAGCATCCGCGGTCCTTATCCTTGGGGGCTGCTTGCGGAGGGGGCTGCTGATATTGCATCTATGAGACGGGATTAGCCGCAATATTGGGCCACGGGGTACACAAAACGCAAGACAAGGACGGAGGTTAGGGTTTAGGGAAAATGGTACCGGAGGAGGGCCTGGAGGGGGATATCCTTCCTGCGGTGGATAGCCCTGCGGATAGCCGCCATAGCTAAAAACAGGAGGCAAAAGCTGCTTGTTAGCCGGTTGTCTTTAGGGAAAGGCGACAGGAATATTTCCAGGACGTACGCTTGCTGAGGAGGTGGCGGTTGCTGCTGGTAATAACCCTGAGAGGCCATGACGATGTCTAGAAACCGGTGTGACAGGTCGTAGGGATTGGGTTGGAACAGGCGACAGGAAGTTAACGCAAGAGAAAGAAAGACGAGAGATTATAAGAAGGAAAAGTTGGAGAGAATCACAAGAGGGTGAAGAAAGTTTTCCACGGGGTGTCAGCAGACTCGAAATGGGATGGCTGAAATTAGCCGCCGATGCTGCGGTGAAACGTGTTTTATCTGTCTTATTATGGTTTTTATTATGAATGCTGGTGCTGCTGCTGCTGCTGGTGCTGGTGCTGCTGATGGTTATGACTCTGATATGGTCCTCAGATGAGTCGTTCACTCCAGAGCAATCCGATATTTGTGGGAACCATGATGCCGACTTGGCGGTGGGGATTCCCACGTCCACACCCATCCAGCATTGGCCAGTGCCCGCTGCCCAGCTGAGGCCGGTGTATTCTTAGCGCTGGCAACTTCCCCCTTCCGGCGGGATCCAGCTTAGGGTTAGCGCCGCTCCAGCCACGCGTCCAGCCACATCCTGGGTCATGCCCGAGGATACTACGGAGCAAGTCTGGACGGAGGACGGATAGTAACATCCGTACAGTACATAGTAGTTTCAGGGTGGCTGAACTGTCGCACTGCGCACGGCCGCACTCTATGGACCATGAATACTTGTACGAGCGGCCAATTGGCGGCGGGGATATGCCCCAGGCAGCTCCAGACAGCAGCTGGTGGATTGGATCAGCCGGTTGGTCGTGTTTGGGTCCATCCAAGCAGAGGGAGGGCCTGCGATCTACACTAAACTTTTATTCATCTACGTCTGCGCCAAAATATCCAATATATACGGAAGAATGTATCGAAAGGAAAAGCCAAGTACTAGTTAGTATTAGGATTACTGGGTGATGTTGGAGCGGTAGAGGAGATGAGGACTTTTTATCACGTTCTCGTTGGGCTAAGATGTGCTAAGATTGGGCTATATAGAACATAAATTTGAAGATGAAATTGGGCATCGTGATGAGATGTAACTTGGGAGAGACTGAGAACGGGCACTAAACGGACAAGCCAATGACAAATTGACAACGGAAATTTGAAAAATACAATTCGTCAGACAGATCGTCATACTCGTTACAGCCGTTAATTCAGATTACGTAGATAGATTCGTAATCCGTCGAACATGGTAAAAAATGTTGGACGGGAACGTAAAGATCTGAGCAAAGAGAGAAAGAAACGTGGAGATAATAAAAAGCTCCAGCTTTGAAAAAAAAAAGAAATTAAAAAAAAGAAAAGAAAAGAAGAAGAAAAGAATAAGAGAAAATGAGATAGAGAGATTGAAGCGAGAATACCAGAAGAAAGAGAAGAAAGAGAAAAGGATAGAACATGCACAGGAAGGAAAAGCTAAAGAAGTAGAAATATATGAAAGTTCGGACAAGTAGATCAAGTGTTCTACAGCATAACAGGAATAAAAGGATCGAGCTCATGCAACTGCTGAGCATCGAAAAGAGACGGGTCGAATAAGGATGAATCTAGAACATTCATCGACATTTGCTCAACACTGTCATGTCCACTGGGGAATCCATGACCGCAGAGATCCCAGTTCGAAGAGGACCCGTTCATGCTGTTATGAAAATCAATTAGCATCGTTGAGTAGAGATCTGGTGCTTCTGGAGCGATGGAAACCTGGCCAGATTGACTCGTGAACGTGGTTGCGGTTTGGTGGTCTTGCTGTGCTGGGGACACATTTTTGCTGTCCATGTCGTCGTTAGGTTCGGAGGACCTAGCATCGAGGGTTTCCTCGGCCACGTTGTCACTGTCGATGACGTTGTCGATGACATATTCTTCTCGCTGCTCCATCCAATGCTTTAGCACATCCATGGGAGGAAGAACCCCACCGCCTTTACCACCGCGTTTTTCGCTGTCTTTGCCGCGGCCCCCACGCCCACGCTGACATGGGTTGAAGTGAGTCCGTCGAAGGTGAGCTGCCGCGTTGTAGTTGGCACCGTAGCGCTTCCCGTTACGACATGCTTTGCAGTTGGCGAGAAACTGTTTGTCAGGGGAAATGTCAACGCAGACCCAGACCTTGCGGACCACTGAGTGGACACGTTCAATGTGCCTTCTCAGTTCGTGTTCGCCGTGAAAGCCCTCTGGTTGCTCGTTGCAGTAACTACAGTACGTCTTTGTTCTCATGGGACGGCGAACAGACGCTTTTGGGATTGCCGCTACTTCTCGTGATGTGCCATCGCCCGACGATATCCTAAGCATTTTGTGCTCCGCAACTTTTGAGTGCGAAGCATATTTCTTGTCTTGTTTTGGCGCGATGGGCCGTGTGCCTTGCACAATTTGCTCCTGAGTCCTCCGCACAGCCCTTGACTGATTCGACAGCGACGAGCTATCGCTCGCGCTGGACAAAGAATGCTTCATCTCTGAAGATGAAGGGGTTAAAGAAAGGGGTGTGGGGGATGACGGCGAACAAGCAAGGGAAGTAGAAGGAGAAATGCTAGGGAAAGGAAGCCTGGATTCAGGCAACGACTGAGAAAAGTGAACATTATTCATGTTACCAGAACGAAAATTTGAAATAGGAGATGGGGCAATGCAATAATTGAGGTCATTGTTTAAGTTTAATGACTGATGAGAGATACGAGAAGATGGATTATTATCTAGCTTTGCCAGATTATTAGAGACTGATCCGGTCGAATCGAAACGGATCATGCCCATTCCTCCGCAGAGAGAGTCTGCTGTTGCAGTTCGACTCATCTCAACAGCTGTGGTCGAACTACATTGCGGGTAATTTTGAGATGTAGGGGGAATCAAACAATCAGAGGTGGTATACTGGCATTTCTCGTTGTTCAACGGGGAGGAATCGGAGCCAGGCTCAAACATGAATAGCGAGTCGGAAAGGTTATCCAAAGACTGTTGCTGGGTGAACTCCGATGGAGAATATTCGTTGACATTGTTCATGTTGAGTTGTTGGATTTGAAGGGAATAACGTTTCTCGGAAGCCAAAGGTGTCCGTGGCGCGGTAGCGGAAGCGGGGATAGCTTGCGGTTGTGGAGGTGAAACGGTGGTAAGCATCCCGGCTTTCTGGAGTGGTGAGTTTCCATTCTGTGCTCGAATCGAAAGGCGGCGATTTTGATGGATGGGAGCAGGAGACTCGCGTTCAGGAACCGGTCTATTTACATCTGCCACCGTTGGAGGTTCCGGAGTCTACATGCAACCTATGTTAATCCAGTGAATGGCAAAGGGGAAGGGACATGAGACCAAAAGGTGGTGTGACCTACGATGGCTCGCCGTTTTGCTGGGGGTAGTGTTGAAGGAATCGTGCGAGGCACATCTTCCCGAGACCGTTTCCCAAAAGTGTCGGAAGTTCCACTCCCGTCGAGGGTTTTCAACGTGTTACCGCTGAGTACATTTCGGTGAGGCATAAATGAGATAAGGAGTTGACCCCAGAGCTGTTCACGTTCCGACTCGGGGAGGTGCGCATTGTTGGCCAAAAAGACATTCCGGGACGATGTGAGAGCAGATGTGAAGAGACTGTCGTCAAAGGTAGAGGCCATGGCCATGTTTAGCAGTGCAGGCAAATCGATCTCCAACGACTGTCGTTCCGGTCCCGTCCTGGGTTGATTGCAGTGGTTATGAGAAAGGGACTTTGGAAAGGTAACCTGGTTGAAATATTTGGTGTTCTTCAAGAGCGAGGGCCTATATAAGCATACAGGAGGGTTGTGGGGAGACTCTGTTCTGATATATGAGCCTTGGCAACAAGTCAAATGTTGGTAAAGGTGGGAAGGGCCAGTAAAGCGAGGAAATTGGAGAGCGATTCGAGAATGAGAAGAGGGGGAAGAGGGAAGAAAGGTGAGAATCTCGTGGGGATGAGAAGACATCGAGATTATAAAACTGAAGGTAAGCTCTAACTGGATTTGGAGCGCAAGATCCCATGAGAGAGATGCAGCCAAGCCAGCATACTTAGCCCCCATGGCCAATGATGATAGCTTTTGAACCAAGCCCTCCAGCCAGGGCCAGAAATGGTCCTCGTGCGCTTTCATTGCTGAGAAGCTCGTTGCACTTGGTCTCGGGAAACAATGCCAACACTAACCAAGATGGAAATAGCCCAGAATTTGAAATGTTGTTTGTCCTAGCCAAGAGGGCGCTGGACTGGATGAGGACACATTCCCAGACTTCTTCCCGGTCCAGTTTGAAAGTGAGGCGAACAAGGCCTGACATTCTCCCGCAAAATCGGGCAACATTGGAAATCGTGTATGGGTCTTGGCCGGTTTGGCTTGCTGGTGATTGGAGAGAGAGGGCAGCTGGCTTCTTTGTCGAATTTTTTCGGCACTTGTCGAAACTGTTCTTGAAATGATTGAATTTTCTAATAACTCAACTCTTGGACTGATTCTCTCTTCTCTTGTCCCCATTGTCATCAAGCCCCATCTCAGGTTGACTCCAGGACAAGTTTACGCAACGGATCACGGCGTGTTTGGTTATGAAATAACTTATGATTTAACTAACTTAACTAGTTAGTGTTTGGCTGTGAGCATTTCTGCTTTGGCATCGTCAGTTGAGTTGGAGAGCCTAAATTCGTCGCTGTGACCGATGGATCACAGAAGTATATGAGACTGTCGGATCGGTTGCGTTCCCAATTCTCCCGTGTCTCCTCGTGATCATCGAGGGATGAAAAATTCGCATGGGTGTCGATGCATTACGCTGTACGGAGTGCGCAGGAGAGAATCAACCTCGTGTCGTTATGGTGGGGGGAAGAAAGGCCGTGAGCCTGCCACGTAGCCAGGCGGTGCCTGTAGTGTCAAGGTGTTGGATCTCAGCCAAACCAGGAAGAGATCCCAACCAGTCATGGTTTCTTGCTCAGAAACGCTGTGCTTCGACAAGAATGGCAATGCAGTTCTTTGATTGGATAGTTTGGGCCGCAGCATGCACACTGCATACTGCTCGTCTCCAGACGTCAAGGCTTGTGTTGGATTGGGAGGCTTGTCCCCTCTCCTACCAGCCATGGCGCTGGTCGTTTTTATCCCACACGCCTAAACGCTTGCCTGATGTTGCACGCCTGTTGTCTGCTCAATGGATACACTCGAACATAGTTTTGACAAGGTCGACCCGACTTTTAACCCAAAACCACACTCACACCACTCTTCACACTGATGCGGAATTGAATTACTAATGCTGCATGTTAGGAGCAGGCTAGGGGTGAGCGGTTAGGATTAGGATAGGATTAGAATTAGTCAAGGGACTAGAGCCTGAAAAATACGATTTGGGTCAATGTATTGTGAGTAGTTAATTAGTTAACCAAAGGATATTTTGAAGGTCTGAGGATCTGATGATAATGATCACTGGCAGGCCTTGAGATCTACATTTGAGCACGAGGCAGTAGTTACTTTGGATGCACGCAATAAAGCTGTGTTAGTACTAAGCTTATTAAAATTTAGTCAATTCTTAGCTGGATGTAAATTGCCTCTGAATGTAAGTTAAATATCAATCCTTTTCAAATCATCTCGAGAAGATAGCAATCTCATGGCTACTATCCGATGTATTAGTTCTTCACCTTCACTATATCCCTATTGAATCTCTAAAATATCGCAATTTTCAACATTTCATCCTATCTATTAAATATTCACTGTATCTCTACTGAATCTCTAAAATACAGTCTTTGCAATCTCTTATTCTTTTTGTCTACAGACTCTTACTAATTCTATGTTAACATTCCCATACTTACTATATTATTACAATGAACCTTCCATCTTCGTCAAGATATATAAAATGTAAAAACTAAAATGTTTGGATTATAGCTATGTTTTTATATTTTTATAGTAGAATATGTAACAGGCGTGCCATCAATTAACTAGATGTTACTGTTGTTGTGGATTGAACTGTCTGGACTGTCTTCACAGTTTGTGCTAGACTGGCTGTGTGACCATGCATGGGACCATGACCAACTTTTAGCCTTAGTCCCATTCTTCAATATCTTAGTCCTGTTCTCATATATTGTTTATCAAGTCAGTCACTTTACACTGTTTATATTATAATTATAGTCTCATTTCACTGTTTATTATAAAATATAAGTTTAGATTATGTTGTATTTATAAATTAATAGTTTTGATCTCATTAGATCTCATTTTGTAAAATGGGACCAAATAGAACCATGATTTATTCTATATAGATGATATGATGCTATGAGCATTACCAAAAATTGTTATCTATCAAAAGAGGTTTAATTTATTATGCTCTAGTCCTATATCAAACTAGTAATATCTACTAATCAGATTAGATGCTGATAGATAGAGGATATCTATTCTAATAGTGAGCCATGAGAGCATCAAGCAGATAGGCAGTAAGTAAGATAGTCAAGACTAGCCCAGGTGATTCACGGATGCCTAATGCCGTACGCGAGAAACCACGGCATTATGAGTGGTTCAGATCCACCACTCAGTATCTACACTATGCCCTTACTACCAGGAGTTGCGTGCCTGGAAACACTTAGCTACCAAGCTGACATGGGCCCTGATGAAGAAGCCAAGCATATGTACTTCGTAATGCATCTCGCTAGGTATAATCATCACCTCTCTCTCCTATTGCTTACCGTTATTGGGCGGAGCGCACCAATCTAGTTGCTAAAGTTCAATATCAGGGTACTTTGCTCGGTGTTGGGCCACACCTCAAGCGTATGGAGCCTCAGATGCGCGTCGAGTACCAGGCCGGAATCTCCCACAGGCTAATGCTTCTCAAGGCGTCGCCATTGAGTGCAGTGCCGATCTTGATTATTTCTGAACTTGAAACTATCTTACCGCTGCTCTTCGCCAGTGAATTCCCTCAGGTCCTGGCGCATGGTGACTTCTCCAAAACCAATATCCTTGTCAATCCAGACACATATGAAATCACAGGCGTTGTTGACTGGTCCCTCGCGGCGGTGCAACCCTTAGGCATTGAGCTAGACAGTCTCTTCCTGATGACAGGATATTTGGGTCTAAATGGCTGGCAGGATTATACATGCCGGCCACGGCTCTGGGAGGCGTTCTGGACAGAATTCTGGGTCGTGTCGGGAATCGAGGATGATGGCGGCCTGCGTCGGGAGAATGTTCGTTCTATGGCCGAGAAGGCGGCCAAGATTGGAGCTATCTTGCGCTATGCATTCAACCGTAAAGCCGATGGTGGACCATCTGAGGTGCTATCGACCTCTGACGCCATGTTAAGAATGCCTAAGGCGTGGCTTGACGTGAAGGCTATATGATAGTGAAGTGACATCACTAACTGGTGTTCGTTTTTGGTCTAGTGGCTATGCTAATGGAAACATAGTGTGTTGGCTCCTCTTTGCTGCATAGCTCTTCCGCGTTTAAACAAGCCCCTTGAAATGCTCAGTCATTGAAATGGGGAAATAAAACTAAAATGTGATCTTTGTGTTTGCATGGATGTGGACTTGCTGCTTCCAAAAAGACACTTTACAGTATTGCTTGTGAAAAGACAAACAAAAGTTGTCTGGTTCCTGTGAAATTCACAGGAACTTAACTACATTTGTTGGGCTCCACTCCGGTAAAGGAAATTGTAGAAAGGCAGTGAAATTGGACAACTATAACCGGATGTTCAACTAATGGAACTCCAGGTAAAAAAAATTGGCCATTTAGCACAAGATGTTTAGGCAATAATTTTTTCACCTCGAAGAGCCTTCTTCAGCGACTCAACAGTGAGAGGCTTTCCGTCCACAAAGACTCCGTGAGTGTTTTTCTTGGGCGAGTAAACTGTGCCGCCCTTGCAGGAAACAATCCCATTGTCTCCAACCTTGAAAGACCAGCCGGTTGTGATTGTGGATGGACTCAATCCGATGACATCGTTCTCATGGAAAAGAACCGTGGCCTGTGGCCCGACCTGCAGCTCCTTCTGGATGTGGTCCTAAGGGCCATCCAGCAGTTCCAGAGCAAGCAAATCGGCTAGGCTGTTGCGGTGGAGAAAGTCCGCAAATTCTTCGAAGAAAGCTGGTCCTATATTTTCTCCCTTGAAGGCTGAATCACCTTCATGGAACTCATACGCAACAAAGGTCGCGTCCGATTGTAAACGAAAAACGTGTCCGTGGACAGGCTTTGCCGTCAGCTCTTCTGCTGGTACGGGCTTGGTCCAGCAGGCCTGCGTCGTGTTCGTAATTGGGAATTCGATGCCGAGAAGGACAGTACCCTTGGGAGCAGTGAAGTGACCGTGGAGCAGGTGGATACCGAATATACCTTGAGCTCTGTGACGGACAAAGATCTCTCCAACAGCCTCGAGCATAGCATCGGAGATTTGGGGCTGCTCCTCCGGGTGAGGGAGAGTATTGTATCTGAAAAATGTTTGTGATCCCAGTGAATAAAGAGCTTGGAAACGGAATCGTACATGCTCAACGAGACCTCAAGATCTTGACTGGTTGGCGCGTGGTGGAGCCGAGCAATCGATACAGAGGGCATAACAGTAGCAGTGGCCATGAGGAAAGATTTAAGCGGAATCTATTCCAAGAAGATGATAGTACAATACGGAGGATTTTGACAGGATTAGAATGAACTAAACTACACATATATGGCGAGACTTTCATGCTTTTCAAGTACCCTCCAGGCCCGCGGAGCAAGACCAGCTTTTGCTCTGTCGTAATCATAGCCCAAGAGAATGTTTGCTGGCGCGATAAATGCAGTTGGGTCCATCATGGAAGTGTTATTCTCCAATGAGAAGGAGACCAAAGCGTGTGTGGAGTAGTCGACCAAAATATGGATATATGATTCAATGCTGAGGGAACCAAAGCGAGCGACGAATTAGCAGCCAATAATTGGATACCGCTCCACAAGAGCCCCACCAGCGACATATGACCAATAGCATCGAATCTTGGAGTGCACACTCGTGCAATGAGTGCAGCACGGTCGCTTTGCTTTTCGTTTTCAACTATCTTCGCATCAAACTTTGCTCCGAAATCCAAGGTGTCAAAGTTCTCACGGGATGCCTTCACCGGAACACCTTCTCCCACTACTACCTTCATCATGACACCACAGATTACGAGGTGGGCTGACTTTGCCTATGTATCTGAGGAATTCGACTCAGAAACCCATGAATTTCAATACACAATGTTAGCTGTCATTAACTCGGACGATGTCATCTACTACAGCGAACTACCTACCCGCAAAGCTGAGATCTCGTTTCAACAAGTAATGGCCACACTCAGGCCAATCCCTGACAGCGAGATATTCCCAGAATTGCCACTGTCTGACGTCAAACAGTTTACTAAGGCGCCAATGGAGCTCCCCGCCAATTGTCAAGTCTTCATCAAGCGACCCAATATTTCCCAATATGATGTGTATAAACGACATAATGTAGTACACCTGCTCGCCCAAAGCTTTTTGGAGGAGACCCGTACCATGGAATTTCTTTCCGCACACCCACATCCTTATTTCATCCAGTACCACGGCTGCTGCTTCCGGAGAGGCTACCTGACCGGAATCGTGATCAGCCGCCATTCGCATGACCTGAAGAACTATCTCAGTCACGGAGTGGGAAATATCGATAAGAAAGCATTCATGACCGCGCTTGAGTCAGCTATTTATCACCTACATTCACTCGGCTGGGCACACAATGACCTCAACCCGACAAACGTGCTGGTCGATGACTCTGAGGCCAGTGGTGGAATGCCGGTCCTTATCGACTTTGGCTCGGCCAGGAAAATCGGCAGCTTGCTGGGAACGTCTCGGGGTACGAGCGGTTGGATTGAGGGTCGGATTGAGGACTATACCACTTCTAAGAAGGAACATGATACCTTTGCCCTGGAGAAAATGCGGCTCTGGTTGGACAATCCGACTTTTGACGACGATTAAGTGAGAAAATAGTGATCTATGGAGCCTTTCCGCCACATGGCAAAAAAATGAGACTGACGTTGCCACAGAGGCAGCTGGGGAGACTTTGCTTGTTGCGAAGTTTGAAGAAAAATAGAGACGTTTAGTGACAAGGCATTAGCCGTAGAAGGAAACCAACATATCTTTGTAGCAAGACCCACAGTGACTTGTTTGGGAGAGAAATCAAAGGTGGATTGGCACGCAATCACACGGTGTCAAGGATAAAATACGTAGAGGAATGGAGCATCTCCGTCTTTCGGCTCCTGGGCGATTGGATAGAGCGCCACCTCCGGCGAAATGAAAGGGGCAGTGCATCAGGCTAAAGCCAATGCACAGGCCACAGTGGTGGCCAAGAAAGAAAGATGCCAAGGGGGAAGCAAGGAGGAAAGAGAAGAGCAAATGCATCAACAAAGAGAAGGTAGATGAATAGAGTAGTAAAGTACCTAGGCACAACACTAAACCCAAATAGGGTGTAACCTTTGAATTTGAATCTCTTTCAATATATTATTGTATTATCTTCTATAGTTTGATTTTTGTAGAGTTCTAAGAACCTTCTGTGATATAAGCAGCTAATTTCAGAATCGCCGCTTACATGGTGATTGAAGTGAATGCTACCAGGCATGAAAAGTGAAGCGAGTGAAGCATTCTTGTTAATCTAAATATACGTAAGGTTATTGAATATAGTTATATATTAGTATTTAGATTTGATATAAGACAGTAATATGATTGACGCAGCTATGAATATGCATTGAAACTGAAATATGTGGAAAAATACAAATCATGAGGCATTTTCCACCCTAGTCCGTCGACGCAGGATGCAGTGCCATCACGAACAAGATATTCTACAACTCCCCTTTCAAGCCCAAGCAATTACCAGCGAATTGCTTCATTATCCACCTCAAATAACCCGTTTTTCCTTTTCTCGGCCTCCCACTTTTCCACCCATAACTTCATTTTCTCTCGGCTTCTTTTACTGCCAACATTAACTGTGGGGATCACTTTGGTTATCCGCAGCGCGCAGCAGAACATTGTCAATTCCCTAAACGAACTATGTTCGCTATAGGGAACTGAGTAGCACGAGCTTATTTGATTGCTTCCACGTTGAGGGATGAGGTCCTGAGTGCCAAAGCGAGGTTTCCAGGAATCGGAGTATAATATCGAAGACACTGGGGGACTATCTGTCATCCTTCCTGCTGGTGGTCGATAGCTCCAGCCGGTGGGACGGAATCCAACAACTCGAGAAAAGTGAGGTTTGAGAGAATGAAGGTAATCAAGGAGCGTTCCAGTATGTACGTCCATCATGGTTACCATATGAACTTGAGCTTCTACAGGATTGTTTGTGATCAGTGTAGAAAGTTCACTATTTTCCAAACATGCAAGGATCCGTTGTTTCGCCGCTGGGGCATATATTTTACAATTCAACGCATGTGCAATTGCCATACATAATCGCTCCTTGCCAATGCTGTAAGTTCCAATGACAACAAGTAGCCGATTCCTAGACTCCGATTGTGCATATGGCAGCAAAGTTGGCGCTTGTGGGTCCATGTCGCTTTTCCCGGAAGTTTTCAAATGACTCAAACGGCATTCTGAATCAGTGGAATGGCCATGTTCAGTTACATTTAAATCAGCACAAACAGCTGCACATGCCGCAACAACATCGTCCTGGCTAGGGAACGCATATTTGGGATTAAGATAGGTTGTATCAAGGTAGCAGACATCGATAATTTGTTGCCTGACTTTCCCGGTTAACGAATCGGTAATATTAGGGCGGAGTATGGGATGTTGAACATGGGTCGGAGATGCTCGGAAGTCGCCGCAATGGAGTATGCGACGGACCTTCGGTTCACGGCTCTTGTTAACTCGTTTTTCGAATAAAAATATGGAGCTTCCTGGGCAGTGGTTCGCGGGCAACATAGTGACCCGGGCACCACATGTCCGCGGAATTTCAAATGGCTGGTCGAATTCTATGTCAGTAACCCATTTTGGGTCTACTTTGAGCTGCTGCCGTACCAAATTCCCTGTGACTGTGCTGCAATAGATTTGCCCATGACACCAGGAAGACGTAAGGCCGATATAATGGTCGCTGTGAAAATGGCTCAGGAAATACGCAGTGCATCCCTCGATAGCGCCGTATCTAAAAGCATCGACGCAAGTAGAAAACCCAGGGATGATTTTATAAAACGGGCATGTACGTTCATGGGCTTGTTTACCTCTCGATGCTTCCTCTTTTGCAATTGCCGCTTCCCATGCAGCATCTTCGGCGTTACTAGACATCATTTTTGAGAAGGCGGAAATTTTTTCGCCTTTCAATTCCATCGCGAGAGGATTTATCTGCCCGGGGCGGGGAATAACGGCTTTTTCCTGCCTGTTAATGGAGATACCAAAATTCGATTGGACGGGTGGGGTTGGAATTTTAGAAGGCATTGGGCTTGGGTTCCCATCTAGACAGTTATTCACATGAAGTAGCAGATCCTAGAGATTCTAATCAGCCTTGGGAATGAAAATATTAGCGAATCACATACGTCGTGAGCGATACCAACAAGAGCTTCATTGCAGACCGGGCACACCGTGATACTGTTATCATGAATATGTGCAGAGAATTCTGAATCGATTTCTTCTGTTGACAAGGTGCCCAGCCCGAGCCGCTGTTCACCATACTTTTCCACGTTTTGATCTTGAAGACTCCCCCCTTCTCGGCATCCGCTATGGCCGCTATGTTTACGACTAGACGAATAAGCGCTTGAGGTAGCCAGAGCATCGCGTTTTTCTGTGAAATTCGCATGAGATTCATTTGATGAATGCGTTGGTGAATTATAATCGAATTTGCTAAGCGTCTCTGGAGTGTAAACGCCCTTGTCGTATACACAATTGGATTCGTGTTCACTGTCTGATTCATCCAAGAATGGGCCGACACGAGTAGGTCTGGGTGCTTTTCCCACAGATGATGGTAAGCCCTTCGCTCCTCTCGGTCTTTTAGGAATCCTCCCCGCGTCGTCTCCAAGGGCGGACGTTCCAATGTCACACGCGTTATTCACCCTTTGTCTTTTTTCACCAACATTGTACTTGGCATTGTATCTATCCTCTTTGTCAAAACTTTCCGCTGCGTCCCAAAATTCATCGGACAGTGATTCTGACCCCGCTTGGACCTCATCTGGAGCATTCTTGATGGAGCGATCCACAACGTTCTCCTCAACTTCTTCCGTAAAGAATAAACTCCCGGAGCGATGTATATTGTCTGTAGACAGAAATTTCTCCTCTTTACTATGTGAACTGATCATGTAATTGGTTATCCGATTCTGTGACGATGTTGAAGGGGTTTCTGATTTTTTGAAGAAATTCAGAATCGAGGTATTCCGTTTAGAAACGGTTCGCTTGGAGGACGACTGTAAAAATTTGGAGGCCTCACGGCCGCGATTCCTATTAGCATTGAAATAAGGAGAAGGGGAACTCATTGTGCTCGTTGAGGATGGAGCCGGCAGGGATGGTGAGGAGTTACTGCAGCTGGCGATGGCAACTCAAAAGCTGTTTCGTTGATGGGCGGGCTCGTCCATGGAGGACATAAACAAGCATAACTAAGTAATTGAAACGATCATGGGAGGTCGATTGTTGATAATCTCTTGATCAGGAGAGACGGTTGGGAACTTCTTCCTTCCGCAGACACGTTTGATCAAGCTTGGCGGGGCGGAAAATTGTCAAAGTATAATACGCGCGCTCTGATGGATGATATCTCCATCCACTTGGTACTCTAGGGCTGAAGAGTACCTACGCTATAGGTGCGTCCTGAATTCTTACGGTTTTCTCATAAAATAAATAAATACATAAATAAGATGGAAATGATGCTCTAACGGTCTAAGGCCGGATGAGATGTTTCTTTCACAACCAAATTATCTCTTCGTCATTCCACCTCGAGAAGTGATATCACAGCGAGGTTATGTGAATCATATATACATACATCTTGAGGAATGGGTGGCTACCTTAAGGATTGATCCTTTTTGGCGTAGTGGTAAAGCCTTCCGACAAGATTGCTTGTTTTACAGGTTAAACGTCAATCACAGGCGGAACAACAAATTTTGCCCAACCACATTCAACCGACCGATTTGTTGCAACGATCTTTTGGTGTTGGATCAAACGACGCGCGACGCCACCTACATGTACTGTACATCGCAGTACCCAATTACTATACTATGTGTGTTAGCAAATCCAAGTCGGCGGCAATTGTTGGGCAAAAACTTGGGAAAGGATCTAAAATTGTTAGGTACTAGTATAATTGGTAATATCATTGGATATCGTCATTTGGTATCATTTATTTATTCATTATTATTTTCCATTTGCGAATAACTGTAATCGAGCACTGCTGCATATGCTGACAGTGACGGACATTGGAATTTCCACCCCAAGAGAATCCTGTGAGGCTTAGCAATGGGTTCCGACGCGCATCTTTGCCAAGTTGAATAACCTTCTGAAATATTTCAATCGACTCATGCCGCTTCAATCCGCATTCCTCCATAGCTTAATCCTCTGCTCATAATTGGGTACGATACAGCGGCGATGTTTCTTACCGAGGAGCTCCTAGAATGGAGTTCTTCTCATTTGTAAGATCTATTCAAATCTATTCAAAGCGACGTAATGTATTTTGAAATCATCGGGTTTTATTCGCTTGATTTTCAGCTTCTATAAAGAAGGATAGAAGTTAGCTGTAGGGCTTACGGTGCACTACATTGATGGCCAGTTTGGTCCAGGTAACAGTACTGGATACGATATTAGGAGAGGAGAGGAAGAGGGGGTGTATTAGGTTGTGTGCAGGGAATAACCTGTACCTCTCCTTGTGGCATCCTCCAATAATCCCCGATCTACCTCCGCCTGCGGTAAGACGATATATCGGACCACGCTCCCTCGAACGAAAATATTCTTCACACTGGAGAGATGTGGGTATTCATCCAGGTCAAGAACCTCAATGTCATCCAGCTTGATATTCAGATATTGGTCAACACTTTTAAGGGTGCCACGTATGCGTATGTCATTCTTCAGTTCAATTGTAACTGTGTGGTTTGTGATAGTCTTAAAAAAACTACGTGTAAGAAATAGTTAGCTCAAGAGCTCTGGAGCAGGCTGGGAAGGGATATTCAAACCTGAAGAACAGCATCGCTGCGGTCGGAGTTCGGAAACGGCAGAAAGGAGTGGCCTTGGGAAAACTAGGATGATGGGAATAGATGTGCCTACAGCATTTGTGTATAGGCGAATTAGTCTTAGGTGGGATGATGTTGACAGATGCTGCCAAGAAATTTTGAACCACCACCCAACTTTGAGCCAATCAAAGTTGGAGCCATATAAAACACATGGACTTTCCCCAGAATTCAAGTTTGTTAGATCCAAACTATTTTCGCTTTACAAAGTGCAATACGGTAGTTAACTAGTTAAATTTTACTTCTCAATATTCCTCAAAAATTCATCAACTGAATCACCAGGTTTCTCATTTGAAAGTTAAAGAAGCCAGAGCTTTCTAACCAATAATTTCCTACACACACAGACACTAGAATGATCAATCAATAGAGAATCCTCAAAAGTAATAGATCAACCACAATGCCGTATTTCGGCTTGACATTTGCCCTGTTGAAGATAGCAGACTAGAGTAGCAAGTCACAAGAGGAGTTACATGAATAGTAAGGTAAGAGGGATTAAGCTGTAATGAGATGAGCTGAAGCGGAATCGAGTGTGATAGTCAACACAAAAGAGATCATCAACTGGAAAGTGGGGAAGGAGGGAGTGTATAAAATAACGCATGCAGATTAAATATACAAGGTAACAAGAAAAGGGGTTGAATGTGAGATAGTGAGTGACTAACAAAACGCGAAATGGATATTTAAACGTGGCTGTGGGTATTTTTCGGCTTCATCGCCCACCCAGTTAAGCACCTCCATCCAGCTCCAGACTTTTGTCCCTCTGCGTAAACGCCAGGGACCTCCTCGAGCAGCTTGCACTTCTCACGGCCCATTTCCATCTGGAGTTTCAACATCCATTGTTCCCACATCCACCCACCAAGCAGGCCAGTAGTACTGGCTATATTACTCGTGGTTCCCATAGATTCGCCGACATCAGAATGGGAACCCAGCTCCGTCTTTGGAGTAGAAGTTTCGGTACCAAGAGGCAGAAACATCCATGCTCTCTTGGCTTGCGCAAAATTGGCATTATGGAGCCGATGGATGAAAGACTTTGTAGGGGAGGGGTCGTACCCACGAGTCTTAAGGTTGAACCCAAATTCAACAGATACGGCCGCACCGCATGGTCCAGCACGGATAATCTCCGAATCCATCAAAAAGAATTCGAGGATACCACCAGGTTTGAGGCATCGAAAGCATTCCTTCAGACATAAATCATACTCGTCCTCCTCTTCACCGCAAGGGTGATCTGTTTTTAACAATGAGTGGAAGGTACGAGAAGATATGACGTCAAACTGATTGTCACGGAAGGGAAGCCGCCAAACATTAGGGACCGAGATTTGCCGATGGTTCGAAGGCCCTTTCATACCTGGATTCACAACTTGGTGTTTCGCCATCGTTGTGTAGACTTTGACATTGGGGTGGTCGTTAGAAACATGCCACGCCCAGCCGCAGGATGGGTCGCCACCAATGTCGAGCACCCTGATCCTCCGAACAGAAGCACTCTTTAGATCCCCGCAGGGAACCTTTGCTTTAACAAACCGCTTTACCGCCGAGGTAGGGAGGAGGGATCCACCCTTCAAAAATTTCAGGGCTTCGACTGCCCACATTGAACTGTGTAGCTGATGCGTTACATCTTGTTCCTTTTCTAAATTTGAAAATTTGGCTTGATCGGCGAGAATCTGGGGGACAGTAGAATTTCGGGGGGCTTGGGAGAACGGTCCGCGATAAGGAGGACGGATAATGTTATTCAGAACATATTTCCCGAGAAGGCCATCAACGTGCTTGTCCATGAAACTGAGCCGTATTGCCTGAATTGATTCGTAGCGTAATTTGTTGTGGAAAAAGGCATCTTGGGCGGTTGACTGGCGTACCAGGCGTTGAAAGCCACGATAAAACAAGGCATTACCTCCTGCAGGATGAGAATGGGGCTTTAAGCAAACGCCGTTTTCCCGAATGTTAGCTAGGACTTCTGATTTTCTCGATGTGTTTGGTGGACACTCGTGAGGGGTTTCTACAAGAATTGTGGCTGGCGCGCCCTCAATTTGATTCACGGGGTTAGTCTCGCGTAAAGCCGAAAGATATGTAGTCTGAGCTGCCAGCCAAGTGGTTGTCCTATCAAGGTTAGAAGCCGCCTGAAATTTCAATTCTTCTTCGTATAGCTCGTCATACTCATCCGCGATATAATTTGCGGCTGAATAGCGTTCGCCTCCTTTCGAGGGAATTGGCGTTTCTGAACTGTCCCAGGGAACAAAGTTTGGTGTTGGAGTTGCTAGAAAAGTATTGCTGCGACCTAAATGAGGTGTAGCAGGAAGGACGTCATCGGATATCGCCGGAAGGTTCCAAGAGCAATTGTAGAAATTCTCCGCAGTAGCAGACGAAGGTTGGGGGATTATGGGGAAACGCCAAGTCTGCTGCGCATCAACTCCTAGAGAAGAAAAGAAGCCTTCTGGGGATGGGATGCTGAGAGGAGTGAAGGGAGTTGAACCAGCTGAAGCTGGAATAGCAGCATTCATGCTCCTAGGACGACTTGAGAACATCTTTACTTCTTGCATTTCGCCTATTTCGTTAACCCCGGATATCCTAGAGTGGCGGTCACTATCACTATTAAACTCAATGCGTTGAAGAATAGCAAGAGCGTTTGTTGGAAGCTCAACGCCTTTATTTGAACTGTTTGTCGACGCAGGCCTATTAATTTCAGGGATATCTGGAACACCATGTAGGTTAACATCGGGCCCATTCTCCGGGATGACCGGGAAACGACCGAGGACGTGACTCCAGTCTTCAGGATTATCTATTTCAATTTCAACCTGAGGACTCATGGTTGCACTGCAAGGGGATTCGACGTCCCCATTAGTATCGGAGTCAATATGGAAGCGCAAATACTGTGCATCCCAATCAACGTCTGACACTGCTTCCAGTCGAGGGGTGAGAGGTGCACTCAAAGTAGAAGGATGGTCCGAGGCTGCACTGCCATCTAGTGAGGGGGGGGCATGGGCTTCAGGAACAGCCCTTGGGATGCGTGAGAGGGCCTCAGGCGACACTGGTATTTTTGGTGGCGGAGTCGGCGGAACAGGAGAATTCTTGTGAAAAGCGTTGATATTGGCCCTATGTAACGAAGACGGAATGATAATCGCCGGGTATTTGTTGCGGCTACTCGACGAAAGTGTGGATGGCTGCGATGACTTGGTGGATTCACTGTTTCCCTGGCTGAGAAGGGACGGACAGCTGTCGCTCATTTCTCCTTCGTCATCCTCATCAGTGGCATCGTAGAGGTCGTCGAAATCGTGGCTCCGTCTCAGCCATGAATTCCTAGAACCGGACGAACTGGTGGATCCGGGGGATACAGCGCGATGCGCGAGACCCAGGCGCGAGGGACGAGTTGGTCGAGTTTGATTCACTGGAACTGCTGCCCGCCGGCCAGCGGCTGAAGGCATGCCATCAATAGCCCTTTTCGCATCAAACTGGGACTCGCGTTTATCTTCGGTGATTGTATTAAGGTGTCTATTTCGGCCTAGCCGAATTTGTGATTCTGTTTGGATGAAACGGTCCGCCATGGCAGATAAACCGGATCCTTCGGGCTAGAGTTCAAATTCGGTGATGTTCAAGGTTTCCCCAGCACACCGAATGAATTACCAAACCCAACGATTTATCCGTCGAAATTTTTTGCGGAAATTTGCAAATAACTCTGCGGGGGGGTAGTGGTGGTCACAGGGATGATATAGTTTTTTTCAATTCTCATCTCCGTTAGAAAAATTGTAAACAAATCAGGAAAGTCATAACCCGATCAACAGGTGAACTCAAGATCAAACGGCAGGGAATGAATGAGTGGGTTGAGAGGGACAAAAAGGAAAAATAAAATGTTGAGGATTAAAATGTATAGTTGAAAGAGATAAGAAAAGCAAAGAAAAGCAGAGACAAGCAAAGCCAAGCAAAGAAAGCAAAAGAAAAAACTAAGGAAGTCCAAGGTGCACACTCAATATGCACTCAAAGAGCAACCAAAGCCGAAAAGCAGGAGGGAGAGAGAAAAAGGGAAGGACGTTGGCAGCGGGCACAGGAGAATATCCAGCTGCAAAGAAGAAGATGGTTATTTGTACTTTGTCCGTTGCCGCGGGACCACTGGGCTTGAAGCCACAAAAGGCACCCATCTTCAGCGGGGGTCTGATTTGCCCGGGGCGCCAGGACCATGATTGGATACGGAGCGGGTTCCCAGGGCTTCAGGGGAAACCAGGTGGTCTCCGGGTGTGCCTGGGCTGCCAATCAGGGCGAGTCCCACCGGCGCCAAGCAATCATGCAGGGCTGCTGGTCCCTGGAGCTTTGCCCACTGGATTGCCCAGTTAGCCCGGGATGCCCAGGCCACAGGGAGACAGCGACACGGCGACACGCCGATCTGGAGTTGCGTGGAGGGGCACGTCGGATTTCTCTGGTTGGCTGAGGTTGCTGTACGGATAACCGCCCACGCAACCGCCGCCACCATGCTGCCCAATAAGGTTCCCTCACCGATTCACTCTAGATTCCTCAACACTTCTTACGTTCTCTGCAGAGGGAGGTCCTGGAAGAGAAGGCATGTATGGATCATCCATGAACACCTAGTACCCGGGTACCAGGAGTAGTTGCTGCTAATGCCCAATGATGATCACTTTCTTCCAACATCTAATCAAACTCCCCGTTGTGTTCAACTTCGTGGATGTGATCGTGGAGCATTTTTCTCTTCTCTTGTGAGTCTGATAAAACCTGTCTGAGTGAATGTAATATTTTCTATTGTCCCTCTTCTTTCCTGCTGATTAATTTGTTTTTTGTGTTCAGAATGGTGATTGGCCTAACACTAGTTTGTTAGAATAAGTGCTGCTTATATAACAAGCAGCTCCTTGCAAATCAATATGTAGTGAATAACTACTAGAACAGATTATATCTCAGTAGTATATCACAGGGCTAGGTTTTAAACTAGTTATTTATTTACTACTATATTATATAGTAACTATTTTAATATGGTGGGTGTATATCCATTAGTCGACCATCTTTGATTTTTTTGATTTGGAAAGAAGCGGGTGTTGGCACGTTGACTAAGTAAGGCTCATGTGCTTACAAAATCATTTTAGATGACCTGCTGAGATTGCTCCAACACAACTTCACATAGCAAAGAAGTTCAGGAGGAACAAGCCCCCAAAAACCCTACCTAATTCTTCTACCATTGGAGCATTTTTTTAAATCGTTATTTTGGTCACTATATGGTCTCAACCTGTTCTCCATCATTTAGCTTCATATGTTCCCGGTAGGAGTTGCATCAACTTCTAGGCCAACTCGCCCCTCCACCATGTCTCCGCCTACCATTATTGCTCCCTCCATTCTCTCCGCGGATTTCGCTGCGCTTGGGTCGGCATGTTCCGACTTGATGAAATCAAACAGTGATTGGATTCATGTGGATATTATGGATGGCCATTTTGTTCCCAATATCACTTTTGGCGCCCCAGTTGTATCCAAAATCCGCAGACATGTAGCCCGACCTTCTAATCCCGGTGGAAAAGGCACTTTTGATTGCCATATGATGATTGCAGAGGTACTATTTTATCTTATTTTATATCCCTTCCCCTCCCCCTCCCCCTCCCCCTCCCCCAGTCCGTCCAGCTGTTGGTGGTCGCGTATTTCTTCGTTACCAAGCATTTTCTCCTACTTTTATACATTCACTACATGGCGCGCTCATTTAGCAGGCTTGTTGACTTATATGGATGTCACATTTGAAAAAAAAAAAAAAAAAAAAAAAAAAAAGAGAGAGAGAGAAAGAGAGAGAAGGGTGGGCGGGGTATTGTTGCAATATTTCAGTTCGGAGGCACCTCCCTCCATCCACTATTAGAGTTGCCAGCCATTTTCGAGCCTATTTAATTTCTTTCCATGTTTCTTTTCTAATTCAGCCGAAGTAATCTACAATCGTTCGGGTGATCTTCTTTTATATCTAATTTCTGTCAATTCGTTCTTTTCCATTGATTAGTTTGCTAACCCATATCGATGAGAGCGGGGGGGTTGCTACGCGCCATAACCCTGGTCCAACCAGCTATGGCTGATAGGGTTGTGCCCGGCGCGAAGCGGCATTGAGGCCCCTCCTGTTCCCTCGCATGATATGAATCCATATAGCCCCAGAAATGGGTGACGCAATTCAAAAGTGCTGGTTGTGACCTATACTGTTTCCACTATGAAGCAGCCATTACATCAACTGCCGCTAAGGAGCCAACGGATGCGTCGACCACCCGCCGCACCAGTCCGACCGAGCTTATTCGGTATATCCATGAGAATGGTATGCAAGCTGGTATAGCTATCAAGCCAGATACTCCAGTGGATGTGTTGTGGGATATACTTGAACAGGACGACCCCTTGGATAGACCTGATGTGAGTCTATACCCTAACTAAGCCTTCGCCCCGTCACAATATTGCGTATAAACTGTTCATGACAACAAAACTGCCGTGTTCGTTATTGGCTTTTGGGAATTGAATGCGAATATAATAAATCCTGATAAATAAACTAAACCGCTACAGATGGTGCTCGTTATGACTGTGCACCCCGGCTTCGGCGGGCAGAAGTTCATGGCTTCAGAATTACCCAAAGTAAATGCTCTGCGAGTCAAGTATCCCCATCTTAATATTGAAGTCGATGGAGGCCTCGGAGAGGACACCGTGGAACAGGCGGCGGAGGCTGGGGCCAACGTGATTGTTGCTGGGTCGGCTGTATTTGGCGCTCAGGATCCTGCTCAAGCAATTGCAATGCTCAGAGAAGCCGTCGAGAAACGGAGAAAATGAAAAACAATAAAAAACAAAAAATGGGAAAAGGAAAGGGAAATAAAATGGCAGTTAAGGAGGTTTCCGTTGTGCGGTTTGTAAAAGGGTCGACATATCAAAGAAACCGCATTATACAAGGCGTCACTGAGAAGCTGATGGTGTATCATTCCCTCACACACAATTGTTCTAGGTGGTTTTGTTTCATAGAAATGGAAGGGATCAACCTTTAGAGCTTTCAGTGCTTGTGTTCTTCTCACTTAGGGGACCAATGTACCTTCTGTTATAACAAATAATACCACGCAATTAAACTACATAATCAACCATAGTGGATTGTCTTCATCACTAAGGTATTTCTCTGCCATTTTAGCCAAGTAAATAAGCGGCTGGCAAGCTCCCATCTGTCATGTTCGTCAAACGCAGTCTTTTGATGTTCCCGCGACTGTCACTTCTTCATCTTCCTTCTTATCAGTGTTACTTTCATTCTCGCTCGAGGCATGGAAACCCGATTTATATCCGGGATAACTCTCCTTCACCTTGACGTGTTCAACTGCAGGGGCGGCATCTGACTTCCCAGTTGTCCCTTCATTCCCGAGGACAGCCCCTTGATGCAATGTACTAAGCTCCTTGACAAGTTGATTTTGTTCACTGGGTGATGTGACAGAGACCACAGTCCCACGATGATGCTCCGGCGGGGCCATTCCCTTAGGGTAGTTCGCCTTCAAGTCGGCGCTTGATGTCGCGGCTACCTCGGAGAGGGAGGGCCTGTGAGGCGAGATGCTTTCATCTGTTTCTTCTATACGTTCAGGGGCACTTATTGGCGACCCTGGGGGCTGTGAGTTTCTCTTCTCATCAGGCTCTGATGTCTCGGGATTTGTCCTTTCTAAGACGGCCGAGCTCGTTTCCTGGGTCTTTGCAGAGGCTGAATTGGCGACTAGTTTTGTTCGTGTGTTTTCCTTAGCTTTTGAAGCCGCCTCTTCTCCGGCTTGTCGTAAAGCAAGCGTGATAGAATCCTCTGGCAGCGGGACCCTTGACGGGAGCTCTTGCATTTGGAATTGATGTGAGGGAGTGGGCTCAACGGGAAGTGAAGTCGGAACAGCAGTGATTGAGGGTTGTGTGGTGTCTGACTTAGATAAAGATGTGATAGTCGGTGTGATGGGCTTGCTTGTGGACATCGAAGACTCGTTGCCAAGGCGCATTTTGAGCTCACCATATTCGTTCCACTCCTCAATCTCTTCTAAATCCTAAACACGTTTCCGTAAGCTACAACATTGCGCTGTCTAAGATGCTCCATATATGTAGGTAAAAGCTACTCACTCCAACAATCATCCCGTCCCTGACCAGCCCTGGCAGCTTTTTCCCCCTTGACCGTCTACCCCACAGCCTGCGCGCTTCCTCATCAGTTGCAACGTCAACGGCCCGAAAGAGGACTTTGTTGGCTTTTAGGATTGTTTCCAGTCGCGAAGTTGCTGTGATTATGTGGGATGAGCCTGCAGTCAGAGAGGTAAAGAGATAGAGCGTGTCGGAGTCATTGACGTAGGATTTGGGGTAGGAATCAGCCATGACGGAAACCAAAAAGTATTTGGTAATGGTCGGATACTGTAGTTACCTAGGCACCTATACGGAAATGAAGAGAATATAAGTGAAACGGTCCTTTAGCCGATCGATCAGAGACTGTTAAATTGGAATCGGCTGCTCTTCATATTTTTCTGCGTCGCAGCTCTTGCGGAGTCTCAGGATTTACGGAAAAGTCGCCAAAGCGCATTTCTTGCCAAGCTCAATTTGTGGCATGTGCACAATGTTACAGCGGGGTTTCGGACTAGCGTAATATTAGGGTTAAAAGTTTTTCCGACTGAAAACTCGAGGACCGCTTCAACCCCTGTTCAAGTGTAACTCGGGAAACGCTAAACTTACGGAGTGCAATAGGATTGAACACGAAGGATATGATGCCTCTAATTGAGCGGCACGATCAACCCAAGACGCTGCGGGCATCCAAAGACATGCGTGTGAAAGAATGTTTCTTGTAAAGCTGCTGTCTGACCATATCGTCAGCTGTTTCTCAGAGTTGGAAGTGGGTGGTACGAGAGGTACGGAAATGGGGAGAGAGATGGAAGCCCGGCGAGATTCGTCTTGTGGCTGAAACTTCCCGTTTCTGTATCGATGCAATTGCACTATAATGGTTGCCCGTCTTCGCTGTGGGAGCCGTGTTCTGCAGTTGTTTGGGGCCAAGTTGATCATAGCAGACAGGGTGCGCTCATGTCCGCTGTAGCCATATCCCGCAGCAAGCCCTACCGGATGAAAACGAACGTCGAATAAATAATTGTAGATTGTCTGTGCATGTCTGTGAATAGCCGTTGTATGGTTAGCATCGACCAGTGACACGATTCCTGTAAGTCAAGTCCAGTCCACAGAGTCGGTGGCCGCCAGCTGACCGCTTCTAGGTATCGTTGCTATCCCTCATCGTGGCCTGTGTTCTTGTACCGTACAGAAAGCCCATCGGACCCGCAACGCCTGTCTGGCTGGCACACTGCTGTTTCCCACCGTCGTCCACGGCATCGTGCTCTCGGCTGTGAACGTGGACGGTGAGTGGGCTACTCCTTTGTGGTCCGGTCCGTTTGGCCATCCGCACCAATTCCTAGCTATTATTCTTCGCTACGTGTGCTCTGAAGGTACTGACATGGACGTCTATAGCGCCCCCCAGCTCTCCCAAAACCTACTTCTACGGGATGGGACGTTACACCATCTTCCTGTGGATTAGCCTCATCCCGGCGGGAGAGTTGCCCAGTTAATGGGACAGGTGAGGAGTCTACTGACTGCCTGTTCTCTGATCTTTAACAGGCATCTTGGCCTTGGCCGTCCAGTTCTTCCGCGCCAAATAGTCTGATCACACACATGATTACGCCGGGAATTCCATATCCGTCAACAGGAAGCTGTTCACCTACTAGTCCACCTGCAACTTAATGGTCGTTCTCCCCGCCGCGCAAGGACGCGACTAGTAGTATCCACGTCTTCCTGTCGCCCCAATGGATGACCTTTGGAACCGCCACCTTTTTGGGCGTCGCTTGTTGTGCTCCTGCCGTCTTCTTGCTCATATCCGGGTGTGTAAGCATCCCGGAGATCACCTCGGGAACGGAGGAGAGGAAGAGGGTCCGAATTGCGCTACCATTCGATCCATGGCGGAAGTTAACACGTTGGTGGGTGTGCTTCTAAGTGCTGTGGAGATTCGCGTGTTGCGCGCTTCTATGCTTGCTAACCTCTCCATCGGCGAGATGAACCAGCTAAGCACATAGCCCATGTACTAGACGAGACAGATCTCCAGGCTTGGCAGGTTGGCCCCTACCTAACTTCGGGCTCGTCGTTGACTTGCTTTCCTTTCCTTTCCTTTCTTTTTTTATAGGACAATGGGCACCCGTGGCGGGTTCTGGGCTCTAATCCTAGATATTCGACTGGCTACGGACGGCCATTAGCTGAAATTGGGTCCACCGCTGGTGACCCCAGACAAGGTCACACAATGAGGCCAACGTAGGTAATAGACTTGTGCAACGGACACAAAGTGGCGCATGTCATACCAGTACCCCACGACCATTCCCCACGGGTTGGCTAACCTGCAGCCCCGACTCGGATAGCAGTGCGGCCACCTCTCGGGCACTATCACCAGCATCTCTAAGACCGTCCCGCTTTCCATCGCCGCTTCCCTCGTCCAGCATACCGCGGCAGCCACGCACCTGTATTTTACGGCGATAATGTATCTTGTCAGTCATCTGGTGATTTACCTGTAGGTGCTGTGTTGCAACAGCGCGACACCGTGAAAGCACCCACATCTGCATATCATGGTCCACCAGAAAAGCGCCCTCACATTCCGCCACTGGAACCATCGTCTGCGTCTCTCACGGCCGCAATTCGACTGCTATTGTGGTCTCATCGGAACCCAGCCGTCCTCGCCTACACGTTCGCCTGTCCTCAGCGCCCCGCTGCCTCATCTTTACCAGAACCGCGGCAGCTGTTAACCCAAACCGTCGTATGATTACCTGGATGTGGCGGGGTCACCTATACACCAAGATGCTAAAAGTTTGTTGGCATCATTGACTTGGTGACAGTGTAATCTATCCTGTCAACTGGCGGTTCATATTCGAAGCCGTCACAGGATATATGTACCGATGGCTGGACGGTTTTTGAGGAATTTCGACTCTAAGAATCTTGGAAGTTGGAATTGTCTCGCAGATCCCACTAATCCCACTATTGCGGCCTTCTAACTTGTCTAGAGTCTGAAAGTGCTTACGATGGACTTTTCTTTTAGGCTCCCGTTGGATATTTCCTAAAAAGTCTGGAGCGCCGCGCCAACCGTACGGGCAATCATCAGTTTCCAATCCCTTACCTTCCGAAATATTTAGCGATGTGGTATTCTAGATTTTTTCTATTCTGGCAATATACAAGAGATATGTCCACATTTGAAGTGTCACCCGCCTTCCCACTAGTAGTACCATATAGCACCCCCTGGGATGCTGGGATCTTGACCATGGTGGGTGGTCACAGCACGAAGAGCTCCGGACGGCGATATACAGATAAAAACCTGCAAGCTTAGGTTTTAATCTGTATAACAGAACTCACACAATCTGACTTTCCACGACGAGCAGCAGTCGATACAACATACCGCCTTGCACAACCAAGTCTCCTGGAAACAGTTAGACCTACCATCGAGGGTATCTTTTGACTCGTCAATGCCAACTTCCGCGTGTCTACCTGCTTTCTAATATAAAGTTCTGGTTTTCTTCAGTAAGCGGCCACAGATATGTTCTGCAAAAGGGGAACAACGCAAAATTGAAGGTGCTGTCAAGGCACACCAAGCCCAGTGTGGCTTCCGCTTAGTGCAAGGACACAGTGGAACGGAAGGGGTATGGCCGAAGTCCATGTTTTGGATCCAATATAACTGAACTGCCCCAGATTCGACGGAAGGGATTCGTGAACCAAGCGACAAGCGATGGACTTAGAAATCAACATGAAGAATGAGAAAATTCGTGCTGTGGTTTGCTTGGAATTCAACTGGGGATGGCGTAGCTCTTGGACCCTTGGTATTCTCCCGCTGTCCACCGTCATGAGACATGCGCCAAGACCAATCGGGTTCTGTAAGTCATCGCCAAGAGAACCCCCTTATGTCGGTTAAGAATCTGGAGTTATTTGTTCATTGATGCCTAATTTCATAAACGTGCCAACAGGAATCGGCATATTTGAAGAAGGCTGCCATTTTTCACTTGCATCACCGACCCCTGCTGGAGAAACGTTCCTCTAATATCCGCAATGTCCTCGCTCACATCAAGAGCGACTTCATTGACGGTTGTTTGAGATGGCGGGCCTTCAATTTCCTGGCTCTTGTTTACGTCTACAATGACCGCTGCGTGGTCTTCGCACTCAACCCCGCCCCTTCGTTTAACAGCCGGATCCGGAAAGGTTCTCTAAGGTTGTCGACTAGATTGTGTTGTAAGGGTTGCGACCTCATGGTGCTGATGTACGGATTATCACTTGAGCGGGGCCAAGGTAGAGAACGGCGGATGGCTTCCCGACCTGGTGTTTGGCGGATAGATCGGCCTCTGGCATCTCAGCAAGCTGGACAGGATTCTCGCAGGTCTGGCGCTCTCTTGGTGCGGTGGTATGTTGCATGTTAGTGAGCTGGCGAGAGTGGAACATTGCTCGTAATGCAGATTGAGACGCGGCTGTCACCAGAAAGAGAGAATCTAGTCCTGGAACGAATGGCCCTTCAATACTACTCCGCTGACGGTGTTGAGTCGATCCAACATGCTCAGATTTGGGCAACGGCCCCTTGGCCTCGCCCTGGGCGCCGGTCTGTTGCGCTCACGATGGCGTTATTGGTAGCCAAGCGGTTTTAGTCCCTCAACGGGCTTGATGCCACAAGTTCCCAGCAGCTCTCGCGGAATACAAATGCCTCAATGTCTATTTGACGCGACGGTTACCCACGCAGCAAGCCCCAGCAAGTTCAGCGTGGAGCGGTGCGGTGGCCTGTGTCTTTGGGAGTGTTGCTCTGATGCGGATTGAAATCAGCCATTTAGGAAATACGAAGTCGACCTTTCGGCTCGTTGCGGCATCGTTACCACGGACCTGGCCCATGGGTATAAGTCATATATGATCAGCCAGGTTACATGTCCAGCGTTGCCCAGGACGGTGGAGCTAGTCAGCGAAAGCCCTGGACCATTTGATGGGGTGAGAATGTGCGAGGATATGCGACTGTTTGGTGGGCTATAGTCGGAGATGCGTCTTGAGCAGAGTCGATGTCCGGACAGCAGTGAGACACTGGTTGGGGCCAGCCGAGGTGGAACTTGTTAACAGTACTAAGGCGATCCTATTGCGATTGCGATTACGATTCTTTCTTGTTGAAGCGATGAACTTGCATTGTTTCTCCTTGTCTCGCTTTTACCTTTGTTGAACGCAAAGAAACGAAGATTAGCCTGTTCCGGTATAATGCTTGGCTTCATCGCAGTCGATGAGACGTCCAGCCTCAGGGATTTTCTCCCCGTGTCACCATCACTGGGGAAGTTAGTGACGGAGAAGCAGTGCTGGTGTAAATGCCTGGCCGACTTGAGATATTTGTTAATTCACTCAAGTCACAATCGCAATCTGCTTAGTCACCGCCTCTCTGCAGCCAAACCCTCGTTCACGTTGCAGTTTTATTTTCCCCGCTTGCAACCTCAAGTAATTCAGCTTGACATCCTTGGCCGACAGGGTTCCCCAGTTTTGACAATCTGCGGACCGCAACGGTGGCAGTTGTTCCGAGCGCGTTTTTAGAACAAGAGAGAAACTAGCACCGAGACACTAGGATGCGACCGCCAGACTGAGCGGGCTTCGGTTCACAGTAGCTGCGCGGAGGAAGAAGTTTTTCTTGCTGGTCATGGCATTTCTTGATTGGGAGGGAAATAAATCGCAGGCGGCGGAGGGAATGAAGCATTGTTGCTGATTCACGACGCAGTTAGCCGTTTTGGGTAAAATCTGGCGCCTCCTGACCTAGGCCATCTTAGGAAGGTTACATTGTTGCTTCCCCTCCCCCCCTTTAGGCGAACTGGATTCTTGAAAGCGATTGATCAAGGCGAGCGCTCGTTCCGTCTCTTCTTTCAATCCCCACAGCCAAGACGGCCAAGTAAAGCCAAGTTCAAACAAGCAATGCTAGTGCGTGCCGGGGTCTTAAAGGCGTGGCTCCACCCTGTTGGAGCTGTTTCCCTCCTTAATCACCCTCTTCTCATGCCTGGGGATGGATGGCATGTAACCGGATATCGCCTTGGATGCCATATGCATCTCCGAACTTCCGCGGACTCAAGAAGTCGAAATTGATATCCTGCGTTATCCGCTTTCCCTTGACCACACATCGACAGTTATTATCCCCGTACCTCCCCTTCGCTCCATCCACCCTCTTGATGTTGTTCTCGTTTTTATACTGAAAAGGTTGATCGAAGCGACAAGGACAGGACGGAGCAATTCACAATCATGGATGTCACCGAAGAGAAGATGGCGCATGCTTCCACACCCGAAGAGGGCAAAGAAGTAAGGAAACACGTGGAGCAGCGTGCCATTCCGCCGAAGATGCGCAAGCTTCACGATTCAGCCGTCACCTTTCAGGAGTACCAGCATTACGCGAGCCTCACACGCGCCGATCAAGACCAGATGCCGAAGTCGACAGCTGGGAAGAATCTACTTTTCTATTTGATTCCTAATTTGCAAAATGTAGGGATAGAGAAATACGAGTTGACCAAGGTCAACACGTCCGATGACGCACAGCGCATGAACATTACTGATGAAGAATGGATCAATGCCTCTCGGGCATTACGCACGGCCAGCTCTGGTGCTGTCTTTTATCTCATCACAACGGATATTTTCGGGCCATTCGGCTTACCCTACGCTTTTGCAACAACTGGCTGGGGGTGAGTGAACATCTACCTAAAGGAGACACCTATACAAAGTGATGCTAATCCCGCCAAGGCCTGGCACGGCTCTCTATACGGTGTTCGGCGCCATGGCAGGTTTCTCTGGGTATTTGTTGTGGGATTGTTTTATGGGTATGCAATATCCTCTCTCTCCCCTGCGATTCTCAAGTATTCGAAACTTATCATTTACGCTCCAATTTCGTTTGGTAGGCGTCGATTCGTACGAGTTTCCGGTCAAGTCCTTTGGAGATCTAGGTTACCGTATATATGGAGCATGGGCGCGATACATGTTGAACGGCCTCCAGGCCATCCAGCTGCTGTGTAATGTCGGCGCGATTGTTATCTCGAACGGACTAGCGTTGTCGGAGGTGTCTGAATTTAGACTATGCTATGCTATCTGCTGCCTGGTGTGGGCCCTGGCAGGATTTGTTTTTGGCCAAATCCGGACATTGCAGCGATTCTCCTGGCTCGCAAACCTGGCTGTTTTCATCAACCTCCTAGTCATTTTTGTGACGATGGGAGGAGCAGCCCATTCGCCCCCGCTCTACTCCGCCGTTGCCAGCTCTGCGGGTGCTACTATATACCCAAACCTGGTGGATCAAGTCAACAATGGAAACCCTCCTCCTGTGATGCATAGTGGGGGCTTGCCAAATCCAGCGAAGTTTGCTGCTTCATTGAACGGTGCAATGCAAGCCGTGTATTCATACGGTGGGTCGATGATCTTTCCCGAATTTCTGGCTGAGGTCAGGCGCCCACGCGATTTCTTGAAAGGTATGTGGGGTGCACAGCTCTTCATCTACCTCGTATACATGATGTACGGCCTCTACATGTATGGCTTTCAGGGTCAGTATATTCAGAATCCGTCGTACTTGGGAATCTCCGCGCATCAGGTACAGACAGCTGGGAATTCTCTGGCCATTGTGTCGGCTTTGATTGCCGCCATTCTGTATGGTAATATTGGCATCAAAGGTGAGTGTTCTGTTGATTCCGCTTGAGGCTCCAAGATGCATCCTGACATTTAACCCCAGTGTTTTACAATAACATCTTGGTTGAATTCTTCCATGCGCCTCCGATTTTCCTTAAGAAGGGCAAGCTGTTATGGTTGTTCGTTGTTCCAATCTACTGGTCCATTGCATTTATCATCGCTGCCGCTATTCCCGATTTCTCAGGTTTTACGGGCATCGTAGCGGCTACGTGCATCCTCAATTTCACTTACACTTTTCCACCGTTGCTGCACATCGGTTACCAAACTCTCCGCAATGCTGGGCGTGGAGAAGCAGGTTTTGACCCGGTGACCGGCGAAGTACTTGCAAATGATCAAGGACTGAAGCGATTGATCCGTGGATTCTTTGGCGACCGTTGGTGGTTGAATGTCTTCAATCTTCTCTACATGCTTGGTGCTTTGGCGTTGTGTGGCCTGGGCACCTGGGCCTCTGCTGAAAATCTTATTGAGGCCTTCGCAACGCCCCAAATTAATGCATTCAGTTGCAGGTCGCCGCTCCAATGAAGGATGAAGTAGGAGAGAGACAGTTGAAGCTGATGCTTGAAGGGAGGATTCCGTTTAGTTTCGTAGTCGGTGCTCAATAGTTGATGCTACATTAATATCAGCATAGATATCTGAATGATGCCAACACTTCCTTCTCCTCAACCCAAGATTCAGACCTCAAACATTGCAAGACCGTGGGCGTTTTGTGAACATTAATGGGCATCCAAATGCAGGGTCAAAGACAACTAGATGGTGTTGAGCGCTTACTGTCGGAAAGAGAAGTGCAAGCACACTGATTTCCTCCGATTTCTCCGCGGCCCAATCGCATTCCATGCCAATCATACCTGCCATTTAGAGCGGTACGTCCTGATCCGATTTCCTCGTTTGTAAATTCGCGGATGATGTTCATTGGTTTCACGCGCGGTTCTCCGCGTTTGGTATCGTATTTTCTGGAGGTCTGAGTCGCCCAGTGGTTGCATTATCACGTTGCATTATCCGTTGAATTAATTTCTTGATATTCAGTAATTTATAGTCAATATTTGAATAAAATTCAGTAGTTATGAGTGTTTGGATTGCTAGGACGCCACGTGATCCCACCTCTTGAAGCAGCGTTTCACTGTCGAGATAGTTGCAATGAACCAACCAAGCTTCCACTTCCATCACAAGTACTAGTATTCAAGAATTGGAACCTCTTAAATATTGAAAAGCTGTCAATGGCTTCACGTTTCCCTCCTCAACAATAAAATACCCTTCCCTTGAAAAGAACCAATCACTGGGACCACAGTCGCTGTGCCCTCACTCTAACCTTTTTGTTCCGCGTTGCTCTGGTCTGACCTTCGATAAAGATGGCGGACAAATCACTCAAATCCACCTGCCATTGTGGCGCCATCACCGTGATCGTGCCTCATCAACCAGAGGAAATCAACGAATGTCAATGTACAATCTGTCGGCGCTATGCAGCCGCTTGGGCTTACTACAAAGTGAATGAAATCAAATGGGAAATGAAGGAAGGCGCCAAACTCTCCCAGTACATTTGGGGAGATAGAGATATCTCATTCAAATTTTGTAAGAATTGCGGATGCGTGTAAGTCACGATCGACTCATCGTTTGTGAACCTCGATAGGTTGGCTGAAATTCCTTGCCTGAACGTAGATGCTATTGGTGGCCATTTGAAGAAAAGAAGCCAGACGGCAGTGCAGTTGATTTCGGTGTTAATACGAGGAATATGGATCCCATGCAAATCTTGCACGTCAACCGCAGGATTGAAAAAGCCATGTTGTTCCAGCCACTCAATGATAAAACCATGGCGCATGAGCAAGATCGAGCCAGGTACTGAGCTATCTAGCTAGAGGTGATAAATGAAGGATGATTGTCAAACCCTATGCTCGGGTCGCCTACCGCGAGAGTGGAAACAAACATAATACTAAATTTCTTTTATCAGTGGCCTACGTCCCATCAAGGCGCCCGTGGCAAACAAATCCAACTACTTTCTTTGTTTCTCATTGCGTTCCTTTGCTTTCACTAGGAAACTTTCAATATTTGACATATTTGTTTGAGCCATGAGATTCCTAGCAGGACGATGTTGGAACGAGTACTTCTCAAGACAAATTGTCTGTCCTAGATGAAATCCCTGCTGAGAGAGGGTGTGGTTTTAGGAATTTAGCAACACAGATTGTATGTACAGTACAAAGCTTAATTCTGTCATGAACTTCCAATCATTGTTTTAATGCTCAAGACTAATGGCTACCTGCTCAATACCCGCGGGATCTAAGAGAAACACGCACCAACCGAGCGTAGGCAATAGAGCAGGTCTAGGCAAAAGAGGTCGGTCTCATCGATTGTTCCAAGCTTGTTATAACTATTATTCTCTTGTTAAAAAAGATCGAAAAAAAAAAGGACCCAGCCTTGGACTGCTTAGGTTGAGATTTCCCTTACCTCCTTCCACTACCACCACACCTGTCCTTCCTTCTTCTTTGTAGCTTAGCTTTGTAGCCATTGTTTTTTATAAAAAGAGGATAGTAGGGGGAGCTCGTTTGCTCTTAGCGTTGATCACGTGTGATGGAGTTGCAACCCGGGCAACAAGTGCTTAACAAATGTTTCATCCTTTGCATTAGTAGCAAACGCTGAAATCCCATCCACCAACATGAAAATCAATGCTAACAATTCCCCCGCGCCTACTATCCCCTCGTCTGGCCGCGAGGACACAATTAGCGCAATACAATTAGTGTAACAACTAAGCTGTTAGTTCTGATGTACCAACCAATAATTCTTCATACTAAATTCTATGTAATCTGATTTGTTGGTACAAGATCCACTATCTTAGTAATCTGCTTGAAATCTTCTCATCTTACTTGATTCATTCATATTCATGATCTTCTTATCACTCTGATCACTCTGCTTCAAGAAAGAAATATGACTTCTACAGGTGATTTTCAATTCCTTAATGCTTCTTTTAATCAGATTAACTAATTTTTTTCTTAGATAGTACAAAAATAGGTGCAAAGTGAAAGCAATCTGTCAGTGCACTTCTAGCAGACATTCCACCCCTGAAGAGTATTAGATTCAAATCTATGAGATCTCTTCATTGCCCTCCAGCTAGACTGGCCGGTGGGACCATGAATTTCACATTTGGTTTGGTTTGGTTTGGTCCCAGTCCATTTCTTGGCATTATTTTAGTGGGACCAGGATCAGAATGGGAGTGTAAAGTGACTAGAATTATCAAAACATGAGTGAAATGGGACTAAAAAATCTTGATATTCCATGTAAAGTGACTGACTATCAAAAATAAGAACATGATCTGGGACTGATCATGATTTTGACTCAAGTTTGGTCCCATTCTGATGATTATATAATACATCAATCTGATGATATGATTGGTGGAGATATTACCCCTATCTTGCTTAGTGCTCAATGCCCTGATGGCTCGCTATTAGATCCCCTATCTACCACTGCCAATCTACCTACCACTGCTAATCTATGCCGCTGCCAACCTACCTATCGCTGCTAATCTATCGCTGCTGCCAACCTACCTACCACTGCCAACCTACCTATCGCTGCCAACCTACCTACCACTGCTAATCTATCGCTGCTAATCTATCGCTGCCAACCTACCTACCGCTGCCAACCTATCTACCACTGCCAATCTACCTACCGCTGCCAACCTACCTACCACTGCTAATCTATCACTGCTAATCTATCGCTGCTAATCTATTGCTGCTAATCTATCGCTGCTAATCTATTGCTGCTAATCTATCTATCACTGCTAATCTATCGCTGCCAATCTACCTACCGCTGCCAACCTACCTACCGCTGCCAACCTACCTACCACTGCTAATCTATCACTGCTAATCTATCGCTGCCAACCTATATAGGGTAAATCATGGTCCCATTTGGTCCCATTTTGTAAAATGGGACCAAATGGGACTGGGACCACTAATTTATTAGTAAAACATGATCTGGGACTAGATTTATAATATAAACAGTGTAAAGTGACTAATTTACTAAACACTATATGGGACCAGGACTAAGATATCTAATAATGGGACTGAGGAAAAATTTGGTCCCAGTCCCATGCATGGTCACACGGCCAGTCTACCTCCAGCTGTCAATCTGCTCAATAACATTGATCCATGGAATCCATATACTCTCTTCTCTCTCTATATCTCAGAGTTTGATATTCAGAATATTGTCTGTTCCACCAATGCCTATGCAGAGATACAAATATCAAAGAATTCAGCTATCAATCCATGGAATTGGCAGCCAACTACTTCTGCTGAAATCAAAGTATTTCTTGAGCATATTATCTATATGGGGGTACATAGATCTCCAGCAATTGGAGATTATTGGAATAGAAATGATGCTCAGGGACCAGTTCATCCATTAAGATTTCATATGGGACAAAAACAATTTGAGCAGCTTAAGAGATATATTCATATATCTAATCCTTACAAACTGAAATCCTCCTCCTCCTTTATACAGAAGCTAGAGTCTTTATACTCCAACTTCCATACAGCATGTCAGAAATACTACAATTCAGGTTCAAATCTCTTCATTGATGAGATGATGATTTGATTTTTTGGATGATCCAAATACACAGTTAAAATGTCTCAGAAATCAATCAAGCAGGGATATAAGGTCTTTGGCCTAGGAGAACAGGGCTATCTTTGGACCTTTTCCATGTCTCATGATAATCTCTGCATAAGTACAATGTTCCGTACTCCAGGATTAACCAAGACTGGATCTCTTGTGGTGGAATTGATTGAATGGCTGCTAGTATTCTTGCAGAGCTCTGAGCAGCAGAGCACTGAGCAGCAGAGCACCGAGCAGCATTCTGAGCAGCATTCCGAGCAGCATTCTGAGCAGCATTCCAAGCAGCATTCTGAGCAGCATTTCGAACAGCATTCTGAGCAGCATTCCGAGCAGCATTTCAAGCAGCATTCTGAGCAGCATTCCGAGCAGCATTCTGAGCAGCATTCCGAGCAGCATTCCAAGCAGCATTTCAAGCAGCATTCTGAGCAGCATTCCAAACAGCATTCTGAGCAGCATTCTGAGCAGCAGAGCACTGAGCAGCAGAGCACTGAGCAGCAGAGCACTGAGCAGCATTCCAAGCAGCATTCCGAGCAGCATATGGAGTTGAATAACAGTAAAGAGGTAGCTGGCTACTCAATTTATATGGACAACTACTTCACCTCTATTGCTCTATTCCATTATCTTTGAAAGCAAGGAATTGGAGCCTGTGGAATCACTCATTCTGCCAATCTACCACCTCTTCTACAAGAACTGAAGAACTCTGGATTATCTGCTCATATTCTCTTCAACACTCTGTGTATCATTCCTCAAAATGAAGTTCTCTGTCTTGGATGGAAAGATAATAATATAGTATTACTACTATCTACAATTCATCTGCCAGACAGCTTTGTTGAATGTGTTAGAAAGTGCCCAGGAAAGACCTCTACTAATGGATCTCAAATTCAAAAAATATTTGGAGATAATTGGCAAAAAGCAGTGGAAATTCCTACTATTATTGATGACTATAATCATAATATGAATGGGATTGACCTAGCAAATCAGTATAGAGCTTTCTATGAGACTCATATGCTCACCAATTGCACCTGGTTGACAATTCTGTACTGGATTATTGATCATGCTATTGTCAATGCTTATCTTCTTCATTGACTGGCTACACAGCATACTACTGGCACTACTGACACTACTGACACTACTGGCACTACTGGCACTACTGGCACTACTCTATCTCATGTTCAATTCTGTCAGCAACTCTATCTTCAACTTCTTGAATTCTCAAATTCTCTACCCTCTACTTGATCAAATCCAAACCTGAATCATCAGCAAATTTCCCTATCATCTTCTCAAACTTGTGTCTGGTGTCAGTATAAAAGAAAGAGAGAAGATGGGAATAAAGGAAGAACTCCAAGATCAAGATATGGTTGTGCAGCATGTAACAATATTGCTCTCTGCTTGAAGAGAGGATGTTGGAAGGAGTTCCATTCTGATCATATTCTGTAATTAGAACTAGCTAGTTAACTAGATCAAATAGATTACATAAATTACACTAAAACACATCAATACAGCTGATTCCTCATATTATCCAGTAGTTTTCATATATTTAATACACTAATGTACACACTAAAAAATACGCTAATTGTGTCCTCGCGGCCAGACGAGGGGATACCGGGTACACCCATACCGAGTCCCCCAAAACCGTACTGCAACAGCCCAGCCGACAACATGACTACACAGGAAGAGTGGGAAGAGTGGGGTTCCGAACGCATGTTTCGCGGGATGCATGACGAAGTTGTTCTCTTGAGCCATCAGGGCGATGTCAAGGTCCTCAAGTGTGACAATGAGATCATTCTCAAGGTTGGAAGCAGAGTTCGTCCTTCTGAGGAAATCGCTATGCGCCTTGTGAAAGAGCAAACTGATATCCCTGTCCCGGAGATCTTCCTTGCCGCTTATGTTGGCAACGAAGGGCGACTGGCAATGAGTATCATCCCCGGCGCTCCACTGACAGAAGCTTGGGATAGTCTGCATGATACAACAAAAAAGGACATATGCACTGAAACTTGGTCAATGATCGAAAAACTTCGTCAGATTGAAAAGCCTGCAGCGCTGCAACACCACTTCCTCTGTCTCGCCGATGGTTCGCCCTGTACCAACGACCCCATTGTGGCAGGAATATGCTGTGCAGACCCTCCACATCCTCCTCTCCTGAATAATGATGATGTTCGCGCCCGCATCTACGAATGTTACTACGCAGCAAATGGTCGAAAGTATGGAAAAGAGTTGCTGAGCATGCTTCCTCACTCTGATATCTCGGTTTTCTCGCATGTAGACATTGGACCGCACAACATCATGTTCGACAAAGAATCACTTAAGATAACTGGGATTATTGACTGGGAGATGGCAGGGTGGTACCCGGATTATTGGGAGTATTCCAGCGTCATGAGACCTGCTAGGTGGAAAGATTGGCAGAAATGGATGGATTTGACAGCTCCAAAGAAATATGACCTGAGTGGTATTATGGCAGCAAGGCGTGTTTTGTTTTAGCGTACTCTATTAGGTTGGGATTGAAAGTATTTAGCCCTTTAGTCCACGATGGCATTATGCGTTTATCTTCTCGTCTGTTTTGCTTGAAACATACGGCGTTGGGCAACTATAATACAGCAAGAGATACCCAATCTAGCCATAAGGTCCGGCCTCACCTGGATATTCCGTCTTCCCTGGTTATCCCTTCATGCGCTTATGTGTTAGGTGTTTCATAACCATTAATTCCCCCGTGATTCGAAAGCCCAGGAGTCATGAGAACGGCGGCGATTAACTGGCTCAGGAAGCCATCCAGATTTTCAACATCCCTTTTGCCCTGCAATAGTGTGACCAGGATTCAAGTGATACACATCCCATCCACAGGTGGTGCGGATAAGCGCTCGCCATGTTTGGGGGATTTAGGATGGATACCCTGGCGCCACCGCAGTCTCGATGCATTACTATTTTGGGCAGCCAAAATCGATAGGTCCCCAGTGCTTGAGAACATGCTGCTATGGAATCCACGACCGTGATATTGGGCGGCTAGCACCCGACGCGTACCCAGGGCAAGAGCAACCTCCTCAAGCATGGGGCGGTTCGAAAATAAATACCGCCACGATGTCGCCGATTCTTGATTTTGTTGAGACAGCTCCAGTCCTCCTGTTTTATTATATACTATCTACCTAGCCTGCGAATAATATTAAATCGAAAAGCTACTCAGGTATCTGCCGGCCCATCACGAGCTCCTCTCAAGTCGAATCTCCACTATGGACGGATACAGCATCAAGAGAGTTGGATTAAGGGAGATGGCGATGAAAGGGGGGACAGCCGTACTCACACGCAAAATCGGAGAAGAGGAGTGGTCGCCATACACGTCGCCCGGCAAGGCTGATAGCGGTACCAGTTTCTATCTCGGAGTCGTTCGTCAGGAACAGCCAGACGCACAAGGCCATCATTGGTCCCTCTTTGTCGCAGAAGAAGGTAAACGGGGAACCGTATACCAAGTTATTGGCGATCATACGTTCATGGTTATTCGCACCGGCCAGATTTCAACATTCTGAGCTCCCGTACTTTCCGCGATATTCACCAAATTGCAAAGCTTAACGAGCAGACTGTCCAACGTGTTGAATATTGGGCCACCCAAGAACCCCCCCCGCGCGCCCCAACTCAGGCTCAAGTCCGGGAAACCTGCCAGTCATGGACTATAAGAGTAGTTCGCAGGTTGATTGCTGAAGAGATTGTCGAACCAAAGTGGGAACAAGAATTGGAGAACTTGATCGACTCTCCCGTCTTGCTTGGCTTGCGTGGCCATTAAGGAACCAAGGAGAAGAAGGGAAGAGAGGGTGACAGAAGGGCTTGTTTTCTGTGATTAAATACTTGATGTGACAGGTTAGCACCCATTAGAAGTTAACTGACACCCCTATCGCCTGCTCGCCTAATCACATGTTCTCATGAAATGTTAGTGGGTATAGGTTATGGCCCTTAGATAGCTACAAAACACTGAAAAATAACATGCCAATAACATCTTCCTATATCATGAATGTATGTCTAGACATTTTATTGAGTGCTTAGAACCTTATGATGAATCTGAGATTAGATAAAACTGTAAGAAACCAGCACTAAGGTGCCAGCGCTGGGCCGGAACAGGTAATTGCCCAAAGACATGGCATTGCAGGATTAAGGCAGTATGATGCCATCAGCATGGTATATCAGATTTGTATTGTGTGAGAAGATGGTGTGTCCATGCGTTGTTTTTCTATGCCAAGAACTGACGGAATTTTTGAATAACGGCCAACCACCCAACGCCCGCGATTTTCCATGTAAAATCTATGATGATCATCTATTGATATCTCAACATCTGCCATATTGAATAGTATGTGATATGTAATTTAATCATTCAAATATATATATTAATATATAAACAATTTAAAATTTAAAATTATCAGTATACTGTTGAGCTATCGTCTGTATTATCTTACACTTTTACTCATAAATTACAAATACAAATTATGAGATTGATATTCAGATTATAATATTATCATCACAATATATACTTGATATTTTTTTACTAAAAATTATTTATGATATAGAACACTATATTGTTATTTTATGATATACACTATAAGAGAAAATAATGTATTCAAAAGAAGTTATTTAAATATTACAAAATAATCAAGTTTTCTTGTAGAAATGAGAAAATAACAGCTAGTAATCTAAATGTATCTTATAAATTATATAAGAAAATATTCTCAATTTTTATACATGTAATATACATCATATAATATTTTCTAATAGAAAAGTAAACTTTTTAAAAGATATACATTAATAAGGTATTTTTAATTTATCATCTATAAATTTATTATAATAATTTGTGGTTGAGATATGAGTATCAAATTTATGACAATTTGTATGGAAAAAGGCGGGTGTTGGGTGCACACAGGCGTTAGGTGGTTGACTACGGAGTGTGTTACACGAAATCCCTTGTTGAGTCACATCACCAAGAGCTCATCTCACTCGCCCCGCATTTCTCATCTTCACGACCCGCACTTCAGAACTATTTCAGTTTACCTTCTCATCCGCACATGTTCATGAGCATGGCGAAAGGATCCTCAGATAACTTGGCTACACTTCCCGAGCCTGGAAAGCGCAATGTTCTTATTACCAGTGCTCTTCCATACGTGAATAACGTGCCGCACCTTGGGAATATCATCGGGTCTGTGCTGTCTGCTGATGTTTTCGCAAGATTTTGTCGAGGACGCGGCATCCCCACGCTGTATATTGGTGGTATGTAATAAGCTTGCACCGCGTCCATCTTCCTAATATCGAAAAATTAAAGAAGTGGCTAACTCAAAGGTTATTCAGGGACTGATGAATATGGTACGACAACGGAGGCCAAGGCTCTAATCGAGAAATGTACACCACGAGAGCTGTGTGATAAGTACCACGCGATTCACGCAGAGATATATCAGTGGTTCGACATCAGCTTCGATATCTTTGGCCGGACGACGACTCAGCTTCAGACAGATATTACTCAAGATATCTTCCGCAAGCTGTACAACAATGGGTTCTTAAAGGAGCGGATGACAACTCAACTCTACTGCCAGGAGCACCAGTCATTCCTGGCGGATCGCTTTGTTGAAGGAGAATGTCCAACTTGCAGTTATACTGATGCTCGAGGCGACCAATGTGACATGTGTGGCCAACTTCTAGAACCTCTTCAACTGAAGAATCCCCGTTGCAAAATCGACGGCTTCGCACCAATAACAAAAGATACCAAACATATTTTTTTGGAATTAGACAAGTTACAACCTGAAGTTGAGGATTACTTTCGAAAGGCTTCCACAAATGGTGCTTGGCCGAACAATGGGAAGTCTATCACATTAGCGTGGTTGAAGGAAGGCCTTCAACCGCGCAGCATAACGCGGGATATGAAGTGGGGAACACAGGTCCCGTTACCAGGTTACGAGGACAAAGTCATATATTCATGGTTTGACGCCTGCATAGGTTATGTTTCTATTACTGCGAAATATACTGATCAGTGGGAGAAATGGTGGCGGAACCCTGAAGACGTGCAGCTATATCAGTTCATTGGGAAAGACAATGTTGTTTTCCATTCCGTTATCTTCCCTGCCACTCAGGTCGGTACTAGAGGCCCGTGGACAAAAGTCCACCACCTGTCCACAACAGACTATCTCACCTATGAAGGTGGAAAGTTTTCCAAGTCTCGCGGCATTGGTGTTTTTGGGGATTCTGCTCAACAGACGGGAGTTTCTGCAGATGTCTGGCGCTATTACTTACTTTCCCGTCGACCAGAGACTGGAGACACTGAGTTTTCTTGGGACTCATTTATTAGCGCCAACAACAGCATTCTCCTAAACAATCTAGGGAATTTCGCCAGCCGCGTTCTAAAATTTGTGAACTCGCGGTTTTACAACAATATAGTGCCTGACTGGACTAAGTACCATGAGCCTTCGTTCGAAATTTGGAAGGAGGAAATTAACCGCCTCCTTACAAAGTATGTTGAGGAACTCGACGCTGTCAAACTTCGCGCCGGCTTAGCCACCGCTCTTCACATATCTCAGCAGGGTAATTTATTCCTCCAGACTAACAAGCTCGATGGCAAACTCCATGAAAGCGAACCAGCAAAATGTGCCGCTGTGATCGGCCTAACTGTCAATCTAATCCACCTTCTCGCCTCCGTTATCGCTCCGTATATGCCAGCAACCTCTAAGTCTATATGCACGCAACTTCGCGTGGAGCCACTTGCAATCCCAGATCACTGGAGCGCGGATTCCATCAAACCTAGCCATGAAATTGGAAAACCTGAACACTTGTTCCGTCGCATTCAGCCGGAGAAGGCACAAACCTGGCGCAAAATGTTTGGTAGCGAAGAAGTATATAAGGTAAAAGAAGAACAAGCCGCAACAAAGGCCAAAAAATCTACAGCTTCGAAAGCCGAATAGACTCCGAAATCACAATCGGCGGTCATGAACTAGTTTTTCGATTGCGGCGGGAGTTGGGTCATGGCAGCTATATCTCGATTAACAGATGGACGACAGTTGTTACGTGTTTTTATGTTTTTGTTTTTCACTCCGGGGCCACCTTTCGAGATAGACTTTGAATGGCTTGCAGCGCGATGTATTGACTTGAAATCAGTAAATAGGACTCAGCAGCACGGAGACTGATCTCAGATTGTGTGGAATTGAAAATATCTCACTGTTTTGTCAATGTTCCATTCCCTATTCCATCCTGATGTCCAGGCCTAAGGTTGAACACGAGAAACATTTTCCATTAGATTGTAGAGTACAAAACCTGTAAGGCGTAATTATTACTCTATGATTATATTGAAATAAAGTTTGATGACTAGTAAATGCAACGGTCCCAGATAAGACTGTATCGCAGATTCCTTCAGCGGCGAACAATTTGTTTACGTTTTTAACAATTCTTCTCAATTCAAGTATTATATGATGCTTGGCATTTATGAATTGTATAAATAATACGATGGGAATATTAGAAATCTACACGGGAGTCCGCTTGTTCAAGAGGATGGAAAAAGCACAAAGGATAACATCATCTGACATATAGCTAACATTATTTAACTTTAATATTCTTCACATAACCCACCGATGTATGAAAGAAGGCCCGGATGACCCAGAAGAATAACAAACTGATGTAACCCAAAGGAGTGAAGAGTCACATCTTGAGGACAAACTCAACTTCCCAATGCCAGAACCAAGCACTTCTTTCCAACATTTCATAAAAAAACCTCTTGTTTCACACAGTGAATGTCATGATGCCTACTCTGATGGAGCCAGCCGAGATGGTCAGCACTCTTTGTGCTCATCTAATGGGTGGACAATCTGGAGCATGGTATGCATATCAAAGATAAAAAGATATTGAACTAGTATGTTCGCACTTACTAACGCGCAATGAGGGTCCCTCCACATTGGGGGCATTTTGCGGTGCCGTGCTCTCCCTGCCCAGTTGCAGCTGCTGCAAACAGCGTACCGGTGATTGATTGGCTGTTTGATTCCGGTAGCCGCCATTGTGCGATTGGTGGAATATAATAGTAGATAAATGCTGGATGGTTGGGAGGTTGTTTTAAATAGCTTTGAGAAGACTGAAGTGATTGTGTAGATATAAGCTGTAAGAATTCCTGGCTTCCTTGACGAGAGAAACCGTGCCTTTTATACCTCTCTGACCAAATAAGTTTGGGTAGGAAGCCGGACGAAAACGCTCAATTTCCCGGAATCGAGCATTGAAAACTGGCAAACCCCTCCTCAACCACTCCTGATAAGACTTCAATCGATGTTCAATCCCGACGTTCAAGGATCCCACTGGCAACAGAACCTGCCGCCTAAACAAGGGCGAATTTAATAATAGTTCGGCCGCCCCTATCAACAACATATGCATGGGATATGACCACTTTCCACGCGAGGTGCATACATGCCTGATTTGTTGGTTATTGTTTTCTCTGGCTGCGTACCTCGCTTCCTTAGTAAGAGAATACCCGGCTGTTTAACTCCATCAAGTGACGGTTCAATGACATGTAAACCGTGCTTTCTCGACCCTCCAATGCCCCACACCCGAAATGATGCCGGTCCAGTATTCCACAGTCATTGGAGCTAGACAGGGAAAGAAACTAGTTCTTGAACATGCATCGGATGCACTGCAAACCGTACGGCGCAGCAAACTTAGGATAAGTGGTGTTCACTCAGATAATCCGCCGGTTGGGCAAAACAGATAGGAAATGAGTGGTTTGGTGATCTGAGCCCTAGAATCATAAATTCTACCCATCAATGAAAATAACACCGAGACACTGTGTCTCATCATTATGGCCATTGTTGCGACAAGAACCTAGATCAGGCCATTGTCAAAAGCAGGTGCATACTTGTATTAAGCTGCTGGGTTTCCCTGTTATGGCTGCTGTTGGGGTAGAGGTTCATGCTATTAAGTGGAGAAACAAGGGTTTGTGTTTAAATGTGAAATCAAATTGTGGTATGTATGTCATAACAGTGAGCAGTTGGGTGTCTGAGTAGTTGTATTGGTTGCTATCTGTGAGATGGTCCTCACAGTGTAACTGTCCAGGCGCGGGTGAGGTAGCAGTCGCACCGTGTAAGAGGGGTTGAACCTTGGTTGGTTATTCTCTATTGGATTGGGTGATTCGTACTCTCTATATCACCACGGCGCTGGTGGTGATCGAGCCCTTTTGCCCTGGCTAATATATGTTAGGCCACTGGGGCAAAAGAGCTCAATCACACCAGCGCCATGCTGGTAGTAGAGGGGACGAACCAATCCAAACTGTAAGAGGGTTGGTTGTTTATCCATCTAGTGGCGAGCTAATATATGTGTGTGGGTCACGTGGGACAGGGCTTTGTGGGAGGATAACATTGTTGTCATTACTAAACTAAACTACACAAGAGCAACACAATATGTTGGGGGCATGTGATAGAGTAGCTATAGTATCCACTAACACCCCTCTGTGCTACAGTGCTGTCAAAGCTCTGCTATCTGAGATCCTCTCTCTCACTCAATTCTTCTAAAAATGTAATAATAATTAATTATAAGAATTGAATTCTGATTTTCTCTTTAGAATTAGATATCTGTACAGTAATAACTGTAAAAAACAGAATAATATAAATAAAATCTATAATCTTCTGTATTATTATTATCTTCACTTCTTCTTATCAATTTTTATTAAATCAATTCTTTTAACAAATTCTTTAAAGATAGATTTTATCAATAACTTGATGAAATCATCAGCTATATTGATTATAGAATTAATATATTTCATTATAATTTTATCTTTTTCAACTAAGTTATAAAGAATATAATATCTGATTGTAATGAATGTGCCACTGATTGAGCAGATATTATCAATATTGTGAATTAAATTATTTATATCATCTGCACAGTTTATACAATCTGTTTCAACTAGACTGACTATATGACCATGCATGAAACTGAGATCAAATTTTTCCTCAGTCTTATTATTAGATATCTTAGTTCTGATTTCATATAGTATTTAGCAAATTAGTCACTTTACACTGTTTATATTATAAATCTAGTTTCAGATCATGTTTTACTAATAAATTAATAATTCTGATTCCATTTGATTCCATTTTACAAAATGAGATTAAATGAGATTATGATTTATTCTATATAGATTGGCAGTGATAGATAGATTGACAGCAGTAGATAGATTGACAGTAATAGATTAACAGTAATAGATTAGCAGCAATAGATTAACAGCAATAGATTAGCAGTAATAGATTAGCAGCAATAGATAGATTGACAGCAGTAGATAGATTGACAGTGATAGATTAGCAGCAATAGATTAGCAGCAATAGATTAGCAGCAATAGATTAGCAGTGATAGATAGATTGACAGTAATAGATAGATTGACAGCAATAGATTAGCAGCAATAGATTAGCAGCAATAGATTAGCAGTAATAGATTAGCAGTGATAGATAGATTAACAGTGGTAGATAGATTGACAGCAGTAGATAGATTAACAGTGATAGATAGATTGACAGTGATAGATAGATTGACAGTGATAGATTAGCAGCAATAGATAGATTGACAGTGATAGATAGATTGACAGTGATAAATTAGCAGTAATAGATTAGTAGTGATAGATTAGCAGCAATAGATTAGCAGTAATAGATTAGTAGTAATAGATAGATTGACAGCAGTGAGTAGATTAGCAGCAGTACTAAGCAAGATAGAGATAATATCTTCATCAATTATATTATCAGATTGATGTATTATATAATCATCAGAATAAAATTAAACTTAAGTTAAAATTATAATCAGTTTCAGATTATATTCTTGTTTTTGATAGTCAGTCACTTTATATAAAATATCAAGATTTATTAGTCTCATTTCACTCATATTTTGATAATTCTAGTCACTTTACACTCTCATTCTGATTCTGATTCTACTAAAATAATATCAAGAAATGAACTGAAATTAAATCAAATCAAATCAAATATGAAATTCATAATTCCATCAGCCAGTCTAGTTTCAACAACACTATCAATAAATTTAACATTATTTTAATAACAGTTTATAAATCAATTAAGAAAAGAAAGAGAAAGAAGATTAGAAGAAAAAATTATATAAAAGAATTTTTATAGATAGAGAAATCAGAGTAGAAGAAATATCAG